AACTCTTAATTGCATCAATTTGTTCCTAACTCTATTTTGTTCTTAGGTTCAATTCAAAGAAGAGCTACGAAATATGCGTGAGGATTTCTACTTGCATCCTTAGAACGTTATATTACAAATTTGTCTCTAATTTAGGTCATTTAACATGAAATGAGTATCTCTAATTTTCAAAATTAAATTAGTTATCTGTCGAGATAAAAGGTGTATTGATTTTCTTTTATGAGAAAAAAAGGAAGAAGAACAAACTCACTCGTAAAAACTACAAGAAGGGCAAAACATAATTGGTTAAAAATGATTATTTGTATTAAAAAAACGAAACTGAAGGTAATAAATATTGAATGTTATTAGTACCTCCTTAGTTGAAAGCCGAAATAAAGTGACAAGTAAGACTCGAAATGGTCAATTTGTTGAAAAAAGAAAAAAGAGAATGGAGCTTTTCAAAAAGAAATACAATTAAATATATTCGTAACAAAAATTATAAAACTATTTCCTTCCTTTCCGATTTGGGAGTGACACTTTGAAAATTTAACCTCCATTTCCTTTATCTATTACTAACATTAATTAAAAGAAACCGATTGTTTATTGACATTATTTAAAATGCTATTCATTTATATTTATTCATATTATTCACTAACACTCATACACATTATTTTTTCACCATATAGTAGTGTTTTTGTAGTTTTCAAATATTATAAAGACAAGTATTATGAAAGTTTTAGAAATATTATATTTTGATTTTTTTTAACATTATTTATTGGTTTGCAAGTATTTTTTTGTTTCATTTTGATTCCTCTTTTTGATTTCATTTTGGTCACTTCGAATTTTTTCTAATTTTTTTAGTTAAAAAATTTTAAAGCAAAAAATATTAAAAAAACAACTTACAAAATAAGTTTTTAATTAACAATTCATTGATTTTGATTTTTTTATATTATTATAAAATTTTAATCAAGAATATAAATAAAGATAAATAAATAATATTTTTCAATCCAAAATTTATGAAAAATATAAAAAATAATTAATAAAATAAAAATATTTTATTCAATTTTGATTTGATATATTTTAATAGATACATAATATTATATGAAATATCAAACTAAAATAATTTTTTCAAAATAATTTTACTTGTTATGTTCTATAGGCAATATAATACTAGTAAAAAAAACTAGTAAATTTTATAAAATTAAATAGGATAGGGAAAGATAGGTATGAAGGTAACATTAGAGGGGGAAAAAATCAAACAATTGTTGTCTCTATCAATACACGCAAACTTTTACTAGCTACATTTTGTCGGCTATAAATTGCTTCCTGCAAGTCAAACACTTTCTTTCGTTTTCTCCTCTTTTTCTTGACTAATAAACAAATTTGGTGACAAGCAAAAACGTTTCGAACTTCAAGAGAGATAAGTTTAGAAGGTGGGGTATTAGCTTCACAGCTATAACCCATTTCATTCTCATCATTTTTGCGTGCAATGATCCTTTCTTGGGCTCTTCTTCTTCTTTCTTTTATGTATATTAGTATAGTTTTTAATACTTGAATAAGCATACTAATTAGACCGGAAAGCTCACATCTTTTTTGAAAGTTTTGGCCTCGCTTTTGATTTTTGCTAATTTTTGTTAGTGGGTTCTCAATTTTTTGTTTGATTAGCTCTTTAGTGATAGTTTATAATCTGGTTTGATTTTTGTTAAATAAAAAACTAGGCTTTTTTTTTTCTGATTGGTTATGGGGATTAAAGAGAGTAGTTCATGGATCATTGACGCAAAAATGATGTGAATAATGGGTTCTTATTGTGAAGAAACGACTCTTGTTACCGAAGGATAACCAAAGCTTAAGAGGGTCTCGTTGCAAAGATTTTGTTTGAGGTATAATCCTTTTCTCCTCTCTCGGAATGATATACCCTTTTCATTCAAAGGTTCAATTCCCTTTTATTATTTTTTTTTAATGATAATTACCTTTTAGTTGGATTCGATGCACAAAGTCGTCAATACTCGTTAGTCTTTTTGTTTACTCATTTTGCTAGCAAGCATTATGTCTATGTTTTGCATTTATCGCTTTTTTGTGAATAAATTTTTGTGTCCGGCTATTCATCCGCTTAGATTGATAAAATTTGAAGACCCTCCGGTTTTGGATTGTTATTAAATGCATATAATTACTTTGACCTTAATAAATGCATTAGTACGCCGACCGTATTGGTTTTAGCCCAATCGAAACACACTTCAACCGACCAGTTATCAATAAGCCTCCGGTCTAGTGGTAGTGAGCTCCTTCTATTTGCAAGATAATTACCTTTTATTAGATTCCGGTGTACAAAATTGTCTCTACTTGTTTTTCTTTTTGTTTTCTCATCACTTTGCGAGTAACCATGAGCTCTATGTTTCGTATGTAATGCTTTTCGTAAAGATATCCGTATGTCCGGTCGTTCTATGCTCGAGTCGCTAAAATTTGAAGACCCATAGAATGTTATTAGATGCATATCATAATACGATTTGTGGCCGTGGCGGATGCATTAGTACGGATTAGTTTTCCGGTCTTTATCCCAATTGGAATACACATTGGCTCATATTCATGTCCTCTAGCATTTATTTCAACTGATTTTCATTTATATTTTCTCAACTTGTTCTAAATGATATAATAGCCCTCGAGCTTTGTGATTATAGCTCTTAATTGACTAGTTCGACAAGTAATGGTGTTGTCTCGTTTGTGTTTTCTTTTTTGACAACAATATGCTTGTTGTGTACATAGGGAGGTGTAAGTTGGGATCCTTTCAATTCATTTTAAAGGCTATCCGTATTTGAAACACGATTATAGGGAGCAAGTTCATTCCGGACCTTGGTAATGGTTATACGAGTGTAGAGGTGGAGATGGGTGATAGCCCCGTATTTGTGGTTGCAAATACGTATGTTGATTTGATACGTTCTTCATTTTTGGTATCTCTGATCGTCACTCAAAATTGGCAAGTAGAAGACTTAGCATCGGAGAATTAATGGGTCTTCATAATGCAAATATTTCTAGATTATCTATAGGGTTAGCAACTAGCGAGTAGAGCTAATTCTTGAAAATGCCTAGAAACAAAATAGGTGTTCGGGCGCACCCAGAAATGCAAATAATGCGAGATATTTATGGATTGTATTGTATGTGTGCCCATGCAAATATTTATGAACCCTATAACAACGATGTTATGGCTTACTATATGCTTGGCAAAACTAAGGTGCACGTTATGTATCGGACGAGTCAATGGTCAATATCGCTTTAACAACAATGGTAGCCTCTCTTCTTCGATGCTTGCATTCAATTTTACAATTTAGTTCGTTTATTGTCCTTACTTTTTTGTTGCAATAGGGCCATTGTCGGTTTCGGCTTTAAGAACTTGATTCAATTATGCAAGAGGAATTTGTGTGAGTCTACATGTGTTTATCGATTCTTGAAGATGTGATTGAACCGAAGAATATTGCATAAAATAGGTGTTCTAGGCTCACCGTGGGAACGAGAATGTTACCCAATCACAGCTCAATTCAATTCAACTCCATTCACTTAAACCTCATTCTTCATAACACCCGATCATATTTGAAGGAAGAGCGAGTTGTTGCCGTTTTGATCATAGGTTTCTATTTTCCGGGGCTTTACTTGTTTGATGCACATATAAATTTGGTTATGGTTATCATGGTATGTATTATTTTGTATCACTTCCATGATGCAACATGCTTCAACTTTTTTAGGTGCTAAGAATCACGTACTTGTAGCTATTGTCGGCATAAATTGATAAAGTTTTTAGAGATCTTCTTAAGTCCTGCAAGGGAACGAAGATTTTTGACATGATCATCATCAAACAACTCGGGTTTTATAAGTCACCAAGTAGCCTCCGAAATCTAGCACTTGCGTATTGTTAGAGAGTAATATAAAATCATTCGTGGGACTCGATCCAACGACGTAAGCTTTTGGATGAGTCCCTAGGAATAGAACTTAAGCTTTCGGATGAGGCTCTAGGAATAGTTTTGTATTACCGATCTCTAACTTTATATTTTTCTCTACCACATGCACTTGCATATTTTGCTTTTGTTTTTCTTAATCAATATTTGTTTTTTATTCTTTTCATGGTTTTTGTTTGTTATCCGGTTTCGCAGTCGGGAAGCACAATAACAAAGCTGAATTGCAAGAGTCCGGAGATGACAAGAGCAAAGATTAATAGTGGAGGATAGTCAAGATTGACTAAAACCGTGATTCTCTCCGTAAAACTTTGTTTTAGATTGTAGCAATGATGATGATGACATCCGCGAAACCAAGAACAGACTTTATTATCCAATTTTTCAAGCAAATCCTTGTCATCCTAATTAAGTTATTAACAAAGTCACTTAATCGGACGTTAAATTAGAAAAAAAATAAAAATTAATGAATCATTAATCTATCTCTATCCGAAAAAACCCAACCGTTACTAAACCACATCTCATTTTAATAGTATCAGATTTTAATTATAAATTAGTATCTGGTAGTCTAACAAAATCAATCAATTAATTAATTTTGAAGGTTTTAAAAGCTATTATTTAATCTTTAAAATTATTCCTTTCAATTCTATTTTTCTCCATTTCATTTTTCTTTATTTTTTAAAATAGAAATTAGAAAATAGAAGTAAGTAAGATGGTAAAATTTGATTAAAAAAGAATGTATTTTTTTTTTAAAAAAAGACTACTGAATTAAGGATGCTCAAAGTATTATTTAATTATTTTTTATACTATAAGGACCAATTAGTTATCTATTAAAAAATACAAGAACTAAAGTATAATAAACTCGGTAATATTGTAACAAAACGCTACTTTTAGTCCTTTTATGTTCTGTTTCTGATTCGTTACTTCGATCCATCCTTTTCCCAGTAGAGACTGTACCCGCCTCAGCTCAACACACTGAGTTGTAACCGATTCCGATCTCCTCTGCTTCTCGATCTTTGAAGCACCCCTCTAATCATCACTAAATCTTTCGTATTTTAGGGTTTATTTCGATCCTGGTCAGCGATGGTGTTGAGGTTTAATGTAGGAGGGAAAGTAGTGGAGAAAGTAGATTTGATAAGGAAGAAGAAATGGCCATGGCGTTTAGATGTTTTGCCATTTGCGATTTTCTATGCGGTTTGGATCGTTACGATTGTGCCGAGCATTGACATTGTTGATGCTTTTATAGTTCTTGGTGGACTCGTTTCGATTCATGTTCTTGTTTTGCTTTTCACTGCTTGGTCTGTCGATTTCAAGTGTTTTGTTCAGTACAGTAAGGTAATATAAACTGTTTGTGTGTGTATGGTTGTGGATTTTGGGATTTTTGGGGGTGATTAGGGTTTATTTTTTGTGATTTGGGGGTTTGGTGTTTAGGTTAATGATATTCGAGATGCGGATTCATGCAAAGTTACGCCGGCGAAGTTTTCTGGTTCGAAAGAAGTTGTGCCTTTGCATATTCGTAAACAAGTAAGTTTTTGTGTTGCAAGTAGATTGAATGGATAGTCGAATGTATTTAGAGCTGGTAGGGATGATGATTAGGTGTAGGCTAGAAATGGATATATTTTTTTTATTTGGAGGTTAAATGAAAAATGCTGTCGAGGATAGAATGATTTGAATACCATGGTTACAACTTAGGACTTAAGATTGATTTTGTTGGATTCCTAAGATTAATTATCACTAGGGTTTTTATTTTATATTTTCTCCTTACACCTGACTAATATCACCTGTTTCTTTTGCTGAAAATTTTGTTTACTTGCAGTCGGCAGGGTCCTCATCTCCAGGGGATGCAGAAGAGATTTACTTTGATTTCAGGAAGCAGCAGTTCATCTATTCAAAGGAGAATGAGACGTTTTGCAAGCTTCCTTACCCTACCAAGGAAACATTTGGCTACTATCTTAAAAGCACTGGCCATGGCTCTGAGACCAAAGTAGCTGCTGCTGCTGAGAAATGGGGACGGAATGTGTGAGTATTTTGATCTTTCTGCTTCATACATTTGTATGTTCGTGATCCTTCAGTTCTGGTTTTTCATTTTCTTAAAATAAGGTACTAGAGAGTATCGATCTCATTATAGGCAAAGGACTCCCAAGTGTTCTTTCATCTCATTGTTAATTCATTTTTTCCTTTTGGGTTGGTGGTGTGTTTCTTCTTCCATTGTCTATGCATCAATTCAATGCGCTCTGATCCTGCTGTGCTGCTGGATATGCATTTTCAATCAACTTGCAGTATTAATGGTGATAAAAAGACACTAGGACTGACTTTTGGTTTTGGTCAATGGCTCTTTTAGGCTAGTAAAACCAAATTATGCTTTTAGGGATTTTATCATTTGGAAAGACAATGTGTGTGTGTGTGTGTGTAGGGTTCTTAGGAAAAACTACTACATCAAATGCGGTTATTTTTAATCCCATGTACATTTGATATAACAAATGCTGTTGTTGTAGTGGTTTCTAAAATATGTAATTTGATCATTGTTTTTTTTTTTGTCATGAATGGTTTGTCAAATTTATCATCTGGAAGGACAGCATTGGATAATATCAATTTCTGGTATATATATATATATTTCATGCTCTTACAAAAAATTACTTCACCGAATGCAGTTAACTTAACCCTTGTACACTCAATATAACAAGTTCTGTTGTCGTAGTGGTTTCTAGAATATGTAATTTGATCGTTGGACTTTTGATGTCTCGAATGGTTTGTCAAATGTCAATTAGGCTATTTTTGTGTATCAAATAATCAGCATATCATTTTAATAATTGCGTATCTGTTTTTGTGTTCTTCCACTGCTTGATGGGGATTGTTTATGGTTATATAGATTTGAATATCCGCAACCCACATTCCAAAAATTATTGAAAGAGCAGTGCATGGAGCCTTTTTTTGTATTTCAGGTTCTGTCTTTAAACCTCATTCTTTCTCTCTTTATCTCTACTATCAGGACTCCATATTTCAACTTGTATTATTTATTTATTTTCGTAAATTCAGTTTTATATGCTTTACTTTTCATTCTGACACTCTTCTTTGGCTCTGCAATACATATCTGTATAGGTATTCTGTGTGGGGCTTTGGTGCTTGGATGAATATTGGTATTACAGCTTGTTCACCCTCTTTATGCTGTTTATGTTCGAGTCAACTATGGCAAAGAGTAGGTTGAGGACTCTAAGTGAGCTAAGACGTGTTAGAGTTGATACCCAGACCATAATGGTGCATCGCTGTGGGAAGTATGTATCTTCAATGTGATTTTGGTGCTTTTTGTAGATTATGATTGTCTGTAGATATGCGGATAATTATGCCATCAACATGATTTTAGGTGGGTGAAGCTCGCTGGGACTGATCTTTTACCTGGGGATGTTGTCTCCATTGGGCGCTCATCTGGTCAGAATGGAGAAGATAAGACTGTACCCGCAGACATGCTTCTATTAGCTGGAAGTTCCATTGTGAATGAAGCCATTCTCACGGGCGAGTCTACTCCCCAATGGAAGGTAGTTCTTTGTCCTGTTTTTTTATTACTGTTGTATTAAAAGTTTTTGAAATTGTGATTATCTGATGCTGGTTCTGACATCTGATTGAAAAGCTACTAAAAATTTCAGTAAGTCTATCCTGGACAGTGGATTTACATTGGGTTGTTGTGCTTTGACAAGCTGGCTATTTTATTGCTATAAGCTCCTTTAAAAATAAAAAAATTGTGATAGGCAAGTTGTAAGACCTGTGCTCTTTTATATTTATACTTATGATTGAAGATGTTTGTGTTACAATGTTCTGATATGAGTCCTAAATGTTTTTCTTGTTATTTGGTTTCCCCAATTGAATAATATTTTTTTGCATCTAATGAGTTCTTATGTTCCATCTCAAACGAAGGGGAAAAAAAGAAAAAAACAGCTTTGTTTGTTACTAATTTTCATAGGCTGCTGGTTTCTATATTTGGAAGTTGTACAAATCACTTGCTCTCTAGAACTTGTGAGAACTGAAATTTTTTTCTCAGACTTCAATCATGGGTAGGGGAATGGAGGAGAAGTTATCAGCCAAACGCGATAAGAACCATGTTTTATTTGGCGGGACTAAAATATTGCAGCATACTCCAGATAAGGTTGGTCATGTAAATAAGGAACATTCCCTTTTAAATTCTTGAGCACTTTTTTCATTTTTATCTGAGAGTGTCTTTGCTGTTTAATTGATGCCTTTAATTCTTCCTGGAGTTAGAACTTTCCCCTGAGGGCTCCTGATGGCGGTTGTCTAGCTGTTGTTCTTCGAACTGGGTTTGAAACAAGTCAAGGGAAATTGATGAGGACCATTTTGTTTTCCACAGAAAGGGTACTTAACTTTCATTCTTAGTTGTGTGAGGATCACAGAAGATTTATGAAACATTGTAATTCTAATTCCTTATTTGTGTTCTCCTTTTGATTCTACTTGTTGAAGGTTACTGCCAACAGTTGGGAAAGTGGATTGTTCATCCTATTTTTAGTTGTGTTTGCAATAATTGCTGCTGGTTATGTACTTAAAAAGGTAAAGTAATATTCCTTTTTGAGGTACTATTTAGAATATTGTATAAGTTGGCCTATGCTAATGGGATTTCCTTAATGCAGGGATTAGAGGATCCCACAAGGAGCAAGTACAAGCTTTTCCTAAGTTGTTCACTTATCATAACATCTGTGATTCCACCTGAGCTGCCAATGGAATTATCGATAGCAGTTAATACATCTCTTATTGCATTGGCACGGCGTGGAATATTTTGTACCGAACCTTTTCGCATCCCATTTGCAGGAAAGGTAAGTTAACTTAGCCATATAGTCATCCTTTCTCTGTCTTACTCATGAGTCCTTAATTGCAACTTTTCTTATTCAATCAGAGATGGTGGTTACCTTTCTGCTATTAGTTCCTTCTTTCAGTTTTGAGAAATGATTAAGGTTATAGATCAGTGTAATTTATGAAGAAACTGCAGCCTTATCAAGAACGAACCTGTGCTTATTGTCTCATAGACTTGTACATTAGCTGTCGTGACATACCTTTATTTCTTGATTGTATGTTTAAGCTCTCGCATTTATGGTGATTTGGGGCAGAGTGTATGCTAGGGTTTGTGTACCTATATGCCATCTTATATTAAGTACTGTCATCTTTTTTTACCCTGCAGGTTGATATATGCTGTTTCGATAAAACTGGAACACTTACATCGGATGACATGGTATGCCTTTTACTTAACATGATGTTATGTGTTTCAGTTTATTGTTATTGAAAATCCTTATTCGAATTATTTTCTTCTTGTTGGTTTCAGGAGTTCTGTGGAGTTGTTGGGTTGGCAGAGAGTACAGATTTAGAATCTGATATGACTAAAGTGCCTGTTCGAACAGCAGAAATTTTGGCCTCTTGTCATGCCTTGGTGTTTGTGGACAACAAGCTGGTATGCTTGTGTAATTTTTGGCATGCTGTTCCTAGAATTCCTGAATTTGGTTGTGGGCCATTTTCTATTGTTGTACTGGTTTACCTTTACATTCATTTTTCCTTGGATGAAAGGAATATAGTTGAAATGCATAAAATTACAGTATGCAGAACAGAACTTATGGTATAGTTGGAGCACAAGAAGTTGTAATATTGAACTGTAAAGGCCTGTATGCCATAACAAGTGTACCATTGTCATCTACTCCTACCTTTCTTTGTGAGCTGAAATTAAACAAAAAGTTAAAGTGTCTCTATTGATGCATGGAGGCATAAAAATTCAGCAGTAGTATTGTTACCTAGTTCTGTGGCAGTATCTACTCAAACTATTTGTGAAATTTTGAGGTACTTGTTTTTCTGAGTCCTTTTGTTTTGTTATTTTATGATGGCTTAGTTAAATCTTATTTTAGCACTCCTTAGACTTTACTGTTTGTAAGGTTTTGTTTACTCGTAATCAGAGGCTGTGGCAGCTCTGCAGTGTACTGGATTCGGTCATTTTATGAATAATAAACTCAGTCTATTTCTTTTGTTTTCCTCGAGAACTCTAAGCTTGCATGAATTAACACCCTTAAAGAGGTGCCTCTCTTTTCTCTAGGAAATCTAAGTTTCAAAGAAATTAGAAGGTTTCCTCTCCCTTCCTTCTCTTGTGACTGGCATGACAAGTCACTTTTACTCTGAATCAATATTAAAGATTTCCTTGGTGATGCCTTCTGGCTTTCACCTTTTTAAGAGCCAATAAGAAGGCAAGGAGGGAGTTGTGGCAGATTTTTTTCCCCACAAGCCTCTCATACTGTATCTGCACTTTAAATGAATGAAAAATGTAAAAGTAAAACAGAGGGTATGGTCAGCCATCCAGCTAGGCTTATGTTACACATCCCTTCAAGAAGTATTTGGGGCATTTGGTTATTAGGTTTCTATCCCATGATCATCTTATGGTTTTATCTTTTCTGGTGTCTAGGCCTCCTACGTATAATACAGTGTTTGCAGAAATGTCATCTTTGGTAGAACAACACATGAAACAACATTCCTTGGATTTAGCCTGATTGAGGCCTTGGGAAATTAACAGCTATATTTTACTGAAAGCACCACTTGTTTCAGCATCATTCCCTCTTTGCCTCAACTAGAAATGTCAAATTTTATGCTAGTCATGGTCTGCATCCTTAAGTTTCTGCCTTGTCATATTTTCCAGTTAGCACAAGCAAACTTTTTCCTGTTTAGGCAGTTGTCTGACATGGGCTAAAATCCTCTCACTATGTTTACTGTCCCTTGAGAATGCTCTTTAACGTTTCCATAATTCCCTGCAGGTTGGGGATCCGCTTGAGAAGGCTGCACTTAAGGGAATAGACTGGAGTTACAAATCTGATGAAAAGGCCATGCCCAAAAAGTAAGCTGTGGAAATTGCACTCTCTGGATTAATTTGATTTGTATGTTTATGGCGTCTTTTTTTTTCCTGCTTAATCTCTGACTGGAATGTATTTTTATTGTGATCTTGTTGTGGGCCTGATCTGTTTGAAAATACTCTACATTCTGTTACTATTATAAGTACAAAATTCGAAGGGAAACAGTGTATGCATTATCGATTTAATATGCACTGTAGAATAGATTGAAGAGAGAGGCATTTCATAAATAGAGCCAAATCCAAGGAGAATGATGAAAGAGAGGAATTCCATCATGGGCAATAAAGAGTATGATTATTGATTGAGTTCATTTTCACGGATTGGTTCTTGCTTGGAACGTTCTAAATTTGCTAATTATAGTGCATAACATTGGAGAAAGTCATTCAACTAGTATGTCATTAAAATGACTTAGGATATTATATCAAACTGGTTTTCAGTTCTCATCTATACTGAAGCATGGGAAAAATTATCATGTCATTACGAATCCTCAGATAGGTAGTCTATGAAAGAACTAGCTGATAGGTAACCAGGCAAGGAAGGCAAATGGTTTCATGACAAGATTTTTTCACAGAAAACTCCAGATCCGAAGCCATTGCATAGTGTAACAGTCTACCAGTCACTCTAAGATGTCTATAAAAAGGGAGTTTCGTGTGTTAGAAATTTTGTGTTCTTTATTTTTCTGAGTACACGGAGTTATTTGGTTTTCCTCCTAGTGTTATCTTTTGACAATTGATAGATGTATTGATATGCCAAATGGAGGTGGACCATGTAGACATTAAATATGAAAGACATGTATTATCGAGAAAGACAGAATGGAAAAATGAAAGGAAATAAGAGAAATAGATCAAAACGCACTCTGTAGCTTTCATAGTCTGAGGATTATTTCATTAGGCAAGTTCAATGCAATTATTTGTTGTTCTTATGAATTGCAGAGGAGGTGGCAATGCTGTGCAGATAGTTCAGAGACATCACTTTGCATCCCATTTGAAACGAATGGCAGTCGTTGTTCGCGTACAGGAGGAATTCTTGGCTTTTGTGAAGGTCAGATTGGTACTTATGCTTTTTGAATGAGTTGCTGGGCTTGAGCAAATCGAGCCAGCAATTCACAGATTTAAGATATTGACATTTTCATTTTCACAGAGGACTCTGTAAAAACTTGCCTGTTTTTAAATATTTCAATCACTTAGATGGGACACTATCCGATGTTGTCTTGCAACAGAGGGTATTGGAAGCTAATCTAAATGTGGTCCTGAAACTCAACTGCCAAATGATGACAAACATTTTGCAAATTCTTTGACTTGTCACAACATTATCATTTGTTGTTGACTACTGACATTTTGTAATTTCATTGTCTGGCGAAATGAGTTAATGTGAGAGAAACTCAGTTGGTGATTTAATTGCAGGGTATATTTTACTGTCCTTGAGATAATATGATCTTGATTTTTGTTTTGGATGTTTCAGGGTGCACCTGAAACTATCCAGGATAGACTCATTGATTTGCCACTGTCATATGTTGATACGTATAAAAAATACACACGTCAAGGGTCTCGAGTTCTGGCCCTTGCTTTCAAGCACCTTCCAGACATGACAGTAAGTTTCTAATATCTTTTACTTTCTTCTAATTTGATTTGACTGTTATATGCACTTGATACTTGGTGTTCTGACCTACCTTCAAGAAAAGTTGTTAGAACATAAGCCTTCGCTTCTTGAAAGAAATTATAATGTTGTGCATGCTTGTTTAATATGATGATTATAATACTAGATGCTGACAGTGCATTGAGTCTTTAACTTGTAAATACAATTAAACTGAAATATCCTTTCATGTGAAAGTATCACAACTATTTCTGCTCAGCTCTGGCTTTTTGATAGGTTATCTTGGAACACATTTCTGGAGATTTTAGGAATTTGCGAGTCACATTTTTGTTGTCTTCTTTGTTGTTCACTCCTCTGTCTTGCATCATTTTTAGTTTTTATAATGGCAATCATGTCATTTTTGCTTCTGTTTTTGGCCTAGTAAATTCAAGAAGTAAACTATGCAATTTAGTTAAAATGAATTTATCATTTTACATGTCTTTTGTGGAGGAATAATTACTGTGTTAAATAGTAGTTTAGTGTGAAACAGAAACTATACAAGTTAGTTGAACTGAATTTATCATTTTACATGTCTTTTGTGGAGCAGTAATTACTGTACTAAGTATTAGTTTAGTGTGAAACGCAAATCACTCATTTGTTCTTGTGATGAGACATGGGCTTTACCTTATCTGAATTTTCTCATATAAATTTGTTCAATGTGTATTCGTGTATGCTTAATTACTGTATCCTATCTTTTATTTTCATGAAGGTTAGTGAAGCTAGAAGCTTGGATAGAGATGTAGTGGAGACTGGTCTTACATTTGCTGGCTTTGCAGTAAGCAACTAATACTTCTACATTGGTGCAGCAGTTGTACACTACCCCCACCAAAAAAAAGAAAGAGGGAACTCTTTCTGGGTTCTATAATTCGCTTGTTAGTAGTTAGTTTCTGTATTCTTGTTGTCGTTAATTTTCATGCTTGTAATCCCAGGTATTCAACTGCCCCATAAGAGCAGATTCAGCTACTGTATTGTCTGAATTGAAGAATTCATCTCATGACTTGGTAAGTGGTAATTTCTAAGTAATTTTAGTTGGCATATGTATGTATGCCACAAAAAACGTATTAGATCACCTAATGTTAAATGAAAATTGTGGATTTCTAAAACTCGGGTTTTTATTATTATTATTATTAACAATGAATTCATGAAGTGTTCCTTGTGGCTTTAAGGGTTTAACCTAGTGGATTAAGCAAACATATCTCAAGACAGAACTGCTTGATAAATGAAATTTGAGTTGCAGCTTTGGCTATTCCTGATTTGGTTGAAAATAGCACTCTCATGATTTGATTCGCTATTTTTAGGTGATGATCACTGGTGACCAAGCTTTGACAGCATGCCATGTTGCTAGCCAGGTGCATATCATATCAAAACCAGCATTAATTCTTGGTCCATCAAGGAATGGAGAAGGGTATGAGTGGATATCACCAGATGAAATGGAGAAAATCAAATATAGGTAAAGTTATCATCTCAATAAATTAATAAAAGAAAGGGGAGCTATTTTGATACTTTATGCTAAAAATTGATGGCCTCCTTGCTTCGTTTTATCAATTATAATTTTGATTCATTACTCTAAGAAAAACAAAATGCATCTAATTTCAGCTTCAAAGAGGCTGAAGAATTGTCAGAGACTCATGATCTCTGTATTGGAGGTGACTGCATTGAAATGTTGCAACAGAGTTCTGCTGTTCTACGAGTCATTCCTTATGTCAAGGTTCCAAATCATACTTCTTGTCTGTGTTTGCTTTTCCATGATGGTTTTATCTTGACAATGCATGTGCATTATTGTTGTTTAAGGTTTTTGCAAGAGTTGCACCTGAGCAAAAGGAACTCATCTTGACCACCTTCAAAACGGTAGGGAGGGTCACGCTGATGTGTGGGGATGGAACCAATGATGTTGGAGCTCTGAAGCAGGTATATACAGAATTACTCATGCACTTCATTCAAGTTCTTGAGTAAATATTCACTGTAATTTTATTGGTACTGCATTTAGCATGCACATATTGTTTCTGGATGCACGGATTAGAAGTTCATAGCTAGTAATTAATTGATCTCTGTTTTGGAAGTTCAACAACAACATATGAACGCACATGTACCATATATGTGTGTGTGGGAAATCGTGCATGGTAAAACACTGTTTTAGTTCTGACTGATCATATTTTTGGACGGTCATCCTCACAGTCCATTGAACTGATTTGTGGAACACTTTGCTTAGAATTGACACTTGTTGCCAGCTAGCAGACTTTAGCTGTTAGTTCAACCAGGAGCTAAGTATTGCATTTTCCGGACCAATTAAACTTTATTATTTCAGTTCGGGTAGGATAGATCTTTAGGGATGCATATACAATCTGAAAGGTAAAACCTGAGATTTGGCATCCAATACCTATTTCAGTCTTACAAGGAAGTGACACAAAAATGTTATAAATTTTTTTCCACGTTACCAAAATCAGAAGCTGCAGAAACAGTATAAATATGTGATGCATTTTTTCAGGCCCATGTAGGAGTTGCACTGTTGAATGCAGTGCCTCCAACCAAAAGTGGAAATTCATCAGAAACTCCTAAAGATGGAAATCTCAAGCCTTCAAAGTCAAAAAAATCAAAACCCGAAGTAAGTAATCTGAATGGAGAAAGTTCTTCTAGAGGCAAAGCTGTCACAAAATCAGATTCCGCCAGTCAATCAGCTGGAAACCGCCACCTGACAGCAGCAGAAATGCAACGACAGAAGTTGAAGAAGATTATGGAAGAGATGAATGAGGAGGGTGATGGTCGTTCAGCCCCCATTGTCAAGCTTGGAGATGCCTCAATGGCTTCTCCCTTCACAGCAAAGCATGCATCGGTTGCCCCCACCACAGACATAATTCGTCAGGGTCGCAGTACACTTGTGACTACCCTCCAGATGTTTAAAATACTTGGTCTTAACTGCCTTGCAACAGCATATGTGTTGAGTGTTATGTATCTGGATGGCGTCAAGCTTGGTGATGTGCAGGCCACAATCAGTGGTGTCTTCACTGCTGCATTTTTCCTATTCATCTCCCAAGCACGCCCCCTTCCCACTCTTTCGGCTGAACGGCCCCACCCTCATGTTTTCTGCTCGTATGTCTTCCTTTCTCTCATGGGACAATTTGCAATCCACCTGTTTTTCTTAATGTCTTCTGTTAAAAGTGCTGAGAAATATATGCCCGATGAATGCATCGAGCCTGACTCTGAATTTCATCCAAATCTGGTGAACACCGTTTCATACATGGTGAGCATGATGCTCCAGCTAGCCACTTTTGCCGTGAACTATATTGGTCATCCTTTCAACCAGAGCATAACAGAAAGCAAACCATTCTTGTATGCCCTCTTGGCTGCTGCGGGTTTCTTCACGGTGATCACTTCTGATCTATTCAGGGACTTGAATGACTGGTTGAAATTGGTGGCCTTGCCTCCAGAATTGAGGAACAAGCTTTTGCTTTGGGCTGTTCTCATGTTTGTGAGCTGCTACACATGGGAGAAATTATTGAGATGGGCTTTCCCCGGTAAGATTCCAGCTTGGAAGAAACGACAACGGTTGGCTGCAGCCAATTTAGAGAAGAAGAAACAGGTCTGATATCTGAACCACTATACAAGTCATTAAAATTGCAGAATATCGCTGATAGGAAAGTGGCAGCAAATCGAGAGGCATCAATCAAAATGATATAGATTCATCATAGCCTAGATACGTAACATTTGTATCCCATTAATTTTGATCACTTTGTGGGAATTTTGTTTAATGATGACCCAATTATACTACTTTGGAGAATGATGATTTTTTTCTGGATCATTTAAGGCGAGAGAAGAAGAATATCTCCGACCTTTTTAATAGTTGTATACATAGTTTTAAATAACGGTCATTATGTTTAATTGTATAATGGTAACAGGTCATTCTGTTACTATTATTTGATATTATATTGGTACTCCAATGCCGTTTCAGGCATAACAGCAAATAATGGACGTTATTTGCCATTATATAACGGTGTTAAACATTAAAAGAAAAAAACAAAAATCTGGTCTAATTAACACTATATATATATCTAATTTAATGGCTTGTTAACCTTGAACAAATTTCTCATGCCCAAAAATGGAGTAACCCACAAGCAAACCATCAAAAATGGCACAATTCTATTGGCTTCTGAGAAATCCGTACTTGTTTAACCCCATCCATCGGGGAGGAAGACCATAGAGAAGGCAGTACCGCTGCTGAGTCAGCTTTTCTGCCAAATTTAAATTTCAACCTCAGCTATGAAAATTGACCCGAAATGGAAAAAGTAGCGGTAATGACAAAAGTATACTTCCACACTCCTATAAGTGTGAAAAGTTAAGATTGAAATATTTTGAGTAAACTGTTATTTAGTCCCTGTTTTTTAGTTAAATAACTAGTCAATCCCTTTGGTTTAAACATCTTGCGTTGGAGGAGTAAATTATAAATTAATTCCTATAATTTTAAGAAATAAACTAATTAGTCTCCTTGTTTCAAAGCGGATAATTTTATTTGGGTTTTATGTATATTGAGACTTTAATTTTTTCTATCTAATTTAAGAATTCTACTCTTATGTTGTTATCGTTTCGGACCCCAATCAATGACAGATTACCACGCAAGCACGCATGACAAGCTTTAGCTAATGATGGCTTATTACGTCACCAATTGAATTATCTAATTTGAATTCATTGTGATACATGATAAGTTGTCATTAGTCGGAGTTTCTCATATATTCTTACGTGGCTCATTAAAATCTGAAAAAATAATAATATAAGAATAGAACTCTTAAATTAGAAAGAAAAAACTCAAAATCTTAATTAAAAAAATTCAAATTAGACGGAGTCTTGATATGTGCAAAACTCAATTTTATTGTTTAACTAATGTTGATCATATATGATTTAATATTACTTCATGCTAAAAAAATTTCTCATTAATTTTTTTTATTTTTCAAAATAAAATAAATTATAAAAAATACCAATTTTGCCAACCGACCAAAATTACCAATTTTGCCACAAAGGAGCCAAGTGACTAACTTATGATCTTCAAAACTAACAGGACTAAGTTGTAAGAGCATAAGCGAATAAAGGACAAAACAAATAAATTCAGATTTTTTTTTGGGTTGGGGGTTTTAGAAAAGCAGAAATTGGCGGTTGGTTTGGCTAGGGTTTTAGTATTATTTTTTTTATTATTATTTTTCTATTTAAATTCAACCCTATTTATTTTTCTTGAAAAACAGAAAAGAAATCATTTTAAGTTAGGCTACAGTGTCGGCCCTAAACAAACAAACACATTCCACTCTCTCTTCTCTTCGGAATCTCCAAAAAAAAAAAAAAAAAAAAAAAACCATCAATCAGACACCAAATCGTCAACAAACACCAAGGTAAGCAAACCCTACCTGTCCCTTTCTGTGATCTCTTTTTTGTCTTTTTTTTTCTGTAAAAAAACTCTGTTTATTTAATTTCTTCTTCGTTTTAGGATTTGTTTTTACAATGTCTTGATGAATGTTAGGAAGAAGTACTTTAATGTTTAGGTATAGCCCTAAACCCTGATTTTTTTTCTATTTTGGTTTCTGGGTTTTTATTTTTTTTTGTGTTTCGGTTTTCTACGGTGTCCTTTGTATTGTGGTTGGTTCTTGAAACGGCGTGATGTGGGATAAGGCCATGTCGTTTTTGAGACCTTGGCTTCTTGGTTACCGAGGGAAAGAAGAAAGTAGAGGGGAATGGGTGTGTGGATCATGGGTTTTTTTGCCCTAACAAATAGATAATTTATAAAAATAAATGTTTTTTTTTTTTTTTGAATGAGGGGTGGGATCATAATGTTTATGTAAGTATGTGGATACTATCGAATGGCAAGCTGTTTCATTAATTTGCATTGCTTGAAACTCGAAGCAATCTTAATGTGATGTGTTAAGTGGTTTCGTTGTTGAACTGTATATTTTTAGGATAAGCCCTTTTGTTTTTTGGATTTTGTGTTCAGTATTGTTTTGGGATGCATTTAATCGAATAAAAAAGGGTAAGTTTGTTAGGAATTCGTTGGGATAAGTTACTATCGTGTTTTGCTTATCTTGCATTTCAATGCAACCATGTTATTGAAGAATGTGGATAGTATCAGATATTTTTTGATTGAACACTGAAAAGTTCTGGAAGTAGTTTTTCAACCTTCGAAGGGTTTTGCATGTCTGTATTTTTCTTTCACTAAGAAGAGAGCAGAGGGTAAAAGCTCTTATACTCCATGTTTCTTTGTGTTTTGTAGATTAGTTTGAAGGGACGCTTTTTACCATCAAACGCTTGCTTTTGGACTATGGGATCATGTGCTTTTTGATGTCGCAGTCATACAAAGGTAGTAGAAAATAAAAACTCCCAACATTTATTTTCCAGTAAGTTGTTTATATGTTGGTGAGAACATGGAGTCGCTTATGTTTTTTGAGGTTTTCATTGTGGTTCATCTTTACAGGTGCTTCAGAATTGCAAGAAAGTTGTGGTGAGGGAGATGAAAGTACAAAGAGAGGGGCGTGTTTGTTGGAGATAAAACGCACTGGGATGGTACAGTGGGGAGTCAGCAGGCAGGTTGAGTTCATTGACAGTCCTGGGGAAAATAACCCTCAGCTTCCATCTGCCATTATCAAGCATGGACAGAAGAACCCTGAACTTCCATCTGCCATTGCTAAGCATGTGAAGAAGAATCCTCAATTTCTATCTGTCATTGTCAAAGAAGAAATAAAGAATGATGAAGCTGGGGATGATTCTCTTGTGTTGCCAGAAGCTAAGAAAAGGAAGCGTCATGCCCTCAGCGTACACAGAGAAGCAGGAGCTGTGAGAAGTGCTAAGGCAAAGAAAACTAGTCTTGTTTATAAGCGTAAGCAAAACAAGCTTGAAAATTCCATATCTGTGAAAAAGGAGAATGTCAAGGATAGATGGTCAGTAGACAGGTAAAGTGTAAACCATTATTCGTTTTCTTCCTATCAGTTGGGTTGATATGTCACATGGTGCTTTATAAAGTGAATGATGTATCTGTTTTGAAGGTATAATATGGCTGAGAAAAGTATGTTGGAGGTCATGAAGGCCGAAGGGGCAGTGTTCGAGAATCCCATTTCCCGGTCAGCACTGAGAACGGTAGCTCGTAAACACATTGGTGACACTGGACTCTTAGACCACCTACTGAAGCACATTGATGGTAAAGTGGCACCAGGTGGCACTGAGCGGTTTCGTCGGTGTTATAACACTCAAGGGATAATGGAGTACTGGCTGGAGAGTGCTGACCTGGTTAAAATTAAGCAGGAGGCTGGGGTGCCAGATCCAAACTATGTTCCCCCATCTTGGTGGAGGCCTGGTAGTGCTTCACGAGATTCTGTTTCTGCTGAAGAATTGACTCTGCTTAAAGAGGAAGTAGCAAAAATGAAGAGGTAAATAAAGATAGTACTTGAATAAAAGTCTCGTTTATATTGAGCTTAGGTGTGTTATGTTCCTTGAATAATTAAGTCTGCCTCTTATAGGGATATGGAGGAGCTGGTATCTAATAATCAAGAGCAGCATCAAGCTAACCAAATTGGGGTGAATTTTGAATTACAATCTGCATTAGAATAATAAGATAATTAAGATTGCTTTATTCAGCTTCATTTTAAGTCTTTGTTCTTTCAACAGGATATTTACAAGGAATTTGTGGAATGGAGAGGTAAGACAGACCAGCGCCTGATGGAGATTTCAAGTTCTTTGGGTGGTTTGCAGGTATCCTGCAAACAACTTATCTTCTGTTTAGTCTTTCAACTTCTGACATACTATTTGCACACGTCAGTATACCTCAATCAACTGCCCCTGATTTTGCCTTTTGGACAGAGCATGTATAAGGAGGTGATGACATGGAAGTCCAAGACTGAACAACAACTCAAGGAAATCTCAAATTCACTTAGCAGCATGCAGGCATCAAAGCAATGCACTACCCTTAGTCCAGTTTCTGAAAGATGGGAGGACTGGTTGGAGGGCACCAATTTGGATAATCTTCAAGGGGAAGACTTTGCACCTTGGTTAGAGAACACTGATTTGGTTAATGTTCGGCAGAATGCCTCACTGCAAGAACCCTACAATGCCAATCAACCTTGGTTGAAACCCTGTGATAGATCCTCTCAGGAGCCTGTTTGTGCTCGAGAGCTGGAGCTGCTTAAGGAAGAAATGGCCAAAATGAAGAGGTGATTAGACTCTTATGTTTTTTTTTTTCCCCTTCTTTTTTGGATAATTGGAGGACCATAAAAATTTAATGCACAATTTCGAGACAAGGTCTAGAGGGATTTATGTTTGACCTATATCTGTCACAACACCCCTCCCCCTACAAAGGCAAAAATATCATTATTAATGTCTGAGGTTTGTTGCGCCCTTTTCTGTTATAAGCAGAGATGTGCTGGAGCTGGTACCCAAGAGGATGGAGGAAGATCAAGCTAATATGACCCCTGATTCATCTGCCACGGCCAATTCCAAGTCAGAACTTGACAATTCATTTTCACACTTTCAGGTGACATTTGATTGCAGCTGGTTAAAATAACTTGCTTTCTTTACCTTCTATCATGGTTTATGAGCTCAATTAGCCACATATTTTAAATGCTCTCTTTGCAGGAAACGTTCAAGGACTTGGGAAATTGGAGAGGGAAGATGGAACAACAGATGCTGGAGATTTCCAATGCTGTTGATACTTTACAGGCATCAAAGCAACACTTCACCTGAAGCCTTTACATGAAGATAGAAACGATAGGAAGGGATAGGATGTTAGTGATCTTTCCTTCCATTTTGAAGAAAACCAGTTACCCTTAGTAGGATTAGATACTGTACAGGTTTTTACAAGCTAAAACAAGAGCTCCTGACGATTCCAAGTCATCCAAACCAATAGGACCGGCATCTGACCTTTTGTCCATCTAATGGAACTTACACGAACCATACCTTACCTATGAGATGCTAATTGTAGAGATCTTGCTTTGCTGTTCTTGGGATATAGGTGAAGATGGACACCTTGGAGTAGATCCTTTTTACTGTCTAGCTAGTTATGTAAGTATATTTTATTTAGGATGTGGGATGGTAATGAGTTTATATGACTATTGCTCTCCTTTATGGTTACTTGCAGTTCTCAATGTTTCTCTTCTGTGTTGGCCAAAAGTAACATAAAATAGTTAACTGCTATGTGTTAGAAAAGATTTTTAGTTGGAGGTTTTATGTTCAAACTTTAGGAAGAATGTGATGAGAATTTAAGTATAAAAAAGGAATTCTATTAAAATTTTATTATATGGTTCAAAATACCTAAGAGAAACTCACTGATTTTAGACATCTAGAATGTACTCTCTTCTATTTTTTAGTTAAATGGTTTAAATCTCTCTTGAATGTTAAAATCATTTGAAAACTAGTGTTCTAACTTCTAATTTTAAAATGGATCTTTCTTTAACTATTTTTATTTAAAATTGATTTTTTATGTTATGTTTTTATTTTCTTAATGGTGGAAGTATATGTGGCTGGCATTTAGTTTTTTTTTTTAATTTCTCCAACAGTTGAAATTTATGGATGCCTTGCTTTTTTCTTTCAAAACTTTTCTTTTATTTTGAAATATTCTTTAATTGTTTACGGCGAATTGCATTTACTCATTAGAGTTGATAAAAATAAAAAATAAAAACTTGACAAAAAGATTCGATTTCAAATAAAAAACAGTGGGGGAAAGTCCAATTCAAAATTAGAAATTGAAAAGCTAATTTTTAAATGATTTAAAATTCATGAAAAAATTGGACCATTCAACATTATTTTTAACAAAATTATCTAAAATTTATTTAAATAACAAGTGATAATTTTTTTTTTAACTCATACATAAAAGACTATTAGCGAATTAATCTGTTAGGATTGAATCCGTGATCTTTTATATCATTCCTAAAATAGTGATGATCTCATACCTCAAACTTCTTTACGCAATAAAAATGAATTAAAATTATAATATCAAATTAAAACCAGCAAACATAATTCTTACATAAATTATGGTCTACAACTCATCAACATAACAAAACAAAAGATATCCAAATCAAATGAATTCTTTTTGGAATTTGTTTCCATTTTCAACATATTTGGTTGGCAAAACAACCAAGAAAAAGAAAAAGTGGGGATCCATTGGCAGATTTTCTTTATTCTATTTCTTCCTGAATATACTCACATTCCCAAAAGACATTTTAGCTTCATAGATGCAAAGAATATATCACATCATCACAAAGTCCTTTGTTTGTTTGTCCCACCAAGCAACTTGCAAGTTGGCAATCCTTATTTTAGTTTCATATATTATTCCATTTTGTGCCCCACATCATGGTTCACTAGAATAAATTACAAATTGGTCCCTTTATTTTTAATAAATAAATTAATTAGTTTTTTTATTTCAAAAATTAATTATTTGATCATTGTTGACGATGCTTAATTTAATATTATTTTATTTCAAAAAATAGTTCTATTTTCATCCATCTTTTCTTACTATTTTTTATTTTTAAATAAAAAGAGCATAAAATGAATAAAAATAACTAAATGATTAGTTTCAAAAATAAGAAAAAATAATTAATTTGTTTTTGAAAACTAAAGGGACTAATTTATAATTTATGCTAGTTCATTGCTGAAAAACTGAAGCAAGAATGAATACAAAAAGTTTAATCCTGCCCATCATTTCAAATATTATCTCCTATGCTTGGCATGATGTATGCATCTATTTCTTACATAAGAATTTGTTATAATTTAATTAAATATTTATCATTATTCTCCTCGGCATTTTATTACATTACTTTTTGAGCTTCTTACATGCTGAGAATCATTTGATCACGTGTCTGCGCATGTGAGTGTAGAGTAGATTATAAATCAATTCCTCTAATCTTGAGAGATGAGTTAATTAGTTTTTTTATTTTAAAAACTAATTATTTTATTATTTTATGTTTATTTTTATTTTATTTTTTTATGAAAAAAAATATATATATTATGGTGGAATGCATGCATACCTGCACTGTATTGCGTAGTGGGAAGTGCTACCCTAGGGCTAGAGCTAGAGAAAGCAGCTGCTCCCCAAAGTTTATTTTAGTCCCTATAGTCTTACAATTTTTTTTTTTACATGTGTCTTTAGCAAATTATAATTTTACCCTCAAATAGTTATAGTTAAATGTTTGAAAGAGCAAGAGAGAGGTACTTAGCCATAATAAATAACTTCTTATGAGATCTAACATTTTGATTTAATTTATTTTCTCAATGATGTATATTAAAATAATTTATACGAGAGAAAAAAATACAATGAATCCATTTATTTTCTTATTTATAGAATAATGTGCTAAATTAAAAAATATATATGAAATAGTGATATATAATAAATCAAACTCATTTTATAAATTATTTACTCTTTTAACTCAAATAAAATTCTTTTTAGTTACTTGAAAATTAACATATAAAAACAAGTAATAAATATATTATTATTTTTTAATAAGTTTTTAATTTTTATAAGTTAAACTTACTAAAATTGATAACCCTATAAATTATAATGTGTATTACATTAACAAATATAACAATTTGCATTCTTTTTTAGATATTATACACACATACATATATTATTTATAATGATCATATTAATTTGGTCTCTCCAAACTTTATAAATATAGAATCATATACATTTAGAGAAGAGGATCAACTTTAAAAATGGACTTTTAAAATTATGAAACTTAAAAAAACAGATTATGGACGAGAAATTTTATAATACACAAGGAGTAATTAGTAGCATGTACAATAGTTACTCCATGGATCCATTTCGAGGAGAGAGATACACATACGTAAAAGAGAGAAATTACATCCATACCCACCAAAAGTGACGAAGATTTGCACGTCCGTTTAAATTTTTTATTTTCTCTCTCCTATCTCTCTCTCTCTCTCTCTCTCTCTCCCCTTAAAGTGGGTCCATGGAGTAACTACCGTACATGCCACTAGTTACTCCCGGTGTATTAAAAAATTTCTCGATCATGGACGATCACATGCACAATCCTTAAAACTTTCGGATCAAAATACTCAAAGTAGGCTCCGTAAAAACGATTGAAATTTGAAACTAGCTCTAGGATTAAAACCCTATCATTTTTACTCCCGAATCATTCACACTAGGAGCTCAATCGCATAAATTCTACAAGTTTGAGGATCAAAATTTAAAAATGAAAATTTCCTTCCTCTTCCTCGTGAAACGAACGGAGACTACAACTAAAACCCAAAAAATAGATTAAAAATGAAGATTTCCTTCTTCTTCCTCCCCTATTATCTCCGGTTTGTGTTGGTTTTAACCTCTAAAATTTAATCCCCTCCCTCATATAGCCATGGTGTTTATGTCAAAATTATTTTCCATCCATTATCTTCAACATAAGAGAAGCTTGTAAGAGAGAGAGAATAAAGTCATGGAAGATAAATTTTACCTCTTAGAGCTTTTCCGAGCAAAAATGAAAAGTACAAAGATAGTAGAGCTCAAGAATGACCCTTTCTTTCCTTTTATTTCCATTTAAAAGCTTGAAACATCAATCTGCCATGGTCACTTCTTTTCTTCTCCTCAATCATGTACCTTTTCTATCTTCTTTTTCGTAGTCTAACCGAGTGTAAAAACTTACTCACTCACTCTGTTTCTCGGTTTCTTTGTTCTCTTGAGTAAAAGTTGCCGAAGCTCTCGGGATAAATCACGCTCAAAAACCCTAAAAAATCTCCATTTACGGATGTTGTCAACCCTTCTTATTTATATTTATTTTCCTCTCATTATCTACCCTAGAATCAATCCATTTCCATCCCGCCCATTGCTCATGTTCTAGTACCGGGGAGCTCCTCCTTTATTTTCTTTCTCTCACAACCGTTTCTCTGTTTTGTTTTTGTGGTAATGTTGGTTGTAGCAGGGAATAAAGGGAAGGAAAATAGATGGCTTGGGGTTTTTGTTTGGGTATTAGAGAGGTCTATGGTACAAAGGCAGTTGGAGGGTGGAGGTGGGTTCGGGACAAAATTGAAGCCAAAACCAGCTAGCCCCTATTTGTTTCTATATAGGTTAAAGAAGAAGAAGACCGAACATTGCTTATGGGTAGGAATGGCAATGGGACGAGACGGGGATGACCCTCGAAAATTTTACCCCGTCCTCTTTCAGTGCTTCGCACGGAGCAATATTTTTCATATCATCCCCGTCCCCATTTGGGGACAGGGATCCCGTAGGATATCAATGCTTCATTTAATTTTTTTTTCCCACCCTGTCTCGTCTCATTCTATTACCAAATTTCAAACTATAACAAAAAAATGATAATTCATAAAGAAAATAAACTTTATGAGTTAGCGATCATAGATTTTATATAGGATGTAATTATAATTTTAAGGATGGAGTGGAGCAAATGGGGTGGGGTAGGCAAATACCATTCAAGCCTCATCCCCATTCAAAATAAATATGAGGTGGGATGGGGCTTCGTCTGAACGGGGCAAATTGCCATCCCTAGTTGCGAGTGAGGGAAAATAGAGCCAACGGATGACATGACGAGTCGTCCATTGCCAAAGATTCAAGTTTATCGAGCTTGTCTCTTTAATTTTTGTCCTTACGCAATCCAATTTCCTTTCAATTAAATCCTTCGAGCAGAGTTATTTTGATCCTTTTGGTTTTAGTTCTTTCCGTTTAACCTTTAATTTTTCTCTATTGTCCCCTAAGATTCTTGGTATTTATGAATTGACGCACATTATTTTTCAAAAAAATGATAGTTCATATAGAAAATAAACTCTAAGGATCGGTAGTTGCGATTTTATATAGGATATAATTATAATTTTAAGGATAGAGTGGAGTGGGAAAATACTATCTTCACCCTATCCCTGTTCAAAATAAATATGAGGCGGGATGCCCCGTCCCATTCTCCAATCAATTCGAAGAATCCTCACATTGATCGACGTAAGACGGTAGGGGTGAGAAAACGGTTCGGTTAACCAAAAATTAAATAAAATCGAACCGAATTATGAAATTTGGTTCGGTTTTAAATATAAAATTGTATTATTTAAAACTAAATCGAAAAATCAAAATTATTTCGGTTCGATTTGGTTTTTGGAAAAAAAAATTCGATTTCAACCGAAAACCGAAATACATTGTAAAAAAAATCCTAATTTCTAAATCCCTAATTTGTTCAATCTTCATTCTCGCCTAAAATTAAAACACACAAACGTAGTCATAGACTCGAAGTCTCTCCAATTCTCGTCCTGTCTTCCACTCGCCTTAACCTTCTTCGTCTTCATTCCTTTCTTCTCCGGTCTTTAGTTCTCCTTCGATCCTTTTGTAATCCGTCCCTCATTCCCTTCTTCATCGGTTTTCCACTTCTCCTTCGTCATTCATCCGTCCTCCTTTATCTTACGATCATCACTTCAAGTTGAAGTGTGGCCTTTTGGTGAATGGATCTTATCCTTGTGCAACACTAAGGAAATGAAGCTTGAAGAAGTTGATCAATATCAACATCAAAAGCTTGCGCTTGGATCTTTTTGAGGTTGTTAGTTCCTCTCTTGACAATCTCTCGCATCTCGAGTGAAAGATGAGAAACTTGAAGAAGAGGTAATTGTTCAATGGCCCATGAGACTTATCAATCTTAGTATAAATATTTAAAGGGTGTTCTGTACCTTTAAAGACGAAACATGGGAAAATTCTCGCTCCTAGTCTTTAAGATTTTGCATTGTACTATACCTTGGCTTTGTAGCAATATTGTCCTCGGAAACTTTATGCGTCTTAAACTGGTTTCAATGTTTCTTGAATCTAGTAAGGAAGACATGATGAAAAATCTAAGAGTATATGGTGGCATATCCATGGTAAAAAGTTATAAGTTTTTCAAGAAAATTCTAAATTATAAATATCCAATTATTATTTATACTCTTTAACTTAAGATTTTCCTTTGTAATCTTTCGGATTATATATATATGACAATGAATCACCAATTCCAACATTGAATGCACATATCCCGCATATATGCGTCCATGATTTATCTTATGACTTATTCCCTCCAGGTAACTCTTTTAAGAGCAATACATGAAAGTGCATCAAGGATTTGTGGCATGCTTTGCTTCTTCAATTATGCTCGAGGTCACCAATAGGCGGTAGTAGCATCGCCGGTGAACACAAAAAGGAATTAAAAAAATATTTTTTTATAGCAAAATATTTCGATTAAAATCGAAATATTTGAAAACCAAACCAAAGTAATTCGATTACAAACCAAATTTATCGAATTTATTTCGATTCGGTTTTGGTTTTTGTTTTTATTAATTCGGTTAATCGAAAATAGAACCGAATCGTATCAAACCAAACCGTTTAACCGAATGATCACCCCTACAAGGCGGGACGGGGCTACGTTGAAGCGAGGCAAATGGCCATCCCTAATTGTAGGTGAGGGAAAATGAAGACAACGAATGACATCACAAGTCGTTTGTTATCAAACATTGAAGTTTGTCATATTGTCCGCTTGTCTCTTTAATTTTTGTGCCTTTATAGTCCAATTTCCTTTCAATTAAATCCCTCGAGTAGGTTATTTTGATCCTTTTGGTTTTAATTCTTTCCATTTAACCCTTAAGTTTTTCTAATTGTTCCCCAAGAATATTGGTATTTGTGAATTAACCCACATTATTTTTCAAATTAATTACAATTGAAACTCTAGAATGTGAAATCAACTATTTTCTTTTCCTTTCTTTTTTTGTTTTTGCTTTTGTATTTATGGTAAAATGATAACAATGAAAAAAGGGAAATTGATCCAATTCTTTTTTTTTGTCTTTTCTCTTCTTTTTTTATTTTTTGTTTCATTTTCATTTTTTTTGGCGTAATGATAAATATAATTAAAACACAATTAAAAGCTAAGGATAAAAAACTAATAATAAAAAAAATAAAAATACATGAACAACCCACACAATATAATTAAAAATAAAAAAGAATAAAAAGAATTTCTAAAACGAGTTATGGGGTCCAAAATTAGTTATAAATTAATCTCTTTATTTTCAAGAAACAAATTAATTAATCTCTTTTATTTCAAAAATAATTATTCAATCTATTGATCGATGTTGATCACTCTTATTTTATTATATTATTATTTTTAAATGTCATACTTTCTCATTAGTTCTTTCATACATTTTTTTTACTTATTTCTTACTCTTTTTTATTTTTATAAAAAAATATATCATAAAAAATTTAAAAATATGAGAACTAAATAATTAGTGTTTAAAATAAAAAGAACTAATTAAGTTATTTCTCAAAATTAGAAGACCTAATTTATAATTTACCCCGTAACTTTGGACCAATCCAAACCTATATTGTAAGGATTGTTGAATAACTGGTCCCACAACCTAAGCCAAGCAGCCCATAGAAATAAGGAAAAAGGTGTCTAAGGCAGACATTGGAACTTATATTTTAGATCTTAGTGAGAGAAAAGTGTGCTGCACAGTCAGCTAGAGAGAGAAAGAAACAAATCTCATCTAAATCTAGAGAGAGAGTGACTAATGTGCATGTCCTAAAACAGAATCTAGTCTACTCAGCAGAGACTTAATTCCATTCTAGTCCCTATATCTAACTAAAACTAATTAACGAATCCCTATAGCATATAAAATAATTAAAGAGCCCCTTGACCAGAATAGACAAATATCAATTCAGTATTTTTTTTATTTTTCCAATAAATCATTATTTCTTATATAAATTTATTCATCTTATGTATTCTATTTTATTTTTTATATTTATAAAATAGAAACAATGCCAAATAAATTGAAAAACAACATAAAATTGACGAAAGAGCTGAGCTATAATTGATTTAAAAGAATGAGGGTTAAATATATAATAATTTTAAACAATAAGGACTAATGTATAGTTTCTTATAACTGTATGGACTGAGTTAATGTTTCACACTCGTCAAACATAACAAAAAGTCTTCTTTCTCATTTCTCGTCACTATGGAGAGAGAGAGAGAGAGAGAGAGCGCGTGCGTCATAGAGAGGGATTCAAGAACCAAGACTGAAGCTTTTTCTTGAGTACTTTTGAACCCACTTCAGGTTTTCAGTTTGTAGCCATGGATGATCAAGCAAAACCCTCATCAACTAGTGCACCACCACCACCACCGCCATCAAGACCTAAATGGGTGCTTCCATACAAGACCCAGAACTTAAGAGACCATTACAGCATAGGGAGGAAGCTTGGTCAAGGACAGTTTGGTACAACTTTTCTTTGTACGCATAAGACTTCAGGCAACAAGTATGCTTGCAAGTCAATTCCAAAAGAAAGCTTCTTTGCAAAGAAGATTACGAGGATGCGTGGAGGGAAATCCAGATAATGCACCATTTGTCAGAGCACCCACATGTGGTTAGGATTAGGGGGCTTATGAGGATATTTCTTGTGTTCACTTGGTGATGGAGCTTTGTGAAGGAGGTGAGCTTTTTGATAGGATTGTTAAGAAAGGGCATTATAGTGAAAGAGAGGCTGCTAAGTTGATTAAGACTATTGTTGGGGTTGTTGAGGCTTGTCATTCACTTGGTGTCATGCATAGAGATCTCAAGCCTGAGAACTTCTTATTTCATAGTGTTGAGGAGGATGCTCCTCTTAAAGCCACTGATTTTGGGCTATCTGTGTTTTACAAGCCAGGTTGGGTTCCTTCACTTCTTAGGTGTTGCTTTCTTTCTTCATGCTCTGCTTGTGTTTTTCTTTAATGGTTTTGATTTTCTTCAGATTTAATCTTTATTTTGGTGCTACTGAATTAATCTTGGTTTGGGGGTTTCCTAATTTCTTTACTGTTCAAAGACAGACTTAATTAAGTTTTGATCTGGGATTATTTGTGTTCATTCACTCTGTTTCTTTCATTTTGTCTTCGTGTGTCTCTAAAAAGATCGTATCATTTAACTTAGTTGAGAGTGATTTCTGATAATTAGAATTTTACTAATGCAATTGATCATCACTAAGACACTACTATCTCCAGTCCCATGTCTTCCAATCTCTTTAAATGCTTTTGAATTTAATACCAAATATTCTATGAGCTATTGTATATCTGGGTACAGAGCCTAAAATTCCAATTAGGCGTTTGTTTCAAGGAGTGGATTCCTTTATTCAGAATTTGGCCTTTGAAATCTGGAAAATGAGAAGTTTCAGGCATCGTCTTTTCTGATCAAGCATGTTAATACATTTAATAAGGGCTCTGATACTTCCTTGCTTGAAATAGATAGTTTTTCTGGAAGTGGGGGACCCAATTTGGGCCATTTTATGGTTGGACAATAAATCCTCCTTACCAACTATCTCTGCGGGCTCCCAGCAATCAATGTTTCAATAATTAACCAAGAAATACTCGACTACAATGTGGAGGTGGTTGAGGTATTTTGTTTCTTTATACATGACCGAAGTTATTTTATGTTCAATACTCGTAGGTAAGTACATTTCAGAGTAGTCTAAGATGAGATAATTGCTTAAATTTGCTCCCAAAGTTACTTGCCAGTACCTCAGATGGTGCTTTAACATGTTTGCACAAAGTTTTTTTTTTTAATAGCTATTTTGCTTCGATTTGTTATTCTGTTTGTTGAACGAATTAAATTTGATTAATTTCTTACAGCTTCTAGCTGGGCATACTTCGCCCTCAGACATTTGAGTTATTCTTCGAGTTTCGTTTTCTTTCTCTCTTATTGAAATCCTGAGTGTTCTCATCTTGAATTTTTCTCAAATCTGATTATTAAAATGTTTTGCTGTCTCGCTCTCTCTTGGTATCTCCTAATTTGACTTGAAACAATAAAAGAGAATGTATTTCAGATTCTTATCCATTTGTCTTTTTTCACATTTTCTTTGGGAAAAAAAAATCCTTTGTTTATGGTAGGTAAGCTTCTGCAACCTGGACAACACTTTCTCTCCTATGATTTACAATATGTGTTTTTGCCTGCATGTGTCTATATACTTAGGAACTATGATTCTGAATAAATAGAAATCTTCAAAGTGGATTTGCAGTCAATTAATATCTTCTATTTCAGAATTGTTGACCTATGGGATTTTGTCCCCTTTGTTCCGAAAGCCATTGCTATTTAAGTAAAACCTTATCATCATTTAATCATGCGGTATGTCTTTGTCTGAGTGTACTTTATTTTGTGGATTTACAGGTCAAACTTTTTGTGACGTTGTTGGGAGTCCATACTATGTTGCACCGGAGGTGTTACGCAAACATTATGGACCTGAAGCAGATGTATGGAGTGCAGGAATTATTTTGTACATACTGTTAAGTGGTGTGCCACCCTTTTGGGCAGGTAATAATTTTTGGGTTCCTGCACTGATGTATCAGGACTGGATGGGTATAGTTTCTAAGAATTGAGTTTTTGTGCTACTGACTTTTACTGACAATATTCCATTTCTTCTTTTACTCTTTTATAAACGCCAGAAACTGAAATGGGGATCTTCAAGCAGATATTGCAAGGAAATTTAGATTTTGACTCTGAACCATGGCCTAGCATTTCAGACAGTGCCAAGGATCTGATCAGAAAAATGCTAGAACGGAATCCAAAGAAAAGGCTAACTGCTCATGAAGTACTTTGTAAGTCTCTTCAATTTTCTTCAAACAAGGATGCAGGAGTATTAGGCTTAAAAAAGTCCCCATATGGTGATTACTGATGGATTTTACAACATCATGTTACCTATGTGACCTTTTGTGCCAGGCCACCCATGGATTGTGGATGACAGAATTGCCCCAGATAAACCTCTTGATTCTGCTGTTTTATCGCGCCTCAAGCAGTTCTCTGCTATGAACAAACTTAAGAAGATGGCTTTGCGTGTAAGATTCTTGCAGATGTGTAATAGTTTTCTTTGATTATGTTATTGGTTCCATTGGAGAAGCTACACACATATCAACTAGACTGATTGTTAAGTGAACTGATATGTTACCTCTAAAAAACCAAACCTGCTAATGCTTTGGCTATTTGCATGCACAACTGCTTTATTTGGTGGCACAGCAGCGATCCCTTTAGTGAGTTCTCTGCTTGCATGCAGCTAGATAAGAGAAGTTAACAATTCTTATTATCATCATGTTGGTAAAGTGTTGAGCTTTCCCTTTAGTAAGTTCTCTGCTTGCCTACACCTAGATAAGAGAAGTTGACAATCCTTAATATCCTCATGCTGGTAAAATGTTGATCATATGATGTCTAATTAAGATTCTCAGTGTTAAATCCCGTTCATAAGTTTTCTGCTTCTTTCATAGCATGCTGGGGGCAATTTAGAAGCTGCCCTTGTAGCAAAATATCTAAAGCATGATTTATATAAGTTGGTGTACTGTTTTGCATCTTGGTCTCAGGAATGTAAGCAGCTTATGAATGCTTTCAATCAGAAATTGGTTGCTAATCAAAACAAATGTATAGTCCTTTGTCTGTGGTCTTCTGCTTTCCTTTTAGCATATTACATAATATATTTGAGTCTTTAACAAACTTTTGTCACCATCATTTGTTTTTCTTTCTGATGGTTTTTGTTCTTGGCTGTGAGGCATTCTTCTTGTACGATTCTAGTCTCTTGGCATTTTGATCTTTTATTATGTTTAATTGTTTAACATTGTGTGGAAGTCATTCTCCGAAAGATTATTGGTTATTAAAATAATTATCTCACATGTAATGGACCTAATATGAACATGGAATTTTGAAGAAACGTGAAGAATAATATAAAGAGATGGATACTGGATATAAGTACACTTAACTTGCTTAAAGTTTTAGATCTGGTTGCTTAACATATTCAATGAAATTTTTGTTTGATAAATCAGTACTCTTAATCAATTTTGATAGCGATGAGACTGGGCATGCTCATAGTACTTCCTGTCTGATTCCACTTGTACCCAGAAACAGACCTATACAAATTCATGTGCTTGGACACATGTGTTTATATCCATGTGTGTATCTTTGTTTATATGTTGTAATGCTGACCTCAAGTGATGCATACTGATTCTCACAATGAACTTTAGGTCATAGCAGAGAGGCTTTCTGAAGAAGAGATCGGTGGTTTGAAAGAGTTGTTCAAGATGATAGACACAGACAACAGTGGAACAATCACTTTTGATGAATTAAAAGACGGCTTAAAGCGAGTCGGCTCTGAACTAATGGAGTCTGAAATAAAGGATCTGATGGATGCTGTAACAAAACTTGCTCTAATCCACTGTAGTTTCTGTTTTGTTTCCTAAAGCAGTTGGTCGAGTTGATATTGAACAAGTACATTCTTTGTCGGTTTTTCTGGCAGGCTGATATTGACAACAGTGGAACAATTGATTATGGTGAATTTCTTGCTGCTACTGTGCACTTGAATAAGTTGGAGAGGGAGGAAAATTTAGCATCTGCTTTCTCATTCTTTGACAAAGATGGTAGTGGTTACATAACCATCGACGAGCTTCAACAAGCCTGCAAAGAGTTCGGCTTAAGTGAACTCCACCTTGATGAGATGATTAAAGAAATTGATCAAGATAATGTAAGTCGGTTCTTTATTCTTGTTTCAATTCATTTATTTTTCTCAGAAAATAAAGGATTTTGGAGCTTTACTCTGATAAATCATCGAGTGAATTTGTTCTAAGAGCTGTAGGAGCTTTTGAGAACATCATGTGGTTGTGAAAATCGTGGCAGGATGGGCAAATTGACTATGGCGAATTTGCTGCAATGATGAGGAAGGGCAATGGAGGAATCGGGAGGAGAACAATGAGAAGGACATTTAATTTGGGAGATGCTTTAGGGCTCACTACCAATGGATCTAAAGAATCCGATTGATGCTCACATGAACTTTTTTAACTCTCTATCTTACTCTTGCAAATATTGGCTAATCTTAATCTTCATGAATGGCCTTGCCAAATTTTGAGTACTGAATGGTGCCCTTCTATTATTTTTTTGTTTTGAGTTCTTTTCTATAAATTTGGTTTATGTCTTGATCTCGTTCTTCTATTAGCTTTTTCAGTAATCAGTGTCAACTTTTTTTTTTTTCTTTTTCTCTCTTAACCTCATCTTTCTACTCTGTTATTCTATCATTCAAAGGAGGTTAAGCACACATAGACTATCTTACCTGAAAAAAACTCTGTTCTTTTCTTTCTTGCACCTTGCTACTTGATCTTGACATGTTATCAAATGTTCTTACAAAATATAAATTGCATCAATTTACCATCAGCCCCAATTGATATCTTTCCATTGTTTAATTTTCTTCTTTTTAGCATTTTCATTTCCCCACAATTTTGAGTTATTTATGTTTCTTTTAACCATTTTGATCAGTCCAATCGATTTTCTAATTAACGAAAAAGAAGAAATTAACCACAACTCTTTAATTTAGTTTAAGAATGAAAATCATTAAAAACCAACATTATTCCTGCGTACATCAAATGGTTACAAAACTACTTGTAGATACACAAGAAGCCACAGCTAACTTGGAGATAGAAAATGCACCCTGGCAAGTGCGTATTCTTTTCCAGCTATCCAAACGCCAGTTTGTGACCATTGCACATCTTCCCACTCTAGATTCTCCTCCAATACCTGTTCAAATATAAAGATGTGCAAGTCAGGCCATAAGGGTAGAAGACTGGTGTCTCCTTAAGGAATCATTTACTCTCTGGAAATAATCCGAACTTAAACAACTAAACATGAAGGCAAGTTGCTGGAAAAGAAATTGGGATGAAGTACCTCAACATGTTCAAGAGGCAATGGGATGCCTACCGATCGCATGACCTTCTGTGGTAGTGGTTTCTTACAGCGAGACCACCGGAATACATCAATAAGAACATTATCAGTGTCATTCTTCTCACCGTTTGAGGAATGTGGGTGGTGATTATGGGACTTCTCTGTCTCTTCATGCACCTGAGAAGCCTGTGTCGACCTCACCATTTTCTCTCCGGTAAAACAGAGCTCATACCTTCAGATAAAATAAAAAATTAGAATCAGAGCAGCACTAAGAAGTCACCACATGAACCTCATGATTTCAGTACCTCAAACTTACAAAAAAAAATACACAATTGCCAATTTTTTGCAGATATAAACCAATATATATTGGTTTTACCATGCTGGGCAAACAACAAAACAGTAATGAGCAAAACATCGAGACGTATGTAGCAACTTTCAGCAAGTCATAGAAAGAATGGAAACCAAGGAGAACAAACCATCAACTCATTGGCAAGCAAGTTTCCAATCCCATTACAGGTTTGTTACATGCCAGAACATTATCCTTCATTTACAGTTTGGACAAGACACTACACCATAAATTTACATGAGGGTTCTGTCCGTGTCTTAATGAGAAACAACTTAAAATTAGACATGCAATGCATGCAGACTGCATAGGGAGAAGGTAACAAATAGTGAATAGCCAAGCCTTGTCAATATATACTAGAGATAAGAGAAACGCAGTGGAAAAACATAAAATACAGAAGCTAAAGCGATTTGCCAGAAGACAAAAAAAGTGCCACCAAAACTTTGGTGCGGTATCAAGTTGCCAAGCACAAAAAAAGAAAAGAAAAAAGAGTACCTGCATGAATGTGTTTCTAAATATAGAACCTCTCCCTTCTTCAAGCGTGCAGAAGTATAGAGAGGCTTTTTCAGACCCTTGTCAGCAACGATACTGATGCTGTATTTTATCCTGATACATTATGCAGGCGCAAATCAATCATTTTATTAATTGGAAGTGAAGAAATAAGATGGATAAAGACAACAGTAGTAACAAGAAATTGGAAAATTACAAACATCTAGCAACGCAAAGTGGTATCTTTGCATTTATCAAATTAATAATAGCTTAATGAAACATGTCCTGGTAACATTCTAAACTCCAGATAAGCATGTCTACTGGCTAGAAACTCTGGAGAGTTGATCGAGTGAAATATCTTGTATGGAAAAAACTAAATAAGAATCATAGATCAAGGGTTAGGCACATAAAGTAAACTGGTGTCAGAACCTTGCGACTATTTGTTGTGTGTTACTAAACAAAGGCTTAAAAACCTTGGTAGCTATTAGTTTTCATAACCAAACAAATCCCATACAGAAAATAACCATAATTCATTAAAAGTCTATGAACTTCAAAACAATAAGTTAAAAAGATGACTGATGGCTTCACAGAATAGATAGTTAAATTTGGTTTGGGTGGATAGGAAATAAGCTCTGAATGAGATTTATGTAGAGAGTTGTTCTAAAGAAAAATGTTCAAACCCTTTTTTTTCCTCCACACTTAATCGCAGAAAGAATTTAATCCAAGCATGAAAACCTACAATCTATTTCAAACATAGCAATATGCTAAAAAATATACATTTTCACGGGAAGAAACCATGGTACATCACTGAGTTGATACAGGTCATCATCACATCTTTATTGCAGCCTTAGGCTCATGAAAAGCAAGGCCCACAGGATCAACAACTACTAGCACAATAAAAAAGCATATTGCATTTAAACAACATGCGATTGATACTTTCATTAACAACTACATGCTATGGATATCACCATTACTAAAAAGACAGCCAATGGCCGCCAAACCATTTTCCACGATGACAAAATCAAATCCTACTTTCCAGAAGACACAAATATCTCCAAGTACCATATAGCTCTGAAAAAATGCAGTATATCACATTTATCAAAAAGATCTGGAGTCTACCATGGCTCATTGCATAGGTTGTACTGTATTGTAACTTCACGTACAAATCTCTGTTGCCGCAATGCATTCTGAAAAGGAAAGCCATGCTAACGTAAATAGATCCAAATAGTAGGAAAAGAAAGCACTTGGTCATAAACAAATATTTTAGCTTTTCTTGTAAGTAGTCACAAATATATTATTACCACAGCAATAAGCAAAATCATAAATCATAAAAGAAACAGGGCAAGATGCAAGTCTATGATGCATATAACTGTTGTTACTTAGCAGATGCCGGAACAAGTTGCAAGAACTATCCAACAGAACATTGCTTAATCAAAAACTGTAAACAGGAGATGGGAACAAAATACAGATTAAGTAAAAGAGGCTAAACCCAAAGGGCTATGGAAGAAATATGGCAATGTCATACCGAAGCTGCAGCGCGGGTAGTCATCGTCCGTTCAACAGCCACAGGAGCAAGGGTAGGTTCCACTGCTGATGTATGTGTAAGACAGGGCTCAAGATCAATGGTTCCACCTCCTTTCTGAAATATATAAGAAAATATAAAGAAGCATGAGGGCTTTTTTACTTTCACTATGACTTTGTAGGGGAAAAAACAAAAAAATAAAACCAGCAAAAGCAGCAAGAGATATTAGTGATGATTGGTAATAGCAACGTTATTATAACACCCTCTATATCCTGGAAAAATGAAACAGCAGATATTTCTGATGTTCTCAGTAAATTGCAGAAAAAAAAAATAAAAGAAAAAATAGAGTTACTATAACTAAAATTATGAAAATTGTTCAGCCACCTTCATGATGCAGCAACGCTCAACACGGTAACTACAACCAATTCCAGCTCCCCAGGCACGTGAGCGAACATTATTTCTCAGCATAGAGGTGTAGCCTAATGCAAATGTCAAAGTTAAAGGGTTAAAAGTACACACAAGTAGAGCAGAAATGGTAACACACACAAGCAGAAATGCAAAACTAGCAAGAAAAAGTCAAGCATGTACTTCATTTAGGTTTCTTATATAGCTATATAATATTAAAATAAGTAATGCCATCTTGACATTAGACAAAGAACACAATCAAGCATGTCAAATTTTTTGTAAGAGCTTTAGTTATCTTGTAGGGAATGTGCCTTTGCATCCTTGTGATTCACATGTGCAAATACGGATATGGATTAATGCATAGACATCGGCAAACTCAATGATACTATGCCAATCCCCTACACCATTTCAAAGTTGAATAGGCTTCAACCAAAACCCAAAGTTCTCAATCCATCTAGATGATATTGTTGTTTGACTCTTCAAATTTTAAACTTTAGCTTGACAAACTTTATAGGATAAAACTTCTACAGACAGCAGAAAATTCATTCTGAAGAGGAACATATATATGTAAAGTTCAGATCTAGATGATTTTGTTGTTTGACTCTTCAAATTTTAAACTTTAGCTTGACAAACTTTATAGCATAGAACTTCAACAAACAACAAAAAATTCATTCTGAAAAGAAACATATACACATAAAAGTTTACATTAAAAGCCATATCAAGATATGTAATATTTACATGCAAAACTTATTTGAATGCATGATTATGATGTGAATGATGTTTAGAGAGGCAGCATCATAAACTAAGATGGACAAAGGGGGCTTACTATCTTGTGGAGGCAACACTCTGATAGTAGCACATAACTCTTGGATGGCAGGTGGAGGAGGAGAAGCAGTGGGACGGCAGTAGCCAGTATGCATGAGAACTGCAACAACAATATTGTTTCTGTTCAAATATCAACAAATTCTACAATTAGTACTGTTGATCATAGCACACGTACCAGCAACGAGGTCAGAGTCATCCGTGTATACATCCGTCCCCCATAATTGTCCCCCTCTTACCTGCAGTTGATGAATTTAAAGAACTAAGCATGGGAATATACTAATTTAATAGTTAATACCCAAGCAAAAAGGTAGCAAACTATGCAGAGTATAAATCATGTAACATTAGAACTAGAATGTCATCTAATTGCTCTTACAAAGAAAACCAAATGTACAGCAATCCCAATGTACTTATAGTGGTCTCTTCTCCTCTAAAGAAAATTGATCGTTTCACACTTCACAGTACAAATTTGCACACATCAGAACATAAAAGGCACCCACTCACATAACATGCAACTTACACAACAGCAAATTGAACTTAAAATTTAAGAATAGAAATATCTTTCAAAAAATTCAGTTTGCAAGCGCAAGTTTGATACGTCGATTTATTAGTGAACAAGGAAAAATATTATCTAGACGGGTGAATAGATTGACTTTGAAACAACAACAACAATAAATTACTATTGCTATAAAGCAAGCTCGTATCTGATCTTCATTACCTTTTCTTAATAATGAAAGACAATTTGAAAAAAAAAAAAAAAAGACAAACAAACAAACAAACAAGTTGGTCAAAACACACAAACAAATAGAAGGAACCAAACCCCACACACAATCCATCTCATTCAATTCTAAACCTCCCTCAACTTGCAGATAAAGGCTAGTGGAGAATAAGTCAACCTTCCCATTAAACTTATACAATTAAATCATACTTTACCGAGAAACCCTCATTTGGCCAAACAAAGAACAATAAGATGGCGTAATGAGACTCCACAGCTTCAAAAGAATGTCAATAACCAAACCCCCGACCCCCTTAGCATTTGTGCAAGCCCCATGGAGCCAAAGGAAAATACATTTCCAGATCAGTTTTAAGAAAATCAAAAAAGAAATAAAGGAAGAAAGAAGCAGGCAGGAAACAATAGCTTATATGATGCAAAACAAGCAAAAGTGTCAACTATAATATACAATAGCATGCTCTTACTTGGCGATTTGTAGCAGTAACATGCTCGGCTGGTATTCGAATTTCAAGAGTGGGGCCCTTATGACTGCTTTCACCATTTTTATCAGATTGAGATGATTCATACTCCTTCCATAACTTTATCAGCTCTTGCATGCATTCACCAACTTTATAAACCACAGAGGATACTTCAGATTTGCCTGGAGCGCCAGAAGTTAAATTCAATAGCCATATAAAGAAAATAAGGTAACTTGTGAACTATGATGCTCTCTTGAGTTTTTTCAATCATCCATCAGGAGGCACTAATATGTTTACCAATAAAAGTAGTTCATGACAGCAAAGACCATGAGTTGTTGACACAAACTACTCATTCCTTGTGACAAAGAACCTTAAAAAGCCCAAGAGAACTACCTACTGGTAGAAGCTCAAGAAAATATTATACAGATGCAGAAAGACAGGGAACAGGAAAAATAAAAGGCAACACCTCATTCTGGCATATCCAATACATTACAAGAGTACAAAATGGAGGAAATTAAAAGGAAAATCTACACAAGCAGCGATAGCTAATAATTTCAGTTTCAACATTCCAATCAGCACCCACAAGGAGCTCCCTTCATTTAACTCCCCTGAAATCCACTGCACACTTAAATATAAGGAAAAACAAGATTCATATTGCAATACAGTTTTACCAAGCTGAAAATTCAGGTTTACCAAAAGGTTTTGCCCAAAAAATAAACAGATGCAATCAATATTCAGATAATGCAGACTGTGAATAGAGAATCAACAGCAAAAACGGCATATTAAGCAGCAAAATGATGATGATCACTGTAGGTGCCTCCTAATCACATCACGCCTGAAGCCTTTGGGGGTAAAAGAAAATTTTCAGTTTAGCATTGTGCAGTCAGATCTGATACCAAAACTCTTTCAAAAGCTTTCAATTTATGGTAAAAGACACCAACTCACAGACTCCATTAACCACAACGAGCGAATAAAGTTCAGCTTCATAAAATGGAATGCGACAGCTTACCTAGGCATCTGCAAGATAAAGAGGAAATTAGTTATACTGCATTCAGACTAAGTCCCATAAAAATTTACTCTTGAATTATTAGGGTGGAATCATGCTTAATTTAAACAACCTAAAAGAACCAACATACTGAAGAATTCATGACAATGAGAAATTTAGTTAAGGGTTTTGGCAAAATTAAAAGCGATACCTTCAGAAAGTATAATTGTAGGATAAATCTCTAGACACTTAGCTCTAATAACAGTAGTTTACACATGCATATCAACTATTTAAAAGCAAGCTTCCACATGGTAACTGTCAATAATCCAAAATCATCGAATGGAAAACATGCTCCCACTTAAAACAGCAATAACATACCTTTCAGTGTCCTGAGTATGGGACCTAAAACGGGGTTCACGATTTGCCACTTGTGGGCTGCCCCTTGGCCGAAGCATCCTCTTGCGCTGCTGGACTCCATAGTTAAAAATTTCTCTTTCCCTCTCAGTAGCCCTTTCACCATCTGCAAATCCATCATCGGATTCTTTGCCATACATCCTGCTGCCCTTCTCAGGTCTATCTCCTTCTATGTCAGCTTCTATTTCTTTCTTTCTGTCTTTAGCTTCTCTATCAACAGTTCTCCAGTTATCAAAATCTTTCTGTTTTTTTGGCTCTAAAACTGGATTTTCCTGTTCAAAAATTCTGACAGATCCATCCACAGATTCCTTTTCATTGTGAAAACCCTCTATTTCGGCTCCAGTTCCTGATTCTCTCTTTATGTGGTCCTTCTCCCTCTCGTTCAACCTTTCCCTGTCTTTCGACAGATCCTTCCTCTCCCGCTCCCACCTCTCTGCTTCTCTCTCTTCCTTCCCCGACTCTTTGCCCTCAGCACTACTGTTGCCAACTTGCATGTTTCCCCTTCGGTCACTTCTTTCCTTATCTCTGTCTCCCCATTCCCGGTGCTTTAAATCTTTCCTCTTCCTATCCTTGTCTTTAAATCTATCCTCGCCTTTTGAATCAACTTTATTTTCGCCAACCGCCTCATGACCTTCTGCATGATCCCTCTCCTCCATATTAGAGCCTTCCTTTACCATCTCAGCAAGGCCTTGGGAATTACCACGTGGTATATGCCAAGGATCCACATGTCCACCTGGGGATTCCGAATACCTCTTTCCTCTATGGTATTCTTTCGGTTCCTTCCAATTCACCTGACTACTTGCTGCACCAAATCCATCTTTTTCCATCTTCTTGTCATTCTTCAGATCAATATGAGCCTCCTTGTCATGCTGTGCTTCCTTATTGTCATCCCCTCTGCTCTCAAATCTCACATCCTTTTCATTTTTAACACTTTGTGATTCCCTTTTTGCCTCGCCATACACTTCTCTTGCATCAGTCCTTGGGTCACGGTTTTCAATCCAGTGATCTCTGCTGTCCTTGGAATCCCTTGATTCAAGCCTGCTTTCAGGAGCAACATTCGAATGAGAATCCATGTGTGGTTCATTCGAAGATGGCGGCATTCGATACACTGAATGCAAAGGTGATCTTCTATCTGCATCTCGAGATTCAGTTCTGGAAATCTTTGCTGCCCGAGCATCTGGACCCATCTCATATGGTGCATGGTACTCATTTGAAACTCCAGAAATCAGCTTAGGGTACGAACCCATATCTTCATGTGGAGGGTATTTTGCAGAAGAAGATGAATGACCGCCCTCTTCATGCGATCTCTTAACAGGAGCACCGCTCATACTCTGTATCAACTGAATAACCAAATCAGTAATCATCTAATAATAAGAGCATTCACCAACTGACACCCATAAAACAAGAATTAACTGTTATTGGATAGTATAGAACCACACCAAATCCAAGTACAAAAAATATAGCTTTAAACTTAAAAACAGCAAAATGGAGTTAATGATATTCACTTCAAACAGCTTCAAAAGCTTAAAACAATAAAACTATAAGTGAAGTTGTCAAATTTAAAAATCCAACTACCGCAAATGGCAAAATCTTATAACTTTCACACTCTCAGTAATTCAAATTTAAAACTTCCCTACTCATAATGAGAGGTGAATAAATCAACACAAGTTTCAAAATGAACATACTTTCTCTCCTTTTCAAACTGAGTAACAAAAAATTTAGGCTATGAATTCTAAGTAGAGGTATTTTTTTATGGAAACGAGAAAACCCAAAGACATAGACCTAATAAATTCATACAAAACATTAAAAAATGGAACATGGCAGGCAAAGAGTGAGGTTTTGTTTGTTTAGCTTTGTTGTTGTCGTACCAATCTCAACTGAATCAGTAATTTAAAAAAAAAAAAAAAAAAAATGGAAGCAATTTTACCCTAAGAATAAGAGCATTCACCAACTGCCACCTATAAAGCAATAATTTGTTGAAAATAACAGAACCTTCCAAATCCAAGGAGGAAAAGTATAGCTTTAAATCAAAGAAGAAGCAAAAAAGAAAAATAAAAATGGTCAATAACGCTCAGTTCAGACTGCTTCAAAAGCCTAAAAAAGAAGTTGTAAACTTCAAAACTTGTGGAGTATCCAGAATGACAAAAGCTTACAACTTTGACATTCAAATTCATTCAATACCCCATTATTCAATCCAAAAAAGTTTCAAACTAAGCCAACTTTCTCTCCCTATTTCACTGTAAAGATAACAAATTTAGAATCGTAAAACCCAGATCAGCAAATGTTTTTAAAGAACAAAACACCCCAGGAACATAAACCTTATAAATTTCTAAATTTCTAAACAACATTGAAAAAAGTTGAAAATGACAATGAAAGGAGAGGTATTGCTTGTTTACCTTTGTTGTTGTCGTCTCAATTTCTCTCTTTCTCTATTTCTTTCCCTCTTTCTCTGTCTCTCACTTTTGCTGGGTTATTATTTACAGTGTTGAACAACTTACGAATCTCTCTCTCCTTTTATTTCTTCCGTTACGCTAAGGCTATTGGGCTATTAAAGGCTACTGGGCTCACTCTGGTTTTAGTATCTTCATTTTTAGCCCATCAAGCCCAAAGCCCATTCCAATCATAATTTTGAGGACAAAATACAAATAATTTATATTTTACCATCACTTTCCAAATTTTTTATTTCTTAAAATTTTAAGGAACTAATTTATAATTTACTTATTTTACATCAAACTATTAATTTGCCTAAATTGAATTGTAATTCACTCGGTTTTAAATCAAAATATTCAGTTTTTTTTTTATCGATGTGATTTACACATACCGTTTTGATCTAAAATATATTTAAGTAAACTTGCTTAATAACAATGCCAAATCAATTCAGTTATAGGTATTGCACATAATTATAAAATTAGTGTAACTTTTCACTATTTGACAAAATTTTCATTGAATTTGTTTAGTCTTTTAATATTTGCATATGATAATGCTAAAAACATCCGATCCGAACTAACTGAATTATGATCCAAAATAAACCCGATAGTAAGAGTTGTAAAGAATCACAAGAATATTGTTTTTGTTTTCGGTGAGTTCATTTGTCAAGGTTTGTGATTGAGTTTTCTAATCTTTTATAACATTACATTTCCACGGTATCATATTTCATCGGTCTTTATCGAAATTGATAAAGTAAAATTGATTCAAATAGAATCATTGACACCATCGCAATATATAGGTAATTTTTGGACCTATGGATATTAATTTTAAATAATAAATGAAGATGATGAAAATTCCTTATTACAAATAATTGATCTATCAAATCTTTATTTGATTATGAATGAGATAATTGTCATGTTTACTACTAATTGAAATCATTTTACATGTTTTCTGTTCGTTAAAAAAAGGATCATCGGTGTCTTCCCATCTACGCGAGTGACTTCTCACCTACGTAAACGAAGCCGTCGACAACCACCAAAACAATTTTTATTCAAAAACTAATCATTGAAATGAAGTCATGCTAACTTATCACTTATGTGATGAAGTTGTTAGTGGTTTTAAAATCATTGTACTTGTTTTTTTGCTCGTCGGAAAATAAGCCACTCGTGACTTTTCGTCTATATGAACAAAACCGATAGCGGCCCAAAATTTATTTTTATTCAAAAAATGATCATTGAAATAAATGTATTGATAACTTTTCACTTATGTGATGAAGCCGACAATGATTTCGAAATCTTTTTATGTATTTTTTGCTCCTCAAAAAATTGATCATCAATGCCTTTACACTCGTATCGACGAAACCACCCATAAAACCATTTTTATTCACAAAATAATTATTGAAATAAATTCATTGGTAACTTCTACTTAGGTGACGAAGCCGCCAATGATTTTGAACTCAATATCTATCAATCTTATAAAATTGAAATTAAGAGGAGAGTATCCAACTCAAATCAAGCTTGGCCTAATAATCCTTACCCAAGATCGACAAATGGCAAACTTATTTTAATTTATGGTATCAACCACAGTAAAATTCTGATTAACGATCTAGTTAGATGTCCTTTCTTTTTTATTACTTTCTTTTAAGATATATTTTCGAGAAAAAATAAAATTGAATATAATTGAATTGAAGGAAACTAAATTACCTTGAAGGTGAGATATATATATATATATAGATATCTTGTTATTAAATCCAAACTAGATTATTTTGTCCGATTGAAACTACTATGATCTAATCACCAATTAATCCGAGTAGAAATAAAAAAATCAGTAAAACCCGGCCAAGCCTGAAAACTCGAAAGGTTTTAATAGCATTGCCCTAAACGAAACAAAATTAGCAAAAATTAAACACAAGGGATCATGTGAGATTAAAATCAGAAAAAAAGGGACCATTTTATTTGACAACAAATAATGTATAATACTTGGTTAACAACGTATGCGACTACCTCAGCAAGTGATCATTCCTTCATGGGTCAGATCCAACCGACTGAGAGAGAGAGATAAGAATGGACGTCTCTGTCAGACTTCCATTTCACATTTCTTAATCCGAAACTCAAGTTCTCATCTCCGTGTGGAATTCCTTGCAGCCACTACTTCTATTTAAGGAAAGAAGGAGATTGTCTTGTTCTACTTCTATTTTGATTTCTTGATTCTTTGACTGAAACAAAAAATGGCTTTGATGGAGACATTTTATCTCTCACATGGAGCTCCAACTCTTGCTATTGATGAAACCGTTCCAGCAAGACAATTCTTTCAATCATGGAAACAAAGTGTATACAAAGAGAAACCAAGTTCCATTCTTGTTATTTCTGCTCATTGGGAGACCAAAGAACCTACTGTTAATGTTGTTGATCGAAATGAAACCATTTATGACTTCTATGGCTTCCCTAAGCCCTTGTACCAGGTACTCCTCATCAATTCTTTATTTCTTTCTTTCAAAGTTTATTGCTTTTAGATTCTCTGCAGTATTTTGTTATCTGGGGTGGTCCGATTTCAGCTTGTGATTTTGTCTAGGAAGATGAATGAATCTTTGATTGATTTTTTGTATACGATCCACTTAAATTTCACTGTTCAGATTGTGATTTAAAAGTCAAGCATGCCCTTAAAGATATTATTGATTTGTTGAATTGACGTGATTGTTACATCAAGAATTACAGTTGTGTGATGAGTAAAAGATGATCATGTAGAAGCAAACAGAGTCTAGTCTACCATCAATCTTAGATGTTATGGTTCTGTCTTGGAATAATTTAGGAGACTTTGTTTATTTCAGTAATAATTGAATCTCTTTATCATTCTTTGTAATGCTATTTTGTTCTTATTAGATCAAGTATACACCACCAGGAGCTCCAAAATTGGCTAAGAGGGTGAAGGAATTGCTTATGGCATCTGGCATTGAGAAGGTCGATGAAGATAAAAAAAGAGGGCTTGACCATGGTGCTTGGGTTCCACTGATGTTCATGTACCCGGAGGCTGACATCCCGGTATGCCAACTCTCCGTTCAATCGGATAGAGATGGCACTCACCATTACAACATGGGGAAGGCCCTGGCTCCTCTCAGAGAGGAAGGTGTCCTTATCCTAGGATCAGGATCTGCTGTACACAACTTGGGTTCCAGGCTACCTAATGGTAGTCCTGTTCCTTCGTGGGCTTTGCAGTTTGATGACTGGCTTAAAGATGCTCTTATTGAAGGAAGGTAAATGTTTCCCGGAAATTCGTCTTCGATGCATCGATGAAAATGCTGCTTGCATACAAAATGTTGACATTGTTAAGCAACATAGAATCGATACGAAATCCTTTGTATTATGATTCCCACTGCTATGATCATTTGGTGTCTTCTCATTTTATCCTCGTTGTTCAGGTCTTAATCACTTGTTTTTGCCTTATTCCTTTTCGTGTTCAGATATGAAGATGTGAATCACTATGAGTCGAAGGCACCGCATCCAAAAATGGCTCACCCACGGCCGGACCACTTCTACCCACTGCACGTAGCCATGGGTGCGGCAGGTGAAGAATCTAAGGCCAAATTAGTGCACACCAGTTGGACTGATGGAACCCTGTCTTATGCCTCCTACCAGTTCACAGCACCCAAATAAAATCTTCACCACCATATTTGTATGATTTTTTTCACTGAATCTGTATTTGTAAAAATTTCTTTACATGTGACATGGTGGAGATGTGTAGTGTGGTTGAGATGTGATAGAGATGTTTGTGAATAATAAACTCCTGTTATTGATATAGCAATTCTATATTTCTTTTTTATTTCTAAGCAGCAGCTATGTATGAGCCATAAGTTTTTTTTTTTCTTCTTTTTTTGTATTGAGAATGAAAGGTGTTGATAAATAATTTCATATTTTGAGGAATAATGTTCGATGAATTGCAATTGTAAATGGAAACTGCTTCAGTAAGTATGAAATTTGACACTAAAAATTTTCAGAAGTCTTTAAAAACAGAGAAAGGATTAGTTGGAATTTGGACTACAATTGTCAATTAGGTTCCCAAACTAATGTTTTCCTCAATTGGGTCCCTAATATTTGAAACAATTGTCATGTATTTGGTTTGTTCTTTAGCAGCAAGAGATGTATGATTTTGGTTCATTTGAAAATTCTATAATTGTTCTTTGTTGATTCGTATGCTTCTATTATTCACTTTTCTCTATTTTATAATAGTTTTAGAGAAAACATAGCAGCTAAATAGTGGTATGGATAGATGAAAACATATATGCTCTAATGGAACATTTACTATGATATTAAGATACTTATTTACGCAGTTATTGGATGTATAACTAATATATTTATTTGGTATTTAAAAGTCATGCTCGTATTTTCGAATTAGTTTTATATCAATTAAAAATAAATTTATTATTTTCTAATCAAATAGATTAGCACTGATACATTTTTAGTCTTTGATTGATTCTAAAAACCAAACTTTTTTAGTCCACCATAAATCTATATTCGGTCGTACAAATGAAAAAGACGAGTTTTTAACATTTAACGACAATAATGTAGCTATTTTTTTATTTTTTATTTTTTCTCATTCTCACCACTTACGTGAATAAAATGTTTATCTTCCGTTTATATTTGATTTACTATTACCAAGAAAGTAAAAATACAGTAATGATTTTAAATAGCTATACTCAATATCAAATACTAAGGTTTAGTTTTTGGTTTTGTTTGACTATAGTTGATCGAACATGTGCATGCTTTTTGAGCTGTAGGAGACAAGATCACCAAAAGATACGATAGAAAGAGTGTGATTTTAAAAAAATGGAGAACACATGAAAGGAAGTTTCCTTCTATAATAAAAAAATAAAATCATAATTTAATAGCTTAGAAACAAAAAATCCGTCATTGATGACGAAAGAATAGATAAAAGTTGGATGAAAGATTAATATACCCAAAAAAAAAAAAAAATTATATACTTAATTGACAAAACATAAAAAATTTGGTTACTTGTAATACAACTATCTCTAAATGTCAACTTGCATGCAACTTTTCAAAGGCAGAGGTTACAGAAATAATTTGATCAATAAATTTGGTTACTCTATTTTAGGAGTGCATATCACATCATCAATAAATTATAAATTAAAATTTTTTTAGTTTCAAATTGTTTCTTTTTTTTTTATAAAAAAAATTATTTAATCTTTTAACTAGTTTTGATTGTGCCTGATTGAATATTATTTTATTTCAAAAATTATCTTTTTTCTCATCAATTTTTATGTAATATCTATTTTTTTCTATTTTTAAAATATAAAATAGATAAATAAACTAAATAATTATTTTTTAAAATAAAAAGATTAATTAGTTTTTCTTAAAATAGAGGGATTAAATTATAATTTACTCCTCCCATCGTTAAAGGATATCAAATTAAACATTTCAAATAATCATTTTAATATAAAAATTTAAACTGTTAGATAAGATTTTAAAAATAATTTTATTTGAATTTCTAACAATTCATGAATAATCATTAGCACCCATAAATTGGCCTCTAATATTCACATACATCCGACAACTCCAAAATCACTTGCTGAGCATGTCAATTCTGCCTATTATCCTAAACCAACAAAGCATTGAGTAAATTATAAATCAGTCCTTTTAGTTTTTTAAAATAATTAGTTCTTTTCGTTTCAAAAGCTAATTATTTAGTTTTATATTTTTATTTTTTTAACTTAATCATTTTCTTTTTAATTTTATTTATTTTTTGTTTTAAGAAATAAAAATAAGTAAAAAATATATAAAGACTGATGAAACAAAACGTTTTTTTTAAATAAAATAATATTAAATTTAGTATGATCAACACTAATCAAGAAACTAAATAATTAATTAAAAAACTAATTAATTCATTTATTGAAACTATATGTACTAATTTATAATTTGCTCACCAAACATGACATGGTTCTCAAAGCTTTCCTTTGACCGTATCCTGCCTTGTAATCAATATCTCAGCAGTATCCTTTATCTAATCCAAATATGTAAGCATGTTTCCTTGTCTTGCTAATTAAAATGATTATTATCTAACTAAGTTTGTGTTAATTATTTATTTTTATCTTTATATTTTTAATTTGGTCGAATTAATTATTTTGTTATCTGATTTTTTAATTAATATCTGGTATTGAAATTTGTTCAATTAACTCAACGGATAACTTCTATTCTATAAAGTCTCACGATCAATTATGTATACACATGTAAACATCATTAAATATTTTTATTTATGAAATGACTTTTTATTTTATGAATATGTTATTAAAAATCGTTTTTAATGCATTTTATAAGATAATTTATTTAATGCTATAAATGCTACCCAATATAAAAGTTATATGATAAATAGAGTGTATACACACATAAATTACGAGTAAATTATAAATTAGTTTCTCTATGTTTTAGAAACAAATCAATTAATTATTTTTATTTTAAATATTAATTATTTAATTCCTTAATCAATATTGATCATGCTTAATTTAATATTATCTTATTTTTTAAAAAATTATTTTTTCATCAATTATTTTTTTTCTATTTCTTAAAAAATTAAAATAAATTGAAAAAGAATGAAAAGAATTATGTTGGAAGAAAATTTAAAAATATAAAGATTCAATAATTATTTTTTGAAACAAGATTAACTAATTAATTAGTTTCTCAAAAAAAACAAAAAGGACTAATTTATAATTCACTCCATACATTGCCGACCAAACGCGTTTATTACAACTCAACACAAGGATCCAATTAAAAAACACAACAAACTGACAAGGACCATCCAACAACGTAAGCAAAGACATCACCATCAAGAGCAAGGTCAAACCAAACTCAAACCTTTTGTCTTTGTTGAACTCTCCTTCTCCATTTTCCTTGCTATATATATATATATATATAGGAGGAGCATGCCCAATAAGAAGAGAACCTATTTTAGTTGTTGATGCGTTTTTTTGGATCATTGAATACAAAAGACAAATTCCTTTCTGTTTGCAAGAGGGGTGTGATGGACACGGTCTATATCTCACATGGGTCACCAATGATGGCCATAGATGAAAGCATACCAGCGAGGCAATTCTTGAAGTCATGGAAACAAATTTTTAAAGAAAGACCTAAAGCCATTCTTGTTATATCTGGACATTGGGACACCAAAGAACCAACTGTTAATGTTGTTAATCGCAATGACACCATTTATGACTTCTATGGCTTCCCCAAATCCATCTACCAGGTGCTTAATTCTTTGAATTTTCGCGGGTTTTTCTTATCTGGGTTGGTGAGATTTTAGCTTGATGAGTTTTTGAGAGCTTATGATCTGATATTCAAGTAGAAAATGTCTTTGATTGATTGTTTTTGAAGCTGAAAGTCATTGATCAAACGTTGAGCATGCCTATTAGAGTAGTACGGTAGTATCTGCTTCTTGTTTGTACATATACAGATTCTTTGTAAGTTTTCTGCTTTCTTATTTTTGAAGGGTTATTCTTATCTGGGTTGGTGAGATTTAGCTTGATTAATGTTTTTGAGTTTATGATCAGATATCTACGTAGAGGAATGTGTTTGATTGATTTGAGTGGGTCAACTGTTACTTTTTCACGATTCAAGCTAAAACTCATTGCTAAAACTATGATCAAACGTGGAACACACCCATTAGAGTAGTGGTTTGTTTTATGCACGTGCAGATTCTTGGAAATGTTTTTTGGTTTTTTAAGCCTTTTTCCTTATCTGTGTTGTTCAGATTTTGTCCTTATTGTAGCTTGATTAATTTTTGAGAATGATATGATCAGCTATTTAGGAAAAATAATAAGTCTATGATTGATGTCTGTGATCTAATTGTGTGATTTGGAATCTGAAGTTGAAATTAATTGTTAAAACTGTGATTAAAATGTTAAGGATGTCCACTAGATTAGTATTTCTACACCTTGGGGTTGTTGCTATCTGTTGCTTTCTCCTGCTTTGGAAAGTTATTAATCTGTTGAAATATTCGTACATCGAAGGATTAGATCTAGGTGATGATTAAAAGGCAGACAAAGCAATCAACTATGATAAATAGTTCTAGAGAGGTCATGGTCTTTCTAGCCAACGAAGGGAAGAGGCCTTGAAAGACTTTGGATTCTTATCCTTGATAGACTAACACGGACATACTTTGGATTCTTATCCTTGATAGACTAACACGGACATATACATGTATAGAATTTATAATAAATCTGAACAGGAAGTTTGGCTATCAATAGGAGCAGCATTGGAGAAAATAGATACATGCGGTTGACCCAAAACCAATTAGTTAGGATTTCCAGGTTGAAACTTTGTGTCTTTTTATTGATAATTGGATCTTTTAATTTATTTTTCCAATACTTTTTCCCTCCTACCAGCTCAAATATACACCACCAGGTGCTCCACAATTGGCAAAGAGGGTGAAGGAATTGCTCATGGAAAATGGATTCAAGCATGTTCATGAAGATAGAAAACGAGGAGTTGACCATGGCGCATGGGTTCCTCTGATGCTCATGTATCCTGAGGCTGACATTCCAGTGTGCCAGCTCTCTGTTCAGACAGATAGAGATGGAACTTACCATTATAACATGGGGAGGGCGCTGGCCCCCTCAAGGAGGAAGGTATCCTCGTCATGGGATCTGGAGCTGCTACTCACAATATGGGGACCATGCTACCCGATGGCAGTCCTGTTCCTTCATGGGCTTCGCAGTTTGATACCTGGCTTAAAAATGCTCTTCTTCAAGGAAGGTAAATTTTTTTCATCGGAAAATTCTTTGTTTATGGTAATGGTATACTACGTTTGAGTATGAAAACGCATTCCATTCCATTATATTAACCAAGGATAGCTATCGGTTTCCACAGTTTGATTTTCGATTTTTCATTTCGGCAAGTTTTAAGCAGTTGGTTTTTTCTTTCTTTTTCGGCAGATATGAAGATGTGAATCACTATGACTCGAGGGCACCCTATGGAAAAAAGGCTCACCCCTCGCCAGACCACTTTTACCCGTTGCACGTAGCCATGGGAGCTGCAGGTGAAAACTCCGAGGCAAAACAGGTGCACCATAGCTGGGGCAATGGTACCTTTTCTTATGCTTCTTACCAGTTTACTACAGCATCGAAATAAAATGAACATTGCAGCATTATCCTGTGATGTTGCTTTCAGAATCTACTTGTACACTGGAAAAGGATGGTAGAAAATTGAAATAACATAGAGTTCCTGTACGCATGTGAATCCATGTTTCTGTTTCTTTTATTTTTTGGAGAGGGGAGTTGGCAGGGATGTGAATTTAAGAAGTGTTGTATATTCAGACACATTGATGTAATAAACGACTTGTTTGGATTTGTGCATACGAAACTGCAAGAATGAATCTCATTTCTCTACTCTTATTTTCTTAATGACCGAATTTAATTTAATATTGTTTTATTTTATAAAATCTCATCTTTTTTCGTCAATATATATATAATTTAAAATAAAAATCAAAATAAATTAAACAAAAAGAAAAAAAATATTAAGTTACTAGAAAATTTAAAAGGCAAAGGACATACTAATCTACCAACTATCATCCAATTCTCAATTAGGTCCCAAACACACAAATTCCCAATTAAATCCCCATTCATTGGACATTGCCCAGTTAACCCTTGCTTTGAAAAAAAAATCCTTTAAAATAGCTAAAGGAAAAAAAAAAAAAAAGAACCTATTTATCTTAAAATGACACTAATTTTGCCATGAATTTTAGTTGTAGGGGTTAATTGGGTGATGTTTGATGGATGGGATTTCCTGTTGGATTTTTATTTTTTATTTTTATTTATTTTTTTAATCAAGTTGAGAATCGCAATTGATTGCATTAAATTGTGAAGATCAATTTAATTGCAATCAATATCTCAGCGATTTCCTTTATCTAATCCAAATATCTAAGCATGTTTCCTTTATTTGGTTATCTGTTTTTTTTTTTAAAAAAATTAATCTTTGGTATCCAAATTTGTTCAATTAACTCAGCAGATAATTTATTTAATGCTTTAAATAAATGTAACATTATTAAATATTTTTTATTTATGAAATGACTTTTTATTTTCTCAAGTTTTTATTAAAAATCATTTTTAATGTATTTTATAAGATAATTTATTTAATGCTATAAATGCTACATAATATAAAAGTTATATGATAAATAGAGTTTATACACACATACATTGTGAGTAAATTATAAATTAGTCTCTCTATTTTTTTAGAAACAAATTAATTAATTAATTCTATTTTAAAGATTAGTTATTTAGTCCCTTAATCAATGTCGATCACGCTTAATTTAATATTATTTGGTTTTCAAGATATCGTTTTTTCATCAATTCTTTTTATATTTTTTCTATTTCTTAAAAATTAAAATAAATTGAAAAAGAAAGAAAAGAAATACGTAGGAAGAAAATTTAAAAATATAAAGATTTAATAATTATTTTTTCAAACAAAATTAACTAATCCAACGCGTTTATTACTACCCAACACAAGGATCCAATTAAAAAACACAGCAAATTGACAAGGACTATCCAACTGAAAAAAAAAAAAAAACAACGTAAGCAAAGACATCATCATCAAGAGCAAGGTCACACCAAACTCAAAACTTTGACTTTATTGAACTTTTCTTCTCCATTTTCCTTCCTATATATATAGGAGGAGCATGTCCTGCAAGAAGAGAACCTATTTTGGTTGTTGATGCGTTTTTTTCGTTCATTGAATCCAAAAGACAAATTTCTTTCTGTTTGCAAGAGGGGTGTGATGGACACGGTCTACATCTCACATGGGTCACCAATGATGGCCATCGATGAAAGCATACCGGCGAGGCAATTCTTGAAGTCATGGCAACACATTTTCAAAGAAAGACCTAAAGCCATTCTTGTTATATCTGGACATTGGGACACCAAAGAACCAACTGTTAATGTTGTTAATCGCAATGACACCATTTATGACTTCTATGGCTTCCCCAAATCCATGTACAAGGTACTTAATTCTTTGAATTTTCTGCTTTTTTTTTTAATTTTAATTTTCGCGGGTTTTTCTTATCTGGGTTGGTGAGATTTTAGCTTGATTAGTTTTTGAGAACTTATGATCTGATTTCAAGGAGAAGATGTCTTTGATTGTTTGTTTTTGAAGCTGAAAGTCATTGATCAAACGTTGAGCATGCCTATTAGAGTAGTATGGCAGTATCTGCTTCTTGTTTGTACATATACAGATTCTTTGTAAGTTTTCTGCTTTCTTATTTTTGAAGGGTTATTCTTATCTGGGTTGGTGAGATTTTAGCTTGATTAATGTTTTTGAGTTTATGATCAGATATATGGGTAGAGGAATGTTTTTAATTGATTTGTGTGGGTCAATTGCTGCTTTTTCATGATTCAAGCTAAAACTCATTGCTAAAACTATGATCAAACGTGGAACACACCCATTAGAGTACTAGTTTGTTTTATGCATATGCAGATTCTTTGAAAAGTTTTTGGGTTTTTTAAGCCTTTTTCCTTATCTGTGTTGTTCAGATTTTGTCCTTATTGTAGCTTGATTAATTTTTGACAGTGATATGGTCAGATATTTAGGAAAAAGAGTTTATGATTGATGTCTGTGATCTAATTGGGTGATTTGGAATCTGAATTTGAAATTGATTGTTAAAACTGTGATTAAAATGCTAAGGATGTCCACTAGAGTAGTATTTAGAGTTCTACACCTTGGGGTTGTTGCTATCTGTTGCTTTCTCCTGCTCTGGAAAGTTATTAACCTGTTGAAATATTCTCACATCGAAGCATTAGATCTAGGTGATGATTAAAAGGCAGCAAAGCAATCAGCTATGATTAAGAGTTCTAGAGAGGTCATGGTCTTTCTAGCCTACGAAGTGAAGAGGCCTTGAAAGACTTTGGATTCTCGTCCATGATAGACTGATAGACTAACACGGACATATACATGTATAGAATTTATAATAAATCTGAACAGAACAGCTCACAGGAAGTTTGGCTATCTATAGGAGCAGCATTGGAGAAAATAGATGCATGCGGTTGACCCCAAACCCATTAGTTAGGATTTCCGGGTTGAAACTTTGTCTTTTTATTGATAATTGGATCTTTTAATTTATTTTTCCAATACTTTTTCCCTCCTACCAGCTCAAATATACACCACCAGGTGCTCCACAATTGGCAAAGAGGGTGAAGGAATTGCTCATGGAAAATGGCTTCAAGCATGTCCATGAAGATAAAAAGCGAGGAGTTGACCATGGCACATGGGTTCCTCTGATGTTCATGTATCCTGAGGCTGACATTCCAGTGTGCCAGCTCTCTGTTCAGACAGATAGAGATGGAACTTACCATTATAACATGGGGAGGGCGCTGGCCCCCTCAAGGAGGAAGGTATCCTCGTCATGGGATCTGGAGCTACTACTCACAATTTGGGGGCCATGCTACCCGATGGCAGTCCTGTTCCTTCATGGGCTTCGCAGTTTGATACCTGGCTTAAAAATGCTCTTCTTCAAGGAAGGTAAATTTTTTTCGTTGGAAAATTCTTTGTTTATGGTATACTCTAATACGTGCCGTTTTTTCATCCTGTAATTGATGTTGCCTTTGATGAATTGATGAAATCCATTTATTCATATGGTAGGAGTGGTAGGGGATATGGATTAGGCAAGGTTATGGTTTGTGCAACCCTCACTTTCTCCATAACTTCTAATTCTAAAATTTTGTCTTGGGCATTTTGTCTTGGGGTCCTTGGTTTTATATTGCATCAGAATGTCTGGTTGATTGGAAATTGTGTATGTTTCGTTGTGTGTGTTTGTTTCATTTGAGTAGCTGTAATCTTCTGAATTCAAAATGATCACTTATTTTTTTGTCTGAGCAACTCCACTTTTAATTGATTGAAGTGATCGAATGTTCTTTGTTAGGATTTCAATGTCTCTTTTTCAAGATTATGTTTTTCTCTGTTGATGCTAATGCTAATTAACTTCTTTGAACACATGTTACAAATTGCATGTAAAATCACTATTTTGGTAGCATTTTAAATTTGAACTGTTTTCACAGAATAGGTGAGAATTTCAATTCATGCTAGCCACGAATAGCTATCGGTTTCCACAGTTTGGTTTTCGATTTTTTGTTTCGGCAAGTTTTAAGCAATTGGTTTTTTTTCTTTCTTTTTTGGCAGATATGAAGATGTGAATCACTATGACTCGAGGGCACCCTATGGAAAAAAGGCTCATCCTTGGCCAGACCACTTTTACCCGTTGCACGTAGCCATGGGAGCTGCAGGTGAAAACGCCAAGGCAAAACTGGTGCACCATAGCTGGGGCAATGGTACCCTTTCTTATGCTTCTTACCAGTTTACAGCATCGAAATAAAATGAACATTGCAGCATTATCCTGTGATGTTGCGTTCAGAATCTACTTTTACACTGGAAAAAGGATAGTAGAAAATTGAAATAACATAGACTTCCTGTTCGCATGTAAATCCATTTTTCTGTCTCTTTTATTTTTTGGAGAGGGGAGTTGGCAGAGATGTGAATTTAAGAAGTGTTGTATATTCAGACACATTGATGTAATAAACGACTTGTTTGGATTTGTGCATACGAAACTGCAAGAATGAATCTCATTTCTCTACCCTTATTTTTTAGCTGACCTTAATTAATTTAATATTATTTTATTTTATAAAATCTCATCTTTTTTCGTGTGTGTATATATATAATTTTATTATTTTTAAAATAAAAATCAAAATAAATTAAACAAAAAAAAAAAAAAATTAAGTCCCTTGCTTTGAAAAAAATTCCTTTAAGATAGCAAAAGAAAAAAAAAAAAGCAACAAAAAGAAAAAGAACCTATTTATCTTAAAATGACACTAATTTTGCCATGAATTTTAGTTATAGGGGTTAATTGGGTGATGTTTGATAAATGGGATTTCCTATTGGAATTTTTTTTATCAAGTTGAGAATCACCATTGATTGCATTAAATTGTGAAGATCAATTTAATTTTCAATTTTTTTTTATTTTTTTATATTTTTAACCCTGAAATTACATTAAATTATGAAGATTATAATGGCTCTTTCAAACAAACTTTTTATTTCTTTTTTTTTCCTTGAATAAATTGACATGAGTTCCATAAGAATTTATTTTCATTATTTTATTATTTTTTTAGTGATAAAAGTATGACCACAATTTAATTCAATTTCACGTCATATTAATAGCAAAACAATCCAAATTAAAAAAAAAATCATGTGTAAGTAATTCTATATGTCGAACCCAATTCACCTAATAATTTCTTGTTTTTCAATATCCAAAATTTTATGAAGGAATTTTTTTTTTCAAATAGTTTCTACTCGATGAATTAGTTAATATTATTTTTTCTTGCAAAAATATAATTAAACCCATAAATTATTTTTATAATAAATTCTATGTATTTATGAGAAAAAAATACAACTCCTAACAAGCTGAATAATTTCTCCATTTTACACATCACGAGTTGGTACGCACATCCACGCCTACCAAATGTGAAAATGACTGCCCAACACAGGGACGAGTAAATTATAAGTTAGTCATTATAGTTAAGCAAAACTAATTAATTAATCCTCATAGTCTTAAAAACTTTATTTTTAATCCCTATTTTTAAATTTATTTATAATTTAGTTCTTATAAGTATCAATTTAATGTTATTTTATAATTCACTTTGTTTTTTTTTTCCCCCTTTCTTGAAGAATAAAATAAAGAAAATAGAAATAGATAAGAATGAATTGGTTAGGGATGAAGATATTTTTGAAAAAAAAAAAAACAATAGCAAAATAAGAATGATCTAGTGAAAGTGAAAAATCGAACCTTTGTCCTATTTCCTATTTTGGAAATTTTCTTTTCCATTTTTTCTACATGAATGTAGCCCCAAAATGTGTACATGTATATACGACCATGTCTTGTAAGAAGGGAAGCCAATTCTAGACTTCTAGTTGCTGATGTGTTTGTTTCATTCATTGAATGAAAAAGAGAACATTTTTCTTTCTGCAAAAAGGGTTTGATGGACACGATCTATATCTCTCATGGGTCACCAATGATGGCGATCGACGAAAGCGTACCAGCCAGGCATTTCTTGAAATCATGGCAGCAAACTGTTTTCAAAGACAGGGCTAAAGCCATTCTTGTTATTTCTGGTCATTGGGATACAAAAGAACCAACTGTTAATGCTGTTGATCGCAATGACACCATTTATGACTTCTATGGCTTCCCCAAAGCCATGTATCAGGTACTTCATTCTTTCAAAGTTTTCTGCTTTTTGATTTTTGAAGGTTTTTTCTTATCTGGGTTGTGAGATAATTAGAGTTTGACAGTTTATGATAAGATATTTAGGTAGAGAATGTTTTTGGTTGATTTATGTCAGCCAATTGCTTCTTAACTGATTACTAAAACTATGACCAAACATTGAACATTTAGTCTCACATGAAGTTTGGCTATCAATCGGACCAGCATTGGAGAAAATAGATGCATGCGGTTGACCCCAAACCAATTAGTTAGGATTTTCGGGTTGAAACATTGTCGTTTTAATGATAATTGGATCTTTTTGTTTATGTTTCAATCCTTTTCCCCTTCTACCAGCTCAAATATACACCACCAGGTGCTCCACAGTTGGCAAAGAGGGTGAAGGAATTGCTCATGGAAAATGGATTCAAGCATGTTCATGAAGATAAAAAACGAGGAGTTGACCATGGCACATGGGTTCCTCTGATGTTCATGTATCCTGAGGCTGACATTCCAGTGTGCCAGCTCTCTGTTCAGTCAGATAGAGATGGAACTTACCATTATAACATGGGGAAGGCGCTGGCCCCCTCAAGGAGGAAGGTATCCTCATCATGGGATCTGGAGCTACTACTCACAATTTGGGGACCATGCGACCCGATGGCAGTCCTGTTCCTTCATGGGCTTCCCAGTTTGATACCTGGCTTAAAAATGCTCTCCTTGAAGGAAGGTAAATTTTTTCATTGGAAAATTCTTTGCCAATAGTACACTCTAGACGTGCAACTTAGAACAATATGTATATTCTTCCTGTAATTGATGTAGTCTTTGATGAATTGATGAAATGCATATATTCACATCGGAGGGTGGAAGGAATATGGACTCAGCAGGGTTATGGCTTTTGCTTCTATCACTTTCTGCAGAACTTCTAGTTCTAAAAATTTCTGTATTGGGCATTTTCCAATCTATAGTTCTTGGGATCGTTGGTTTTATATTGTTTAAGAATGTGTGATTGATTAGAAATTGTGTACGTTTCAATGTGTGTGTTTGTTTCATTTGAGTAGCTGTCAACCTGTGAATTCAAAATGATCACTTTTTTTCTTCTGAGCAACTCTACTTTTAATGATTGAAGTGATTGAATGCTCTTTTATTAGGATTTAGATGTATCTTTTCAATTTATTCTATTTCTGGAGCTCGGCTTTTTCTTTCTTTTTGTGCAGATATGAAGATGTGAATCACTATGACTCGAGGGTACCCTATGGCAAAAAGGCTCATCCATGGCCAGACCACTTTTATCCGTTGCACGTAGCCATGGTAGCTGCAGGTGAAAACGCCAAGGCGAAACTATTGCACCATAGCTGGGGCAATGGGACTCTTTCTTATGCTTCTTACCAGTTTACAGCAGCGAAATAAAACCAACATTGCGAAATTCTTCTGTGATGTCACTTTCACTATTCACTTTTACACTGGAAATAGATGGAATTTCGAAATAAGATAATAGTTACTATACATGTAAATCCATGTTTGCGTAGCATTTATTTTTGGGAGGGGTGATCTATTGTATTGTGAATTTAAAGAAGTGTTGTATTCATACGCATTGATGCATTAAAAGACTTGGTTGGATTTGTGCATGCAAAATTCCAAGAATGAAAAATGTGTTCTCAACTCCTTATTTCTTCATCTTGCCTTAGAAAAATGTACCAATGGCCATCTCCGTTCCGTGTCCTGCATGGAGCAATATTTCTCATACCATCTTCATCTCAAATAAAAAAAGAGATCCTTGTAGCTCATCGGTGTCTTATTCAATTTTTTGTTTTCGTCTCGGCTCTATTCTATTATTAAATTTTAAACTATAATAAAAAAATAATAGTTCGTATATAAAATAAAGACTAAGAGTCGATAATCACTGATTTTATATAAAGTATAATCATAATTTTAAGAATGAAGTAGGACAAGATAGGCAAATACTATCCTTGTCTCGTTTTCGTTCGAAATTAGGACAGAGCGTCTTATCCCATTCTTCAGTCAACTCGGGAAATCCCAGAGTTGATTGGGCCAAGGCGGGTAAATTATCATTCCTAGAAAAATGTCATGTTCTATACCTTTCTTGTGCTAAGGCTCATGTTGTGCTCTATAGGCCTTTTGCTTTAGTTCTTCTTCTTTGGGCTTGTGAATCAAAGTTAGACTTGTCTCCTTCCAAGCTTGGCCCAACATGTCTCCGATTGATTTATAACAAGAAGTTGGATATGAGCAAATCCTTTACACAGGTGATATCAAAGTTCAGAATCAACACCTGGCTTGCGAATCATCATGCCAGCCATCTGTTTCCTTTTGGAACTTAAAATGGCGAAGATAAAAAGAAAGTTTATCACGTTACAGACACACATGCAGGTTCATAAAAAGGGAATCCAACCATGAGTATGAGCTTATCCTTCAGCATTTAAAGATATTTATCAAAACGCCTGTCAGAGTACATCTAATCTTCAGAGATCCTCATGGGCACGAATCCTATCAATAGGCCTTATCATAAAAAATCAACTTGGGGCCGAAATCATCCTCCCATCGGTCTACTTTATTTTCAAAGCTTCGTCAAAGATCAGCAGTGGACAGTCACTCTTTAATGGAACTTCATCATTTTTCAAAGGTAAATTCGAGTTGAGCCATGTCATATGCACATCTATAAACATTCGGTAAGTTCGAGCTAAACCTTGTCCCATATGCATATATATACTTGTGACAACTTTGAACTAAGTCTTGTCTCATGTTTATATTATGCTTGCGACATTTTTAATGGTTCATGTATTGGGTTTGTTTCTTTACAGTAGAAAGTCATGGATTTCGTAAAAATCAGGTCATGGATTTCTTCCCAATAGAAACTCTAAATGGGGTGTTTCCATTTCATTATCTGGGCTATCTTTTTATATAGTTTAGAGAGGAGGTTTTTAATTTGATCTATCTTATAAAAAAATGATCAAAGTGGCTTTCATCTAGGTTATACCTTGGCCAGCAGCCCAGTACTGTTTGGACCATTGAAAAGATGGGGCAAGGGCAAGATGAGAGAAAAGAAAGACAAGGGGTAGCTTGGAAGGTAAGAAGTGGATTTTTTTTTTTTCATTTTCTTTTTTTCCCTCTGTGGTAGATTAATGTGACAAGTCATAATATGTAGCAAGAGTTGGAGATCCACATGAATAAAAATTAAAGAATAAAAAAGAATTAATAAAAAATATAAAAGAAAATCAGAAAATAAAGAAACATTATTTATTATTAACCCGTGATAAAGCTAGCAATATCCTAGCATACTTTTATACAGTAGTTACTTAATGATCCATTTTTTAAGAGAGAGATAGACACATAAAAAAAAAAAATCACATTCGTACTCATTAAAAGTGATAAGAAGATTTTCATCTTAGCTTAATTTTTTTAATTTTCTCTCTTCTATTTCTTTCGCTTCTTTGTATCTATCTTTCTTTATGAAATAACTTCTTGAGTATTATAAAATTTCACAATTAGTCATGTGTACAAAAAATTGTATTGTAGGCTAGATTTGCTTACAACTTGTATTATTACGTGCGTATAGTCGTATAGTTGATGAAGCCGAAGCCTCTCGAGAGACGACCAATGTAAATGAAAAATATATCGTTTGCCATCATATTGGTACAGATGTCTAGATCTAGGATTTCATACTAATGTTGTTCCCATGATAATTTTTTTTTCTTATTATTATCATTTTTTTATTTTATTGTCACTAATTTCTTCTTTTTACATATTTAACTCTAATTTTTTTTTTATTACTAATTTGGTATTCTTACATATAACTTTATGACATCCGAAGGAGGCTTTGTAATTTACCCTTCGATGAATTTGGGCAACAATAAATAGTCAACAGAAACGGGTAGAGCAATGAAAGATCATGAGACTAAAAGCAAAGTTAAAGAAGCAATTAGAAATTGTTTAAGGTTCGCAAATTGTTGCTTTTTGACCTAAGACACCATTAATTAACATCATAATGATTAATGAAGCAGCAGACCAGTGATTAAAGAAGAGTAGGAGCTCCCTCAAAGCTTGCTTTTTGTCCATTTCCTGGCTTGCAAGCAACATCTTACACATTAATCTATGAAGCCTAAGCATGTCTTTATGTCCTATGTTGGCCTTTTGCATTATTATAACATAAGAGCAAAAAGACCACGAGTTTAAGCTTTTTTATGTTTTAATTATTATTTTATTATTATGATTGTGGGACGTGTGGATTAAAAAGGCCAAACTTCCTCTGACATTTAATCTATGTAAAAATTAATTTTGAATTTTTAATTTCGAATTTGATTTTTTTTAAGATTTAGTCCTATGTCATTTAACTCAATAAATAAATAAATAACAATCACATAAATAGTTTCATGATTGATATCATTCAGTATGATTTATCTTGGGCTCTTCAAAACATTTAGAGACATTCTAACCTATTTTCTTATATATATATATATATATATATATAATATTAAAAAATAAACAAATGTACTTTCTTATTTTGAAAAATTATGAGATTTTTTTTTTAAATGGATTTGATTTTTTTCAATGTACGTGTAAAATTTCATTTCAAAATATAATGAATTGAGTTTAAAGAGAATGAATAATAGCTGAAAATTTAATGAAAAATTAATTTTTGAATTTTTAATTTCAAATTTGATTTTTTTTTAGATTTAGTCCTATGTAATTTAACTCAATAAATAAATAAATAAATAATAATCACATAAATAGCTTCATGATTGATATCATTCAGTAAGACTTATCTTGGGCTCTTCAAAACATTTAGAGACATTCTAACCTATTTTCTTATATATATATATATATATATATATATATATATATATATATATTTAATGTTAAAAAATAAACAAATATACTTTCTTATTTTGAAAAATTATGAGATTTTTTTTTAAAAAATGGATTTGATTTTTTTCAATGTACATGTAAAATTTCATTTCAAAATATAATGAATTGAGTTTAAAGAGAATGAATAATAGCTGAAAATTATAGAATCTTAAAGATAAAAAATAAAAAAGTTAAAAGACTTTTTTTCAAATGAATTAAAGTTTTAATTTTTTTAAGTTGACAGAAACTATCTTAATTTTTGTGAATGGACTGATCAATATATCATCTGAATAATTTTATTTTCTTTAGTTCTTCAGATTGTATGTGCAGGATTCTAACCTCAGCCCTCGTGCTTTGATGGAAAAGAGTATCATTAGATTTCATGTCCACTGATAATAATATGTATCATGTTAAATCTAGCTAGTTCTTAGGAATAATAACAACTTGTCATGTTCAAAAACTCCAATAAAAACATGTTTCTGCTATTCATATGAATGTAACAGATCAATATAATAGATATGCTTTTAAAATTGTTCGAGAAAGATGAAATTTTGTTAAGATTGATGTAATAAAAACATGGTTTTTTTTTTTTTTTTTAAATTTCTAATCAAATTTTTAGTACCTAACAAAAATTTAATGAAACCAGGCTCTTTGTTCAGAGTCTGGTTTGAGAATTTAAGACCCTTGTATATCGAAAAGTGTGTTCAAATAATTGCTGTCATTCACTCATGTTCCCTAAGTCATCCAGCCATCTTAAATGAAAACTACTATAACTACTGGCATTTACTCTGTAGTGTACGAAAGTATAATTATTCTTTTAATCTTTCTTCTAAACATCACTTAATCCTTTAATTATTCTTCCATTTTCTTTTACTAGCTTCAAAAAATGTATTTAATTCTTTGTTGGGTATACCTTGCTTTTCAAGTTTACAAAAAAAAAAAAAAAAAACTTCTTTTAAGAATAATAAATTATTTCAAAGTTAGTTTCATAGTTTTTCTTTCTATGATCATAGAGATAGTTTTCCAGTATATTTGTATTTATGTTATTGTGATTAATTTATTCTATATTCTTGATTGTTATGTGTGTTTATTTTGATTATTTTTGACGAAATCTGATTTATATAAAATTGGATTATATTTCCAATACTTTTCAATTCTCTTTTCTTGGTATAATGGCAATGCAGTTCGGCAGAAACCTAGAATAATCTTTACTTGAAGTCTCTCCTTTCACCACCTGAGCTAATGCCTCAGCAACCTACTAAGCACAAACATATATAGGCTTCATGGGAAAATATTGTTTTGCTCAAACGGGTTTGATATTCTTGTTCTGATCAAACCTAGGGTTTTTTGGTGGGACATGCATGGTTTGAAATTAAATTGCTTGGAGTAAATGTTAGTAAAGGTATAAAGAAAGTAAGAAAAGTGGTGCTTTTAGCTACCTCAACTCCATTTGCAAGGTTATGATACTATGATGATTGTTTAAATAAATGGTACGTTAGTTCATTCAAGCTTGGGATTGATTATGAACCCTAATTTTGCTTAGGTTAGCTCAAGTGGTTGAACTCTACTTGTTTGAGAATTGTTGTTTCAATTGCTGAATCTATGGCAGTAGCACCAGATTGGAGTAGTACTATTGAAGGTCCTGTGTTAATGGAGATGAAAACCACCTTTGCCAACTATCATTCATTTCTTCATGGTCTGAAACATAATTAATTAGCTAGGTTGTTTTTCATAAGCACTAATAGCTATTCTATGAACGCTTTTTGTTAGGGTTTAATGACCTCTTTAATTTATTTTTCTAAAGGGATAGATATAATATAAGCAGGTTATTGAGGCACTAATCTTCTAAAAGAAGAACCATTTGAATCGATGATTTAAGGAAAAAAAAATTAGTTGCAGACAATTCTTATTTTTCTTTTTACATAGTTTGTGAGGCTATGTTAATGCAAAACTTGAACGATGAAAAGTAAAATGTTAAATGATTCAAATTTCTCTTGAACTTTAAATCATGTGAAAATCGATTTTTTAATTTTTAATTTTGGATTGGATCTTTTTTCAATTACTTTTTATTTGAAATTGGATCCTTCATTTATATTTTTATTAATTCTAACATGCAATTAAAATTTTTCAATAAATAAAAACATATCAAAATTTATAGATATTTCGCTTTGCTCCTCAAAACTTGTTTCTTCGTTTCTAAATACAGAAGAAAGACACAAGTTTTAAAAGAAAAAAATAAAATATTCATAAGTTTTAACACTTTTTTTTTTAACTATTAGAGGAATTAAAAAAATCAACTACATGCGAGTCACGTGTACCTTCACCATTTCACCGTTAGAATTGTTGAAAATCTAACAAAAAAAAACTTAATTTCAAATAAAAAAAGGTCGGAGGAAGGTCTAGTCTAAAATTAAAAATTGATGAATTAATTCTCAAATGATTTAAATTTTTTTAAAAAATTGAACTATTTAATTAAAAAATATAGAAAAAAGGTGAATTAGTTTTACTCATTCATGCTTGAGAGGCATATTTAAGAAAAAAAAAAATTATCATGTGGTTAGAAACTATTACATCTAAAATTTTGTCAATATTTTATAATGGAAGGGGCAAGGACTCCAAAAGATAAAAAATGCACCAACATTAACATCAACCTCTCTAGACTACAATCATTACGTGCATAATAGGAAGGCAAAAAGCAGCTAGCTCATGGTAATTACTGAAATCCCAAGATAATCACACTAGCTAATCTTTGATGATTATATTCACCACAGTTTCTTACAATAATCTTTTATTTGCTTAATTGTTGCGTTTTAGTGATTAATTGTATTTTAATCAAATTTACACATTTTTCTTTTTTTTCTTGACAGAAACAGGTCTTAACCTCATTTATTTCACAGTTGTTACAGAAACAACTACTTGCATGGTATTTAAATCAGTCTCTATATAATCTGACACTCTTTCTGACTAGCACAGATCATGTCTTCCATTTCTTCTTGTTTGGTCTTTTCTTGCTTAGTGTGTTCTTGTCCTTTTCTTTTTCCACGTACAAAACAATTGATATGTGTTTCTGATGAGATTGGCCTAAAAGCTATTTGCTATATGGTTGATAGTGCAAGCAAAGAAAGCAAAACCATCCCAGTTTTTTAATTCTATCCTGGCTAACCTGTCTCATATTTTTCTATCTCCATCAGCTTTTTCTTCATCAATTTATTAGTAGTTCCTTTAGTTATATATATATATATATATAAAAGCTGCTTTGCTTCACTTGCAAAATTCACAAGTAAAACTCTCTCTTGTATTAATTAATAAAAGCATATAGTGGTGAATGTGTGTCATCCATCCCTTCTGCCAACCTAACCTATCCTTTTCCCATCAGAAACATTTAAGCTGAACATATTTACAAGAGAGTATCCAATGTTTTTATAGGTTTTCTCAATTAGTCTTTGGCCCATCTTCATTGATCATGTTCACATCATCACCCTCGTTCTGTCAGTTTTCCATGGCACAGGCATTTACTCACTTCTGCCCCTTCCACTTCTATCTGTAACTGGTTTTTCTAGATCAGTCATTCGGTTTTCTTTCTTTACATTATCTAGGGGAATAAGAGAGAGAGAGAGAAAAAGTTTGCATCTGTGTGTAAAGATTTCAAGCCTTGGTCACCATCAGTATCAATATCTTTTTGTATGTGTGTGACTAACTGCCTAAGTCCTAAAATCCCAGAAAAAAAATACAGTTTCCACTCAATTGCACTGGTTGGAAGGAGCACAAAAAAAGGGAAAAAGGATGAATGACTCTAGCCCACAAAAGGACATGCCAATCTCAAGAAATGGCAGTTATACAGGAGGAAATGGCCACAGCCACACTGTCGCTTCAGCAGCAGCGGCGGCGGCGGCGGCGGCAGCTCAAGCTCCCACCAATGGGCATAATTCCCCTTCGAGTCTGCAGGAAGACCAAAGGCCGTACAAGAAAGTGGTGAGGTACAAGGAATGCCTCAAAAACCATGCAGCGTCTATTGGTGGGAATGCAACAGATGGGTGCGGTGAGTTCATACCAGGTGGAGAAGAAGGCAGCCTTGAGGCCCTCAAGTGCTCAGCCTGCAACTGCCACAGAAACTTTCACAGGAAAGAAATGGATGGTGAATGTTCATATGACTGCCACCATCACTATCCTATGATTAGCAATCTTGGGAGTGGTAGACTCGTTTTGGGCCATCATAATGGCATTATTGGATCACCAGTACCACGAGGGTACCCTACAAGTTCCTTCATTTCCTCAGGAGCGCCACCGCCAATGATAGTCTCCTACAAAAACGGTGGTGCAAATGCAATCACTTCGGAATCTGATGAGAAGGAAGAAGATAATGGAGGTGGGATGCTGACCACTCGGCCAGTTGAAAAGCTGAAAAAGAGGTTTAGGACCAAGTTCACTGAAGAACAGAAGCAAAAGATGGTGAACTTTGCAGAGAAAGCTGGGTGGAAAATGCAAAAGCTAGAAGAATCTCTTGTGCAAGGGTTTTGTGAAGAGTTGGGGATCAAAAGAAGAGTTCTCAAAGTTTGGATGCACAACAACAAACATAACTATGTCAAGAAAAGCTCAACTAGCAGCAGCTAGAAGAAGCAGCATATTGCAGTCTCTGATCAGAACTAAGAATTTGCTTTTACTTTACGATTTTTTCTTATGATTTTTTCCAGCTTTCAGCATTCTTCCTATACTATTAAGTAGTTCTACGTATACACATAGGAGGGCATTTTCATTCTATAGGTCCTATGATGTCTTCCACTATTGTGAGCAAATACAATGTAGTCTAGATAGTTCTATGGTCTAGGTATGTTCATGATCATCCAGTCTAGGAGTACGCTTCTTTTCCTTATCTTCATAGAAAAGAAAATCCAGAAGGAAACTATATAAGTTTGTTTTCATTACATCATGTTCTACCAAATACTATGTTATTTGAATGTTCCTTTGCATATCCTTCTGGCTATATATGTCTCTAGACATGCCCAAACTATTGTTTTTCATGGTAATTGTAATGCTAATATCATTCTATGCTGTCACATCTAATAACTTAATTGGGTGATAATCATAAAAAACCACATTTTTAGGCCTCAACTACCCATTTCACAATCAGATAGTGTCCCCATCTAACAGCATTTATATCTTAAAGTTTTCTAAGCTTAATATTTTGTTTGTTTCTAAGTTCGAAGAAGAAAGATTGTCCTGGAAAAGGAGGGTGAGTTCGAATCGCTGAAAAGTTGAGTTTTCAAAGTAAGATGCGGTGGAAACTAGGTATGCAAATGAGTGAATAATTAAGTAGGTAATTAATCATAAGTAGGGTGCATGTGCAAAAAGAATTGAAGAACTCTTTTACTGTTGAGGAAAAATTTTGAACTTGACAAAGGGTTATCAAGGTTAAGCTTAGGATACCCGATTGAAAAAAAAAGAAAAAAAAAAAGATAACGAGGATTAGGGTTATGATTATGATAAACATAGGCACTAATTGATGCTTCCATGATGCTTAGATTAATACTACAATATTAATAAACAAGGAGTCTTGCAATCAATTCCTATAATTTCTTTACCATAAAATGTTGGCTGGTGGATTTGCTAGCTAGCTAGACGGCTAATCATGATTTCTTTTCTTTGTTAATTAATTTGCCTTAATGATATTGATTCATGCTTTAGACATAGATAATTAGTGATTTTTTATTTTTTATTTTTTTATTTTTTTAATTATCTACTGTAGAGTGAGAAAAGAAAGAGAAATAATTGATAAATGCAAGCCTTCTAGTAATCTTCCACTTTAATAATCATTGGGGGAAGTGATGGTCAATCAATTTGCAATTTTGAAGGCATAAATAATTGTAGCTGTCGTTTGCAGTTTTTGTATGTGTAAAAAAGGGAAATTAATGGAAAACAAATCTTCCTTTACTTGGAGAGTGAAATTGAAAGGTTTAACAAGAGAATTGACCTAGTAGCTAAGCATTGTTGATAATATTTATTCTTTAATACTTAGTTTTTTGGACGTGATTTTAGGTTATATGTGTTGAATTAAGTTTATTTTATAATTTAGAAAATAATTAGATTCAAAGGAGCAAAGTTAGTGTTAATTTGGGCTAAATTCCAATACCGACATATTGACCTTTAGAGGAAGAAACGAGAATTTCACATCCTTAGAGTTTTAGAACATAAAAGAGGCCTTCTTGAGAATCAAAGTGGGCATCTTAAGCTTTCTAGATTGGATTTAAACACAAATTCATTCCGTTTTGGGTTGTCTAAGTCGGTTGCAAACTTAGGAAAAAAATTCCAATCATGTGACAATCTAGAATACTATCTCGTATTTGGATAATATCTCGAAGTTATACACATAAGATTAAGATAATTCAAAAGCCTACAGCAAGAAGATATCCGAGGCCTACAATCTTTATGAACAGTCCAAGTCTAGGTTCTATCGCCTTATGATCTTAAACCAATTTAGAAGTTTCAGCACATAATCTAAAGTCTTATTCAATAACAAGTCTTAGTCAATTTTGAAAACTTGCTAATATAAGACTTTGTTGATCTGTCATATTTATCTCTTTACATGAGACTATATATTAGAGTTATGCTTTCTTTTATAAAATTTAGGTTTTATTGCTTTAAAGAATATCTAGCTAATTTCATCCATTTAAGAGATTTCCAACTTCATTTGTAAAAAATTGTGAGACATTGGTTTAATATTTAAACTATTCTTTTTTGTTTGAATTTTTTTCCTAAACTTAATTAATTAATTTTTGAATTTAATTAATTATGATAGCATAGGTAATTATCTAAGATGACCAATTAGTTCATTATCTATTGTGATTGATTCGCTAGCAAACTTTATTAATTCATAATTCTTAAGAAAAGTTGATACAAGTAGTAAATTAGATTTTATTACCTCGGAGAAATAAAATGATGAATTAAATGATTTAGGCATCCTAAAATTATTGTTTAGTCTTATCTATTTTCCTAATTCTAAATGTTGTTATTGATTAGACTAGGTTTGCGTCAATACCGAAATCAATCAATAATAAAAATTTAATTCAAGTACGTAAAGTTTTAAGTTAATGAATTTTTTTAAATCAGATTTATTCTAGCATTTATGTAAATTTAGACTAATTATTCAATGAAAGATTAGTAATTCAAGTTTCCATAATCAATTTGTAAATTGAATGTTTGAATTTCTCCTTAAATTAAAGTTTTCTAAATTGAATTATTTCTTATTTTATATTTGCTATCTTTAAATTCGGCTTTACAAACAACAAAACCCCTAATTTTTAGAAATAATAGAATTGATTGACTACTCTTTAGGATTTGATCTAGACTTGTCCTCACTCCAAATTTCGATAATAACAATAAATTAAAGTTGATGCATTCGACATGTATCGGTTTGATATGATGATTTAAAGTCAATCTGATGCTTTTAGAGTAAATTGTTATTTAATCCTCGTCCTTTTACCGAATTAATTTAAGAATCCATATTGAATCCTTATATTTTAAGGATCATTTATAATGTAGTCCTCTAACTAGTTAGCCATGATATATATATATATATATATATATATATATATATATTCTAAGATAGCCTTATCTTTTCTTTTACTCAAGTTGTTTCAATTTAATAAAAACAAACCCAAAAAGGGCATTTCAAAAGGCAGTTTGGATATTTTGAAAAAGGACTAACTTATGATTTTCAAAACGAAAAGGACTAAAGTCTAAAATCATAAGAAAACACAGGGACTAAATAACAATTTAAATTTTATCCTTTTATGTCATCCGCTCATCCACTCCAACTAAATTGAAATACCTCTGGGAGCCTCCTGGTAGTCCTTTCAACTGATGGACAATGAATAGTGTGTTGCTGCAGATCCTGGTTTTGTAACCTTACAGAAACGACAAGTAGCATTGTACTGTGAGTAGACCTAGGGCCATCATAAAACTCTTGGGTTTTTCCATATAATTTATAGCATCTATAATTCAGCCTCATCAATTTTTCTCCCTTTATGCTTTTATGGAGATCTTTACTGCTCCCTCATTATTGAATACAATACAACGTAAAATTTCAATTGCAAGCCTAGCTATCTTTGCTGAAATTCTGAATGCAGTTGGTCAAAACAGTCCTTCCTATGCAATACATAGGAGAAAACAAGTGCAAGGGACCAATTTGTTCTAATTCGGCCCCAAACAACAGAAAATGGAACAAGCAAACACAAGCAACCAACTATAAACAAAATGGTGTGAGGTTTCAGGGAAAGAAAAGACACAGAAAGTATGAGCATGAAGGTTAGCTTATATTCATGCAAAATGGTAGTACATTTCGTGGGGTTTCAAACATCGCCGTGAAGTAAATATCTATGAACACAGCCAAGTTAATTCTCATCATAATCTAGAGGGAGAGACAAAGAAAGCCTGGAAGAAAAACATGGTTGCAAAGAAATGAACTGAATTTTTAAGGCACCAGCAGACATAAAAGGTTTGTAGTTGATCCATCTGAGGTCGACTAACCTCCCTTGATCTACAGCCTCAGAAATGTTTCATGCACACACATGTTGAATTGTTTTCTCCAATCAATGCCAACGGAGTTCTTTACAGTTTTTACATCAGCCTAAAATTCAGTGTCAAAGCAAGCTAACATGACCTTGGAGACCATGGCCCTTGCGAAAGGGATGTAGCTCAAGCTATACCTGTAAATAACAAAAAGGAAAATTCACATGAATTATAGCCATAATTAAGCAGAGAGAGGGGGAAAATGTAATTTTTGATTATATGATGCATAGCCTTTGCACTTCATGAGCAATATTGCCCGTATACAGATAACTTTGGCAATAACCAAAAAGAGAAAAAGCAAAAAAAAAAAAAAAAAAGAGCAGCAAAAATCAAAATTGGGGTGGCTAAAATATACCATTTAAGCAAATAAGGATTATTCTCTTGGTTAGCTCAACCAATATGCATTTTTTTCTTTTTACAAAAAGGTTTGAATTCTTTTTTAAACCACTTGTTTATAACAAGGGACAATGGCTTGATAAAATTGTATATGACAAATCAAGTAGGACTATGTACAGACAGCATAGATTACAAGAGTTCGGATCAATGCACAGAGGAATTAACTGTAGCATGTTCTATTAATAGGAACATGTATTAATGCCATTATTTTAGGCTGTGGAAAATTTACCTTCTTCCGAACACATTCCAAGGAGAACTATTTAAAATCTCAAGTTCTGGTAGTGCCATACATTTGCCAGGTAAACCGGAGTTATAAAAAACGAACATAATCAAGAATAAGATGAAATGAAATCAAACATGATCACTGCAATTCCATGGGAATCAATATTGATTGTAGTAGGAATGAGATAAATAAAATGTGCATAATGATTAGAGTACTTAAGCATACCAAATTAGTGCACCAAACTCCAAAATGATTGCCAACAGTGTCAAAAGCTTGTTATGAGCCTGTTCAGTGTACACGACGGGAAGATCATAAAATATGAGAACAAAATTATGGTTCTGTCCGGATAAAATTATAGAATATGATCAAGAAGGGAGAGTAAAGGGTATGAATGTGACTTACATATAGAGCACAGAGCAAGGCGATAATTATACTTGCAAGATACAGGGCGGTTGCATATATACGAACAGGATCAAGCATCATAGTAAATTGACGTTTTGGGCCAATCAAGAATGCTGTGCTGCCATAGAAAAGACTCCAACTTAGTATCTGAAATAATAATAATAAAAACAGCCACTGAAAAAAGAAATCATAAAAGTAAATAGATTTAGCTAATTAATGAATATCTCCATGATGAATTAAGAAAAACAGAATAACAAGTCTGTCAATAAAGGCAACTTGGCCACACATGAAACTCAAAAGCGTTTGACACTCTAATTATAAACAAATTTCATCATAGCTAGGAGATCTGAAACTTTTAAATAATGTAAAATGTTTGAGCTAGCAGGGTACTCACAAGTTATAACTTCCAAAAAAGAAGGTATACAAATACCAAATACTAAGACTATTTCATTATAAATCATATTCATCAATGTTCACAACTGAAGCCAGCTATGTCTAACTTCCAAGTAGAACTTCAAATAAGTTATCTTAAAAATGATTTCAGTTTCATCCTTCACCAAGACCCGTGTGATGAAAATGCATAATACGCATATCATGGAAGAAACATGAGATCTTTTCTTTCTTGTTTTGCTCTTTCCATTATGTATTGCATAATATGCAGGCTAAGAAGACAAATCTTGAAAGATATGGGACTATAATATTACCATGGTTTGGGGGGAAGGGGGGGGGGGTGGAATTTGCAAAGTCAGATCACTGGAACGCAATTTTATTTACCTAAACCACAGGCTAAATGACCTACATGCATGTAAAAAAGAGAAAATAGAGGAAATCTCATCCACATTGCAGATATCCTGGCATATATGACCATACACAATGTTTTAATTAGCCCACGGCAGCATGGAGCATAAAATACATAAATCCAAAACACAGACCTTCCAAGTGAAAGCAAATTGCCAAATGTGAAAGTAATTCCAAACTTGACTGGATTGAAAAACACTAGCATTGACTGCAACAACAGATCACAGAAGACAAAGCAAATCAGTAACTTCAAAAGCAACAAAATTGTGTCAAGTGAAATATAGTATCATACAGAAATACTGTGAGCAATATAAAAGCGAGATATTTGGATAATGTTTCAATGATTTCCTCACGTCAAAATATCAAAGATGCAAATACTGAGGTTAAAATGATACGAAGGGCAGTTAAACCTCCCAGCTGAGTCAAACTTTGTGATAGAATTGAATCCCTATAAATTTTAATGCAAGTAAAGAATCTGTATCACTAAAGGTGCTTAGAAAGCCTAAAATGTAATAGGTCTCTTTGTTGCTTTTACCCATCATAAAGTAAAGCACAAACAAGCTTAAATATATAGCCTTGGTTACTTAGTATGTGCTCGATCCTACTCAAAATAGTTGACCTTTTTCTTATATATGCATAGATATTTTAATTCACCATGCAGAAGGGGAGGGGACTTTCAGAAAAATACTCCTTACCTTTTATTTTTAGAAGTTCTAAACTTCTAAAAATAAAAGGTAAGGAGTATTTTTCTGAAAGTCCCCTCCCCTAAGTCAAACAAGCAATGGTTATCTTACTGCTTTGAGTACTTATATAAGGGTCTTCTTTCTTGTGCAAGAGACTAACAAAGTCAAACTATTCAGTTGGTAACCAAAAGGGCTGTGTTCTGTCTAGAAAAATTCGTTGCCAGAATTTGTGGAAGAAATGCTGATAATGATAAGATATAGTACTGAAAAGGGAGCTAGAATTGAAAGTGGTAAAACTTACCAAAAGGACACAAAGTAAGCCAACAGAAAAACATATGGCAAACCCGTAAAACCTCTGTTTGAAAGAAAGAGAGAAAGCACACCATATTAAGATGTATTAGCAATAAAACATTCAAAATAAATTTAACTAAAACAAATAAATAGTCATATCAACAAAGGAAAAACCAAATGCATGTCCGACCAATCTTAGTCAGCAGCTGATGCTTGAATACCTGATTCCTCAATTTAGAATTAATCACCCTTTTCAATTTCAGCCAAATTTAAATGAATCATCCATATCCATAAAAGAATTACAATCAGGGTTCTCCCTACCCAATGTTCATATATATAGTTAAGAAAACATTTTATGACTTCAGTTGTCAAGGTTTTGGTTGTCAATGCAGGAAATTTAAAGACCAGAAGTAAAAGCAAGCTCAAAAAACAGCCCCATTATGCTTGATGCAGGGGCATTTGGAACTAAGGGAATACACTAACTCTCAAGTAGTTGAACCCTCGTATTACCAACTCAAAATATCCTCTTTCTCACTTTCAATTGCGTTAATACTTTATCTTGAAAAACCTAGCTCCCACAACAGCAAGTTTTGCATCAAAATAAAGCTGGATTCATTCATCAATAATGACAAACATAAAAAATGCACATCATCAATTGTAGTGTTAGTGTTTCAACCATTCTAAAAATTACTTCTTTACAAGCCATCATGACAAGATTACATCACTCTACAAGAAACTTATCAAAATTTTCATCTTTACAACAAGTTAGCAGCCAAAGAAAAGCCCTTTACAATACATAAAATTGAATTATGGAACCAACCCATTAACGATTCAATGCCAACTGATTAAAAAACCAAAGAAAAGATACAAACTTGTTTAGTGGAGAGGGTGCAGTCTCTATTGAAATCATCCATGAAAGCAAAGGAACTGCTTTCTTGTGTTGCTACACCTTGTTCTTCATCATCCCCCTCCATTCTTACTAGCATCTTCACTTTCTCGAATGCTTGGTTCATCGTGTCCATTTTTCTTTTTCGAGAAACAAACAGAACCCTCTTCTGATCTCAATCTGGGTGGTCTCACTCTTTCACTTCGATCTGTGACTGTCCGTGAGGATTTTTATCTTTTTAGTGACAAAATTATTTTTGCTTCTATTGTAAGAAAATACCACTACTGGTCTCGAAAGGGACAAGGTTCCTAACCACTAATTAATTTGGGCCCAGTTACATTTTTTTTTTTTTAATTTTAGTTTTAAAGGAAAATTTTATGAAAACATTTTTTTAAAACTAGATTTTGCGAAAATTATTATACAGATCCAATCCATTATTTAACATTATGAAGCAAACCAATTAAAATTTTACAAATAATTAAACTTGTATAAATTATTTTTTTCAAAAATAAGAAATTTTATTGATAAAATAAGGATAAATGACTAAAAAATATTTTATATTTAGGTGGTAGTAACACTATGCACTTCTATTTTCTATATATTACACTTTACATTTTAAGGTTTTAATATGGATATTAGAAAACATTCTTTATTATAATTATGTTTATAGTTTCAAAACTTGAGATAAAAAAAAGTCCTAATTTCTACAAGTTTATCATTAGTTTTTTAAAATGATCGCAATGCCCTTTAGAAGTATTCCAGTCTTACCAAAAACAAAAAAATTATATAGTCGATTGAGATTGTAAAATGGCAATTCTTTTTTACCATTGGAAGTAGTCTATAAAATGCAATATATATATATATATATATATATATCAACACCCAACATATGAAAATTTAAACATTCAACATTAAACACCCAATTTAAATCACCTAAATTCAATTTCAATCATCCAAATTCATATTAAAATACCAAAAACTTCAAAGTCAAACACAACATGAAATTTAATTACTGAAAGAAATTAAAAATTAAACATTAAACTAAATAAACTGAAATAAATGAATAAAAGAGTACAAAAATTCCTAAAAAAATAAAAATAAATATAGACTAGGCATGAAAATAAGAAGCATATACGAAAATTTCAGATTTTATTTACCTAAAGCAATAACTAAAAAAATGAAAGGTGGGAAAAAATGGGTTCCTTGGGCCTTTGGGCTTAATGGGCTTTCAGCCCATTAATCGAGGCCTACTGGGCTAGCCCATTTTTTTGCCCCTCTGTCTCGTTTATTTTTTTAGCTACGCCCAATTCTTTTCGAGCTAGACCCAGCCTAGTTCTATTTCTCCTCTGGCCTTCTCTTCTTCTTCTTCTCCGTGTCCCTTTTTTTCCTTTCCTTTTCTTTCTTTCCTTCTTCTCCTTCCTGGCCCGAATGCTCTCACTTCACACTTTCCCCTTCTTCTTCTCCCTCACCCAGATGATTCCTGTCATCTCCTCCGAGCTATTTTACATTTTACAATCTCATCCTTCTCATCCCATCCTTAACGATCTGGGGAAGTTTGAGCAGCAGGGGTTCACCATAGCAGTGACAGTGTCATTGCCATTTCCCCCTCCGAAATTTGAATTTTAAAGCAAAATAACACGGAGTATAAAATGGATGTAATGAACAATGGATGAGATTAGGCAGAACTAATCTGTTATGATTTAAACTCGTGATTTCTTGCAAGAGGATACTACCACTAGATTACAAGCTATTTGATACACCACAAGAAATAGAACACACACTTCTTATTGATAATTTTATTGCATCTTAATCAAAATACAGTATACAAGAGAAGAATAATCCATTATACAAAAGAGACAGAAGGACAAGTCTATTCTCATAATCTACAAGAACAATTTCACAACTTTCAGTTAATTTTACGACAATCTGCTCTTACTTCTCCTTTTGAACCTTCCTTGACATCAAGCAAACTCATTTTCACCATTGCCTGTTGAAAATCAAGGAAAAACATGGCCTGGTTCAGAGCATAGTTATTGACAACTGCTTTTGTTTTTGGGTTACCGTATAGGGTTTGGTCTGAAAAAAGAACTCCAGCTTTCCTCTGCAATGCTTGGAAGTAGAAGCCATCAAAATTATTTCTTGTGATATCGAAGGGTTGCTCTGCATTGTCTCCTCCACTACATGTTTTGGACAATGTTCTGGAAAAGTCTGAATCCATGGTTGGGTCAATAGGGTTGCTCAACCTGTTTTTGAAGGATGAACATCTTGCCACCCCTAGTGTATGCGCCCCTGCATGTCAACCCAAATTATAGTCATTCTTTAGGGCTTCTTTAAGAAGTCCCAGGCCCATTTAAGTGGAGAGAAAGGCCCAGGCCTTATTAAACAGGGCTTCTGTAAGAAGTCCCAGGCCCAGTTAAGTAGAGAGAAAGGCCCAGGCCTTATTACATTGAAAGCATGTTTGATGGCTCATACAAAAGAACTCAAAACCTAGGTGATCAGTCTCATTCAATTAACGGGTAAATTAATTAAATAAATAAATAACCATGATTATCGTGAAATTACATAAATAACCAAAAGTTTGAGATTTGATAGGAATCTTTATGCTTAAGAAAATATTACTATATTGTAATTGTCCACTTTCGTACCCAAATGCCCTTATCATCTATCAAAGCGAGTAATTTTCAGAACCAATTAAAGATGTTTTGGGTATTCAAAAAAAAAAAAAAAAGTTTTGTGGTATTTTCTTAAGATTGCTTTCGTCAAATTTTCAAAATTTTAATAATAATTGCATTTTCACCATATTTTAATAATAATAATTACATTTTCAAACTTTTTCAATTTTACGACAATCTTTTTTATCATCAATCTTTTTATAATTTTTTTTTTAATGCGAAAAAATAACATAACGCAAAATGAATAAAAGAGACTAAATAATTAGTTTTTCCAACAAAGAGATTAATTAATTCTGAAAAAGACTAATTTATAATTACTCTTCTTTTTACGATCAGCTTCTGATTTGGTTAAAAAAAAATCCAATGGATAGATTTACTTAAATTTGCTATAGGAGTGCATGATTTTATAAATTTTAGAAGGAGAGAGAAGTAAGAAAAAATGAATTTGATAGTATATGCTTACCAGACAAAGCAACCATTTCCTGGGCACTGAAACCACGTTGGCCAAAAACTCTGATGAGCTCTGAGGCATTAAAAGTTGGAAATGGCAAATTGAAAGTATCTTCAATTTTAGACCTCCTTCCATCTTTTCTTCCTGTTGGTATGTCATACACTGGCCCTCCTGACTGTAAATTTTCCCACCATGACCAGAGTTAGCATCAACCTTGAAATTAAGAAAGAAGAAGAAAATTGCAAGATTTTTGTTACCCAAGCAACTGCCTCTCTAGCAGCCATTGCTACGATATCAGCACATGAGACAACACCAGGGCATTGGTTTTCAAGTTGCTCCTTTACATCATCAATTAGCTTGAACCCTCTCAGACTTAGATTTCCTGGAGAATCCTTCTCTGCTTTGTTATCCTTTGTTGATTCAAGTAGGATAGACCCATCACATCCCTAATTATATCATTTTGAACCCCAAAAAAAAAAAAAAGATCGTTAAATTGAACCCAGAACTTCCATCTTCAAATTTTAAGCTTAAGATTCTTGTTTCTTCTTTGGGATATGAGAAAGAGAGAGTGGCAAATTCTTGTGTGCTTGCGTGTGAAAGGAGAGATTATTTGATACTTCTAGCTAGTAGTATTAATGTATAAAAACCACACGTAAACTCCACATGAAAGCAAGAGATCGATGTGTGAGTAAGTAAAGAGCTAGCTAGAAAGAAGGGTTAATTACTTGTATCCAGCAATCATGAAAATGCATTCTAACAAGAGCAGCAGCTAAGGTAGGATCAGACTGCAAAGCGCTTGTCACTGTGTTTCTCAGAATTGGCTCAGCTAATGGGCAATTGAAGACATAATAGTTCATGCTCAAGCCATTTGCTCCAAATCTATGGCCACTTGCTATTAACTCCATCGATAAGAACACGCCAAGAAAATTAGCCAAAGCCATCTTCGATGGGTTTGAAGGGAATTTGAGGAGCGGCATGTATCTGGCAGAGGGTAACAGAAGAAAAGAAAAAATGGCGGTGGGAATGCAATGGGAGAGATTTGGAAGTAGCTAGCTAGCTGGCTGGCTAGGTTGATTGAAGAGTGACGAAGAAGGTAGCGATGTGTGTGTAAATATATAAACGTGAATGATTGAAGAAAGGTTGCCCCAAAGAAATATACTAAATTAGATAATGCATGCAGAGTTAAAAGATAGTGGATCTATCCTTTTCTCCATCTAATTAATTAATTAATCTACCTAATTGTAATTAATATGCAGTATATAGTAATCAATCTTACTCACTTCTTCTTGACTATGAATTGAATCATGCATGGTGATTAACTCATTAATTTGCATGTATGGAGACACGTAACAAAGTCACAACAGTTAGTGATTCTTGCGTATTAATTCCACCTTAAGTCAAACCATGATGCCTGCTTCCATAGTCTTGTAATTCATCATCATACATTAATTATTTTTGTCGAATGATTTCTAGTTAATATGGAGATGAATGCAACGAGTCTATATCTAGTTTAATTAGCATTTGACTCGTGTTTTTTAAAGGGTAATGAGTTAAAATCTGTTTTCTTTTCTTTTTTAACAGAAAAAGATTAAGATGAAAATATTGTTCTTGATGAGGTTACATAAGAGGAGGGATTAATTGTGGTTAAAGGATTTTGCTATATTTTTTTTTTTTAGCAAAACAAGGTTCAAACCTTAAATCATGGAAACAAAAATCTATGTAATAATATGATAAATTATTGTCAAATTTCAAATACAAGAGGGCATTTCTTATTTGATCCTTTAATTATATAAAATTATTTCCCCATATTTCATGACAAAATGAAATTAAATGAAATTATTTTCCCACATTTTTTCCCCTTAACTATTATTGTCTTTGGAAGAATTTATTAGATTGAAAATGCAGCTTAAGATCATTGATTAACTCCCTGACCAACTAAAATAGACCTAATTGATCTTCAAAATCCTCATCAAAACATAATCAATCTAGTTCCTTGTCAACTCCAACTTCTACTCTCATGCATACCCAAAGGATAAAACCCCCACTTATGACCTAACAAAAGTAAATACTTCGAAAACCTTGAAGTAAACGTTGTAATGAAACCCTAAACTTGTTGATTGGATTTGGAAGGTGGTGCAAGCTGGTTGACATGAAATGGCAATTATCAGAACCTTTGAAAAACTTACCACCTTGCAAATTCAAACAATATATTAAGATTTAGTGGGGGGTGGAAACTCATTATATGCTTAGCTGGTTTCCATTTGATAGGGAGAAAAAAAAAAAAAAAAATCGGAGTGGACCATGAAGTGGAGGAAACTTCTTATGCAATCAAAAGCTTCTTTTTTGGGCATGGAATTTTCAACAAGCTTTTTTAGTGCATTGGACACGTCTAGGTACACATGTGGTGGTGATGGGGGGTACCAGCTTGTCTCTCCTAGTTTGTTTTTTTAATCATTTCTTGCTTCCATTTTTGTGAGTGCTTCTCACTCGTTTTTCTTGTTGGGCAAACCTAAATTTACCCCTCCAATTATTGAGTTGGTATCAATTTCGTCACAAACAATTTTGATTTCTCGACTAGCGTAGAATTCTTTATAATTCCTTAGCATCAAATGTTTTGTTTCCTATGAAACAATGTGTTTCTTATCAAAGAAAATATAATTTATGAAATAACGTAGATATAATTGAGGCAAAATTCATACTCTTTACATAATTGAGTGGACATTTTTTAGGTTTGCATTTTGTGATAATTCATTTCTCTTTTCTCTGTTTCTTCTTGCCTTTTGGGTTTTGTTAAGGCTTAATGTTTTAAAAAATAACAAATTATATACGTTTTAATGATTTTAATTTGTTTTTTAAAAATTATATAAAAAGGTTACTAACCAAACATACGATAATAATACCAACACCAATCTAATTTCGACTAAAATTTTGATCAACGATGATATGACATATGGACTTTAGTAAGTCACATAAGATCCATATAATTGATTTTCAATATCATTGTTGGTATGCATTATAACCCACATATAAACTTTTACGTTAAAAAAAAAGTATTGTCTATGATTTTTTAGAACACTAAACTTTTTATTAATGTATTTCTGTTGGGGTCAACGAATTGCCACCACATTAATATGATTTATGTCAAATGCGGTCAAAGTTACTCCACTTTCAATTGTTGATAAGAGAGCCGCCACCCTTTATGATCCTACTTCCTCCTTCATCCACAAATACCATAACATTCCAAAATTTGAGCACAAGTATATGACTCTATCTAATAATTCCATGTTACCATAATGTTGGAGACTTACCTCATGCTAGCTAGCTAGGTTGCTTTGTTTCTCATATTACTATTTTGAATTCGAATCGAAATGAAAAGTTCAAAGCTCTATCTAATAATGAAAAGTTTATTTCTCATATAATAAGTAAAGCAATTAAAAATATATAAATTAAAATAAATTTATTTTATTCACAACACTGGTTATTTTACTATTATCATGAATCTAACTATTTCTAACTACTAGGATAAATCACAACACACACCGTTTCACAATGTATTTAAAAATATGGTTACTTGTCAAGAGACGACTAGCAAGAGATTTTGAAAGCTCGAAATAGACATTTGACCTCTCCCTCATCAGGGAATACTCACACCGCAGCTACCACGAATCTTCTACATGAATGCTAAAGACAAAACACAAGCTTCCTGATTTTTATTTATTTATTTATTTTCCCTTTGGTAGGACTCGGGATTATGTACAGAAAAGACGAGCAAATTATGAATTAATCCCCCTAGTTTCAAAAAACAAATTAATTAATCCTCTTCATTTCAAAACTATTATTTAATCCATTAATCATGCTTAATTTAATATTATTTTCATTCCATAATTTAACATTATATATCAATTATTACATATTGTTTTCCACATGTATTTTCTTTTTCTATTTCTTAAAATAAAAAAACCAAAATAAATTAAAAAGAGCACAAAAGACTATTTGTATATAAAGATCACATAATTAATTTTTTTAAAAAAAAACTAATTAATTTATTTCTCAAAACGAGGGACTAATTTATAATTTACTCCAGAAAAGACGGACGAAAAAAACACCAGACCAGTTATGGAAAGAGGGACCAACTGCACCGATGCGACATTTAGGCCATATTTTATTATGTACACATAGGAGGAAAAAAACTGGCCTAAAAAGAGGAACAAAAAGAGAAGAAAATACATTTACAGACTCTTAAATTTTCCGGCGACATCCGATGAAGTTGTCATGCTCTTTCCACAGCCTTTCTACCATTACCACCGATAAGCTATCATCTCTTCAGAGGGCTACCCCACTAAGTTAGATCACTAGGCTGGAGGAGCCTCTGCATCTGAGACAGACAAACTTAGCAGGAACTGAATCAGAATCCGGAATGCCAGAACATCTAGTGTGTTGCCACACTCCACAGACATCACAAGCTAACATTCGCTCTCCGTCATCGTCTTTAGCCCCGCAGCGGCAGTCCACGGTCCATCTCTCAGTTCCTCTTTCCATTCTAAATTTACCGAGAACGTTTTTTCCGAGGCATCTCCCTCGGAGTCTAACAGATTCAGCTGACCCTATCAAGAGCTGGACCTGGGTAGAATCATCAACACCACTATAGCCGAGAAGCTCTTCAGCATGGAATCTTCTGAACATCAGATACACATCTTGAAATGCCCTGGATGCTTCAAGCTTGAGATCAAAAACTGTAGCATTTAAGGGCAAGACTACTGTTTCCGAGGGCAGATTGGGGGCATTTTCTTCCAATTGATCCACAATTTCCACCTCACAAGAAAGGCATATGGTAGGTGAGTTTGACATGGATGGTGTTGTTTGACACTTGCTGTAGTCTTTCACAAACTGCTTGCAGTCAAGAAGTTTTCTGGCAGAGCTGATTCTATCATTACTTGCGACCTCATATCCAAAGCTCAACATGGTTTGAGGGAGTAGCATGTTTTCATAAAGGAATCTAAGGTCCCTTAGAAGATTATCTTCAGATGGGCAGGTAACAACAGGAGGGCCAATGGTTGCAGTAGTATTATTTAAGGAAGGATTTCCAGGTTCCAGTCTGTAACAAATTGGAACGCAAAGTTAAATAGAATAATAGTGCACTGAAAAATTGCACTACACGAAATACAATGGAAAATGACAGGACCTCCCAAGCTCAAGGGAAAAAGGGATTTAGATCCTAGGCCTAATAATTAATAATACCATCCAACTCCATGAGAACCCTAGACTCAAATTTGTTGATAATCTGTTTTTGAAACACATTTGTTCCAGAGAAGTGAAGTAATAAAAATTGCTTTCAAAAGCATTCATGTCTTTCCAAGATAGAGTTAGAGCACAAAGAAGATGATCGCTATGTTGACCATTAGCTTAATCATTGTCAAATTAGATAAGAACAGGAAACTGCAGTTACTATAATATAAAACTGTAGGACTGCAGTTCTCCCAGAAAAACTATTCAAATTTGAAATTATGTTATAAATGCCGATCACGAATCAAGTAAAGGATGATTAATTGCTAACCTGTACTCAAAAGCACCTGAACCAGGATTGCATCGAGACCTAACAATCATTCCATCAGCTGCAGATTTCCCTCCAAGTTCTTTCAGGCAATGATCAAGGAGCTCTGGAGGAGCCACTTTGCAAACAGCGCCTCTAAGTGCACGCCAACTTACCCAGTTGGATCCAGACACCGCTCGTAGTACTCTAAACATGGCTTCTTCAACACGTTCAATATCGCTCCCACTCCACGAAGGAGAAATCCCTGATGCATAAATATGGCGCTTCTTGCAGCTAAAGTCATCAACCCTTGAGGTAGACTTGTGAGCATCATGGATCAAATTTATCAAATAACAGAATAGATCTCTAGTATTTACAAGCTCACGGTCTGACAAAGATTGGTAAAACTTTATTGTGTCCTGCAAGTGAGGACGTGGTTTCCATCCTTCAGAAAGAAAAATGGACAAAGGTAGCCTGGAGAGTGTTTCCACAGCTGACTTATAGGCATCAACTGTCAAACCAAAACTACCAGCACCGAATTCATAGCCCCAGTCACCATACCATGAATGGCCTTTGGTGATAGCATGAAGCAGCCTGTACTCTAACCCATACTTCTTTGATACATCCATCACACTGACCTTTCTGTTAATGCATGGAAAAAGAAAAAACAGCTGGTTTAATTCACAGCTACAATTAGATGAAATCAGGAAGCTAAAAGGGATTCATGTACCAGACAGATAACCAATTGCGAACAAGATTAGGATATCATAAGATATCAACTGGTTTTGATCTCCAGAATACTAGATAAAAACCCTTGATTTCAAGAGAAGTATAGAGCATTCGATCTACCAAATTATAACTTTCCCAAAATCCACACCAAAATGATGCAACAGAAATGGACATTTTAATGGCCCAAAAGAACAGCACCATAGATAAAGCTTCCACAAATCTGAGCCCTTTCACACTTCGTTTATCTTCTACAAGTATCTGTCAAAACATCAACTACTTATCCAATCTCCACATATTCAAATTCTCCTAGACCATGAAATATCTTCCAACCATAACATCTACTTAGAGAACCACACTGAAGAACTGAAGATTTATGAAGAGATCACCAATAAAGATTTTTAAGCTAGCAAATATTAGAAATCACCTTCAACATATCGGAACACTCTCACTACGTAACAAGCATGAAACTGTAAGTGCAATCAAGAATCCTAACCTGACTCCAAGAGTTTTACATAACCGATCCCAAAAGTCCATGATATGGCATCCAGAAAGGACCCTGGAGCCCCCTTCTTTCCCATTTACCCTAAGAAGGTGCCCGTATCCATTTGCATGGATGACACCATGTAAAAGATGAGTGGTGTCTTCCAACTGGTGATAGACCCACTCTTCAACATCATCTGCAGTGGTCACATGGTTGCATGTCTTGCACCTAAAATAGAAAATTCAAGAGGATCATGAGAAGCCACAAAAATGATGAAGATGAAGTATTAACTTCAAATCAACCAGAGTTACAAACAGGTACAATATTAGCATTAGCCCCAACATGAATCAAGTTCAGTACAACAATTAAAGTAATTAGTAATAGCTATTAATTAAGATTTAGCAAACAGCATCTTCAAACAAAACTATGGGGCAAATAAAGTGTACTCGTGAAAAGTCAAACCTATTATCTTGGTCATGCTATCAACAATTTTTCATCAAAATATCACACAAGTAAATATAGTTTAATGGAGATACAATTACACTGTATCTCATCATAAAAATGAACATTGCATTCATACAATAAAGTACTAAATCATGCCAAAAATATACGAACAAGATACAATGTCCAACATACATCACAATCAATGCTAAGCAAAGCAGAGTTGGGAATAACAAAGGGGCTCCGACCTTGATTCAGACACATGCAGGACGTCTCCACAGCAAGTGCACGGCTTATGATACCCACCAATGGAGTTGCCATCAGCTTTAATAATAAAATGGTAACGCTTACTGCATACCGGATGACCACTCCAGCCTACAAAGCAGAGAAAAGCACAACAAATAAGTAACACGCAAGGAAAATCTAGACAATCAAAACAGTTTTTTTTTTTTCCTAATACAGAAAATTCAATAAAAACAGTCCAGCAATGACTGTAAAAATAAAAAATAAGTTTTCATATTATAAGTCAATTAGATAACAATATGTGCTTTATGTTCAACTAAACATATCATAAATTCATCTATCGCCCACATTTTTTTCCTCAGCATTCAATCAACCAATCCATAGTCCAAAATAGCCCCATGTTTAACTCCATGACTCCCCTCTTCTTTAATAAGTTACGAAATTGTGCCCACTCTAATCCATCTTCAGAATACCAGTCTTAGAAAAAAAAAACAAAAAAACAAAAAAAAACCATTCCATGGCCCGCATTAAAAAATTCTAGACGCATCCAAAACAATTGTTTTATAAAAGAAAAAGAAATTTGGTCAACAACCAAGTACCAACCACCCCATTTAGGATCACACATTACCATTAACCCATTAATCATTATCCATTCCACAATCAAGTAATGTCCATGCAAATAGAATAGTCAAAACACAACAACATGGGCTTTACAACCAAATACAAATTCAAGACCCCATCAAAAGAAAGCATCTCTGTGCACACTGTGACACGGTCCCACCAAAAATAAAAACTAACTAAAAGCATTATCTAGTAAACTAAACCAGACGCATGCCACCGCAACAAGACAAGCAAGTATGCTGTATTACCCAACAAAACATGAAAAAAAAAAAAAAGGACTGAGAATAGCTGTCACGCAAAGAGCCAAATCATCACCAATCAAACCAAAGCAAAAAAAATAATCAAAACAAGTACCCACAAGACTCCACGTGTCAAGAAGACTATCTTAACCTAGTGAAAATTAAACCACAGGAGATCATTTGTCCATAATCATTATCCCTACAGGCCCACAGTACCCGCCCTCCAAGTTACAGAAAACCGCCATTTCTCACGATAAGTTGCCAACTTCTCGTTCATTCATTTTTACGAATTCTATACTCTCACGAGGCAATCATGTGACTTGACGCGATATTTTAAATTTATAATTTTACAAATAAAAGTTAAAAAAAAATAAGAGAGAGAAACACAAGGGGAGAGAACTCTCGAATTTCCCGCCCCAGGCAACAGGCAGAGAAGGAATCGTGAAGGAAAATAAAAACGCGTTTTTCCAGGAACTCGAGCTGAGTTAACTCACCAACAACTCGACACTGATCACAGTAAACAGATCTAGATCTAGCCACATCCTCCTCCACAACATCCAGAGAAACAACCGCCGACCCCGCCTCTCCACCACCACCACCACCACCACCACTCCACTAAGTCCCCCACTCGAAACGAGATCTGCCACGTGAGCAGGTGAGGGAACAGTGAGGAAGGTGGAGGTAACAGCGCGTGTTCAGTTAAAAACGACCTGATGTTGGATCTGAATGGACCGCGAGGTGGAGGAGGCGAAGAGGAGGATGAGGGGGAGGAGGAAGATGAGGAAGGGAAAGTGAGGAAGTTGTAGAGATCAGCTGTGACTCTTCTCTTCATCCTCTTAATTGGTCTCCCGTTAACAACCATATCCGTTACGGCAGCGCGTGAGGGGAAGTGAAGTTAAGAAGGTTCTAGATCTGGTAGATCTGACGGTGGAGATTGAAAGATTAGATAGAAAGAGAGTGTTTCGGTGACCGTGAGGAGACTGAGAGAGAGCAGGGGAAAACGAAACGTTTTGGGGTTGTGGAGAGTTAGAGTGAGTGACTGTGATTTTCGATTTCAGAACCGCACGGATTTGATTAGCATCATCTCGTTTTGATTTTTGATTTTAGAGGAGAAATCTTAGCCGTTAAGAGTGCTGACTGGTTTTAGACGTTTACCAAATATCGAGGTCTCTTTATGGAAGTTACGGTTTTGCCCTCTGTGGAGGGAACTAGGAACCTTCGTGGCTACTCTTAGGACGAAAAAAGAAAAACATATTACTTATTTTAAAAAGTCGTTAATTACTTTAAAGGCCACGACACCGCGATGCTATGGTATTGATTAATGTTCACAGTGACAATTTTATTAATATTATAATTAACAAGTTAACATATCTATATAATTATAGCAATATTATTAAGTTGATTTCTTAACTAATATGTCATCATATTCTAGTATTAATTAGTTGGTTTTTTCGTAGTATATTGCGTATCAAGCAAAACATAATAAATAAAATTAATTTATCGTTTTGTCACAAATCTATTAACATATATTGAATTGAAGAAGAAAAAAATCATCTAAATTTTTTATATTTTATATTTTTATTTATTTTTATTTTTTATATTTTTTGTTGTTAAAAAGCACGGTTTGTTCTTTGTTACGCATTAATTTTTAAATAAAACTTATAATAATACAAATTGAAAATATAATATAAAATTTTAAACAACATCCTAATATTCTTTTTCATAAAAATGTATCGAATAAAAAAACAATAATTAATATAAAAACTTATATAAAAATTAATAAATGAATATGTTTTAACTTTTTAAAACTATGCACATTTGATTTATATATATTTATTTATAAAATAACGAATAAGGTTAGTATAAAAAAATGCATCTGAATTATTAGATGATTTTTCTAAAAGATTATTTTAATTATTTTATTTGAAAGAAATTAATCTTAGAATATAAAAAAATTAAATGTAAATCATTAGTGTTATGTATGGAGATGCATGGATAATTTTTAATAAAACAAATTATCTTTTTTTTTTTTTTTTTTACGTTATGACTATGCTCAATTGGTTAGAGTATGCCTCGTCATCCTATTTTTACCTAAATAAAAAAAAAGATAAAAAAAGGAAAATTAGGCCTAGATCAATGCTAAGAATTACCTAAATAACTAACTTTTTTTCGAAATCTCTAAATTTAGTGTCTTTTTTAGATTTTTTTAATTCTTTCAATACTAATTAATAACTCAATAAAACCTTCTTAATTTTTATCCCTTAATCAAAACAAATTTGGTAAAATAATTAATGTTGGGCAGCGACGCCATTGTTTGCTAAAGTAACATCATGATGAACTTGAGCATAAAATCCTCAACCATCCAGCTTGTAAAGGACAAAAATAAATTAAAGACAAGAAGGTGGTACATACTCAAAGCAAAACCGTTTCTAACTTTTTCCTCAAAGAGAAATCATGTATATCATGATCGACTCTTACAATACATCACGTCAAACGTGGCCAGTTTCATCATTTTAGAGTGGAATAAAAGAGAAGCAAAAAAGCTTAGCAAGATCAATGGTGATCACCAAGCCATGCATGGCCGTTTTGCTAGAAGTTATTAGCATAAGCTTGTCCATTTTTTGCTCAAACGGTGTCATGGGCTCATCATCATCACCACCACCACCATCCCAATTTCCAGCCATGTTTGTGTTCGGAGACTCCTTGGTTGATGTTGGAAATAACAATTACCTCGACTCTTTGGCAAAGTCTAACTATTTGCCATATGGTATCGATTTTGACGGTGGACCAACAGGAAGATTCTGTAATGGGAAAACCATCATCGATTTTCTAGGTAATTCCTTGATCATTTCTTCTTCTTCTTCTTCTTCTTCTTCTTCTTCTTCTTTCTTCTTTCTTCGTCTTCTTCTTCTTCTAGCTAAATGATCATAGGCCCAAATGAGAAATCACTTGGCCACTATACTGCCATGCATGCACATGAAATATTGCTTCTATATATTCTCTTGTAAACTTTGCAGGAGAGTTGCTTGGTCTACCTCCTCTTCCAGCCTTTGCAGCTACTTTCTCAACAGCAGGAGACATTCTTAGTGGAGTAAATTATGCTTCAGCAGCAGCAGGAATTCTTGAAGATTCAGGCAAAAATCTAGTAATGAATATCACCTCTAGCTAGCTAACTTCCAATCTTGATATATGATCTTTCCTTATTTTGCTCTCTCGCTGCTAAAATAACTGGTGCAGGGAGATAGGTATACTTTAAGCCAGCAGGTGCAGAATTTTTTGAGCACCTTGAGCCAGTTGAAGAAGCTGATGGATGGCAAGGAATTGAAGCAGTATTTGGCTAAGTCGCTGGTCATGGTGAACCTGGGCAGCAATGACTACATCAATAATTACCTTATGCCTTTAATTTACCCTACAAGTTACACTTACAGCTCCAAAGACTTTGCTCACCTTCTCATCAGCAACTACACAATACAAATCATGGTACGAGAATTTGTTCATTTCTGAGTCAATCATAAATTAGCCCTTTTAATTTGTGTCAAGAAATGAATTAATTAATCCCTTTTATTTCTTTTTTTGTTTCTTTCATTTAATTTTATTTTTTAAGGAAAAAAAAGTAATAGATATGGAATGTCCATGAGAAAAATTATATTTTTTAAAATACAATAATGTTAGATTAAGCTTGGTCATCACTTGTCAAGAGGCTAAATAATTAATTTTTAAAATAAAAAGACTTAATTGATTTTTTTTCAAAAATAGATTTACTTATTCATTTTTTGTCAAAATTCAAGGAAAAAAAAAAGAAGAAGAAAGAAAGAAAAAAATATAAAAAAAATGCTGGTGAGATAATTTTTTTTTTAGAAGGTCCTAGATGTCTAGACCTATCATGGGTCGGGCTAAGGCCAGAAAAATCCAAGTGGAAAACTTTTTGTAATCCCGGCCCATGACTTGAATCCTTTATTAAACTTTTGGTTATGGAAGCTATAATCCAAGATCACTCATGCCTTGGGCTTTCTGGCTGGTGCAAAATTTTCTTTTTTTTTCTTTCCCAGATGGAGAAAGAAGAGATATATTGAGATTTTTAATTAATTTGTGACTTTATTTATTTGTTTGTTGTTATTATTATTAATTTTTTATTTTTTTATTTTTTTTGGGGGGCAGGCACTACACCGTTTAGGACTTAGAAAGTTCTTGTTGGCAGGAGTCGGGCCTCTAGGCTGCATACCAAACCAGCTAGCCACTGGTCTTGCCCCACCAGGAGAATGTTTAACCTTCGTTAATGAAATGGTTCAAGTTTTTAATATGCAGCTTAAATCTCTTGTTGATCAGCTAAACACCAATCCCACTGATCACACAGTTTTTGTGTATGGCAACACTTATGGAGCATTCACTCAAATACTTAACAATCCTGATTCTTACGGTAAGACCTTCAATTATGTGTATCATGCATGCGTTTTAAGTTATCGAGATCCTGTATAATTTAATTTTTTTTATTAAAATTAAAATTTTTTTTTTGCCTAATTTAAAAGTTTTATTTTTATATGTTGTTGTTATTTTAGATCCTAACCAATGATAACTTATCACGTTACCAATTCAATCGCTCAATTTGGCTCCACTATGGCACATGACAAATTGTTATTTGTTAGAACTTGCTAAATGTGTGCTTATGTGGTACATTAGTGTCTAAGCAACAACAACATAAGAGTAGAACTCTTAAATTGAATTAAAAAAAAATTTAGGGTCTCAATTAAAAAAATTTGAATTACACGAAATCTCCATATGTGCAAAACTAATATTATGTTGTGCAGAGTTTACCATAATCTATGAATTGAAGTGATTAGTGTGGTTAATTACATCAATTGCAGGGTTTGTTGCAACTGATAGAGGGTGCTGTGGAGTGGGAAAGAATAGAGGTTTAATAACTTGCCTTCCTATCGTAACGCCATGCTCAAACAGAGACGAATACATCTTCTGGGATGCTTACCATCCAACTCAAGCTTTTAACAAGATTGTTGCTCAAAAGGCTTATGCCGGCCAACCGTCTGATTGCTACCCAATCAATGTCCAACAAATGGCTGAAATTTGAGTCTTTCTTGACATTTCTAACTAGCTAGGAGGAAAATTGTTCGATCAGCACAAAGTTGTGGTCATTACTTTTCTTTCATATTCATACCAGGCTGTACCTTTGACCAAGTGATTAAGAAGAAGAATAAGAATGTTAGGCATCAAAAAATGTTTGAAAAATACGATTTGAGATAAAATCTTATACCCTAGTGAATTAAAAAAAAAAAAAAGAATAAAAACAGGTAATTCCAAGCATTTCAAGGCATTATCTTCCTTTTGAAATTCTAAAATCTGCATTAAAACATGATAAGAAGAAGGCAACGGCAACTTTGTTTGATCAATTCAACAAATTGCATAATTGTGGACCTCTATATCACACTTTGACGATTAAAAGCCACCTTTTATGTTTGAATAAATGCAAATTGCAGTGCAAAAAGTTAAGAAAAGTTGTTATTAATCATTATCAGAAATATATATATATGATTTTACGTAATTAATGCAAGTTGCTCCCTCCTAGAATCTCCAAGTTGGACATGGATATGATGATGCCTTCAAAATAACTTCAAGATGACACAAAAACTGCCGCCAAGTTGTTTTGACTTTCAAACATGGTTAGATGTTTCTTGAACTTTGAAGTATAGCCTAATTATTCAATTTTCACTTCGTCCATCGATAGTCAGTTGTTTGTATCAAAAGGAGGAAGAATCGGACATAATATTTACTATGTGTAACAACATATGATTAATATATATAAATATCTTACCACACTACGGTAAAAGTGAAGTAAGAGCTAATTTTATTATTTTTATACAAAGTGCAAACAAACATTGAGAATTGAATTCATGATCGTTAGAAATAAACAATTTAAGCGAGGAAGATTATTTCATGTTATTGACAATAATTTGATTTATTTAATTGAAGCCCTATATATATATATTTTCAAGTTATTCCAGATCTAAAAGTTTAAACTAATAATTCATTTTTCAGTCAGATACACAAAACGAGTATAATTATTTAATAAGATTTTTTCATGTATAAGAATTCGAATTTAAAATTATTTATTTTATCTTTCTAGTCAGTAAAATGTTACATGTTCCTGCAATAATGAAGTGGTAGGCACTAAGTAGTATCATATGACATAAGTCCCTACGGATAGTCTCTCTCTCTTTATCAACTTTTTCGTCTTTCTCTCTCTCTCACTTCCTTGGTGATCCCTACCCTAATTGCATCACCTTTTGCATCTTCTCTTCCTACCTAAAGTTCACCTCATCTCCATTGCTTTGAGCTCACAAGTTTGCAAACTTTGGAGTTTAGACCATAAGGAGAGAGAAGGAAGATTAAGAGGAGAAAAATACAAACAAACAAAGAAGAGTTTGTGGAGGTGAATCAAAGATCATCATCGTCACCATCATGAGTTCAAATAATATGGGAGGTGGGCTAGGTCAATTTGGAGATACCACTCACACCAAGGTGTTTGTTGGAGGCTTAGCTTGGGAAACCCAAAAGGAGACGATGAAGAAATACTTTGAACAATTCGGAGAGATCTTGGAAGCTGTAGTTATCATAGACAAGAACACGGGAAGATCAAAAGGATATGGCTTTGTAAGTGATCGATCTTCTTTTCACCATTCTTCTTTACTTCGATATTTTACCCTTTCCAAGTCTTAGATCTAGCAATGAATATAAATATATATCATTCTTGATTAATATATTAAAAAGAGAGTGGATTTATTTATTTTATGGTAAATTTTTTGTAGGTAACTTTCAAAGAAGCAGAAGCAGCAAAAAAAGCTTGTGTGGATCCTGCGCCTGTAATAGATGGCAGGAAGGCTAACTGCAATCTTGCTTCTCTGGGTGTTCAAAGATCTAGACCTTCCACCCCACAACATGGTACCCACTTTTCATCTTTTTTACTTTTCTATACATGTTTATAATAGCTAGATTCTTTATTTTTCTAAAGAAAAACTCTCTTTATTTCTTATCTGATCTTGGTGATCGAATGTGTCATTAAAATGCTAATTATTAAACTTAATGAGCTAATATTTCAGTGATTTTGGTTGAGAAACTTATGTAATACCATGCTGTTTACAACTAGGAGGAGTTGGAGGCAGGAACTTTAGGGCAGGAAAATCTTTTTCGAGTGGCTATCAAGGTGGGGTTGGAGCAGCGGCTTTTCCTTCTACGCCAACTCTCCCACATTATGCCATCCAACAAGGAATCCCCTATGCTCTATATGCAGGGTAAGATAGCTTCCTTCCTCTTTTTAATTTCCCTATCAAACTCCATGTGCTATATATTCCCCAGCTCGCTCATTTCCTGCCCGGCCCAAATAAAGCTTCTATCTCATGATCTCACATGGAAAAGAGGAAAAACTTCTCCCACATGCAATATAATTAGTACCACTTTAGTGTGTGTGCATGTGATGATAGTCATCTTTTTTTTTATATATATATAATTGAGTTAATTTATTTTTGAATATATGTTAAGTTTGTAATTTACCATTCTCTTTTCAAAATTTTCATGTCTAATTACCAAAACTATTCATGTGATTTCAACGTTGATTAATTTTTATTTTCAAAATATCTTTATAAGTTTAATAAATTAATAGAAGGCGATCGAATACAAATTGTGTAATTAATTTGATATTTTAGTTTGAAAATCTTATCAAAATAATAAATTATACACTTAACGTATATTTAAAAATAAAATTAATTTAATTAAAAATATAAATTAAAAAATTATTATGTATTATATTCGAAAAAATTTAACCACAAAAAAAAATATATATAGTTCAAAAAGTCTATAGCACAATGGGATCGAACCTGTAATCCAATATTTGGAAAAAGTTTGACCATTGTCACATGCAACTATATAATTACATGATCACGTGAAAGGCTAACATGCCTATCTCTATTCGTATGCACATGCCCGAAGGCCAAGTACAAGTTCAAACCTCCCCTGCTACATCTATCACATGCAATTCGATTTTATTTTAATGAATTTGTTCATTCTTTGAATAAAAAAAGTACAAAAAACCGAAACAAATTCATTAACGTTGTTATGAAAAATCAAATGTTAATTTATTTTATTGTAATATTACAACAATTATTTAGCCTAACTTTATATTGTACTATGTGTCATCTGATCTTTTATTCCATGATTGTTTTTCAGGTACTCTCCAAACTACACATATCCCATGGTTAGTGTACAAATTTTCTACCATGCTTTTCTACTTAATTAATTATCCTCCGCATTCTTTAATTTGAAGGAAATTAATTATTTAAGTAGCAATAGTGGTAATAAATACTATTAATTAATTAACTAGCTATTTTACCAAAAAAAAAAAAAAATTCATATTAGGGAAGGCAAGGGGCCGGATATAAAATGGGTACTTGTTTTATGCGATTCAATAAATGCCCTTTTATAATGTTCAATTGGTATTGAAGTGGATAAGAATATATATATATATATATATATATATATACTCATTAATATGAGCATGCATTGTTTACCTTATTAATACCCAATGATTTATTTAGATTTTTTATTAACATGTATGGATTTAATTGCATAAAATTTAAAAATAAAAAATAAAAAAAATTTTGAAAATTTTGAGGACTAAAAAAACTCATAAATAAATAACTAAAATGTAAAAAAAATTAAATGAATATTTTTAACAAATTAAATTTAGTGAGTATTAAATGAGGAGATAAATTAATATGGATCGAGTTTTAACTAGGTAAAAATTTATATAGTAATTTCTTAATAGATAACGGATAAAATATTTTTTTTAATAAATATGATAAAAAATTAAATTAATAGGCCGGATACCGGCCATTGCCATCCCTAATTCATATTCTAGTTATTCATGTTCCGAAATATTTAATTAATCTCGTTACAATTTATTTATTTATCACTTTTTTTTTTTTTTTTGCAGGCCTACTACGGTTGGAATGGAGGAACAAGCGGCCACTATCTTGTCTATGGAACAGCAGCAAATGGAAATGCTGCTGCTGCAAACTCTACTAATTTCTACCCTTACTGGCAATATGGGCAGAGTTTTGATTACCAGCAGTATCCTCTTCAATATCCATTTATGACTTCGTCTTCTTCTTCTGCTCTCCCTCAGCACTATACACCACCTGTGTCCTTCAATGCTATCCCACACTCACAACCAGGTTTGTGTTCATCTTAATTATATATTCCTCATTAATTGCCTATATATGTACGTACGTACATGCTCTAATTCCTTCTAAATATCGATTTTCATGCCTTCTCCCTCTCCATTTTTTGCAGCTGCAATTGTTCCCACTTCTCTTCCTGCTCCATCTGTTCATGCCTTGGCACCTCATTACCCTACTCAAACCAACTCACTCCACCCCATCAGCAACATTTAAGCAACCTTATCGTCTGCTGCATCATGCATGGTTCCATTCTGATCAACTTTTCACACACATTAGTGCTCATCACTGGGGCCATGGGAAGTCTTTTAGATTTTTAGGAGCTAACTGGGATAGAATGGCTACCATTATCTCCACGTTTCTCCATTCGAAGCTACTCATCAACCAAAGCAATTTCTAAAGCTATTCATTAAGTTTAGGCCCAAATGGAAAACACCATTCACAAGCCTAAGCCCTTCTTTAATTTCTTGTCATGCATGGATATATAAGACCAACTCAAGGCCAGTTGGGTCTTAGAAATATAAGTTGTTGTGAAACAGTTTGTTTCAAACTTCAAGCATATATACAGCCTCTAATTCCTCCCTTTGGGAAAGGGAAGAAATTCTTTTCTAGCTAACTAAGCCTTTTTTTTTTTTTTTTCAAAGTTCATTAGTTGTAAAGAGTACTATTCAATATTATGGCTAAAAACTTGGAGGTTTAGCCCAATTTTGACACATGGAGTGCAAAAGGGGCGCTGTTGTTTTTTTCAAACCTAGGGCTCCTGCTAATTTAGTTATAGTACTCGATCAACGAGGTTAAGCCTCAGCTAGGTATAAAGATCATGCATACTAACCTTGAGATAGCCTAAGGAGATATTTTGGTCCAAAGGTTTATCTTTCCAACCAACAGCCGTGCATGGTGGCTATGGCTCAAGTTTTCATCATCACCTTCACTCCTCCTGCTCCCATCATTCTCCACTCCTCCTGCCCTATCTCTCTCATCGATCACCTGGAAATCACTGAGACCAGCTCCCTAATGAGAGGAACTCGTCAAATTTTCATAAATGCTGAAGATGGTTTGTGATAACAAGCACCCATTCACTCAAATATCAGCAAGACTCGTAATTATTTGAAGATGGTTTTATAATTTTGTTTGTAATAAGTTTATTATTTTAAAATTTGAAGTTGGGTTTGTTTTTATATATATTTTTTGTTTCATTCTGAATTTTCTTCAAAATATAGAACACATGATCAAGAAATATTATATTGTGCTTACACAAACAACAAAAAAAAAAAAAAAAAAAGAATTTAGCAATGGTTTCAACCGTCGCTAATTCCTAAAAAAATGTCATTAAAATTTTTTATGTCACTTAAAAAGTAGAGACTCGCTTTTTTATACAATCGCTAATTTAGTGACTCGTTAATCTGTCACTAAGACATCCAAATCCGTCGCAAATTAGTCGTCGATTTATTTAGCAAAGATTTTGTTAAACCATTATCAAAAAAGGATAATTTAGCGATTGTTTTCAAAATCTGTTACTAAATCCATTTTTAATTAGCGATACTTTTAGCGACTATTTAGGAAAATCATCACTAAATCTATTCCAATTTTTTTTTTAACAAAATTCAATTATTTATGTAATTGCCAATAAGAAAAAAAGCTCTTAAATTAAAATCTCATTAATTTCTTCTTTTGAAAATCCAACTCACTCAGATTTTGAAACTTCGGCATTTTGAGAGTGCATGTGAAATTATAAAAAACACTATAAAAAAAAAAATTTATTATTCATTTTATTATTTGAAACATTATTTAAACACTAACAAATCACTATTTCTTTCACTATTCATGTCATTTTTTAACACTTTGATCCTTAAATTTTTTTTAAAAAAATTATTCAATTTCAAACTTTAATTGTATTGTGATTTGGTTCCATTTTGTTTTAGTTTTTTTTATTCATTGTTTTTATTATTCAAATTTTTAAATTTTAATTTGTCATTTTTAAAATTCTCTTTTTTTTTTCAATTTTCAAACTTTAATTTGTTAATTATTTTAATTATTTAAAATGTACTACTTTAATTTGTCATTTTTGTAAATTCTCTTCTTTTTTTTTTTAATTTCAAACTTTAATTATATTGTGATTTTGGTCCTATTTTATTTTAGTGTTTTTTGTTAATTATTTTTGTTTTTTAAAATTACTACTTTAATTTGTATTTTTTTAAAAAAAATTCTCATTCAATTAATTTAAAATTATATTTACTGACAATTTTAATTTATTTTTTATATGTATGGATTTTGGAATAAAGTTTTAGAACATAATTATTATTATTTTTTGAAAAATAGATTTAGATCATTTTTAAATTATAGTGGCATGATTAATTTATATAATTTGTCTAAAATACATTTTTAGATTAAAAGTGTATTTCAAATAATTTTTTCTCAGTTTTTTATATTATTTAAAATTTACTACATTAATTTGTCATTTTTTTAAATTCTCTTCTTCTTTTTTCAATTTCAAACTTTGATTATATTGTGATTTTGTCCTATTTTGTTTTAGTAGTTTTTATTAATTATTTTTATTATTTAAAATTTACTACTTTAATATATCATTTTTTAAAAATTCTCATCTAATTATTTAAAATTACATTTACTTGACAGTTTGGATTTATTTTTCTATATGTATTGATTTTGGAATAAATTTTTAGAACATTTTTTATTTTTGAAAAATAGATTTAGATACTTTTTAAATTATAGTAGCATGATTAATATATATAACTTAAATACATTTTTAGATTAAAAGTGTTTTTCAAATAATGTTTTCTCAATTTTTTTATTATTTAAAATTTACTACATTAATTTGTCATTTTTTTAAAAACTCTCTTCTTTTTTTTCAATTTCAAACTTTGATTATATTGTGATTTCGTCCAATTTTGTTTTATTTTTTTAATTATTTTAATTATTTAAAATTTACTACTTTAAGTAATTTTTTTAAAAAATTCACATCCAATTAATTTAAAATTATATTTACTAATATTATTGATTTATTTTTCTATACGTATGGATTTTGAAATAAATTTTTAGACCATGATTATTTTTTCTTTTGAAAAATAGATTTAGATAAATTTTAAATTATAGTGGCATGATTAATATATATAATTTATTGAAAATATATTTTTAGATCAAAAGTATATTTCAAATAATTTTTTTCGATTTGTTTTAGAAAAAAACTCAAATTAATTAATTAATAGTTGAAAGTCAAATGTCAAAAATAAAAGGAAAATGGTTGCTTTTTGCGTAAGGCCTATATTCAAGGACTAGTCATGCATAACATAGAAATAAAAAAAAATATTTAAGGAAGGAAAAAAAAAGAAAAAGAATTTACATGTTTTATCAATTTGTTTCTTCTTTATATAATCAAAATTATTTGAAATCAAATTTGTAATAATTTTTATTTTAGTCTATTAACTTCAAATTTAGTCAATATATTCCTTGCGAGTTAACTTTTTATATTATTTTTTGTTTTAGGCTAAAAACTTTAAACTCGCTTCGTATAGTTATGATGTATAAAAAAATATTGAATCGTTGTTTTTTTTTAAAAATCAATCAGTGCAACTACTACTACACTAAACATTTACTCGTTTATTTATTTATTTTTGAATATTTTAAAATTAAATTATTTTAAATTAAATAATTAAAATAATGTTTTAGCTTAACCACTCAATGATTGAAATTAAAATAAATATTATTCATTCTTTTGTAAATAAGTATATAGAAATTAAATTCACATTTTTTTAAAAATCGATATTCTCATCAACATTGAATTAAAAAAATTATTTATTCAATTTTATGTAAGCTTTTAATAATTGTTATTTATGTTTTTTGACACATCCTTATGAAATACTAAATTTTTTTAAAAAAATTATTTAATTTTCTTTTTAGTTAATGATTCATGGATTAACAAGGATGAATCCTCTTTCTAAAAGAAAAATTATGAAAAATACAAATAAGCAATAGTTAAATACAAATTTTTTTGTTAGATAATTTTTTACACGTTTGATTTCATATATTTTTATAAATTCACATCATAAAATAGACAATCAAACCGAAATGATTTTTTTAAATGATTTTATATATTTTATTCAACCGACGACGTAGCGTGGGCAAAAAAACTAATTCAAGAGTACTCAAAACGCATAACAAAAGAAAGTTCATATGCACGAAGTTCAAAAACTCATATAGCTAGTGTGGTGGTAGATCACGGTCCAAGTATGGTTGTCAATTTCAAAGGTTCATAAAAAAATCCTTTCACCTCAATTGTTTACAAAGTGTAGGGAAAAAAAAGATCCAATTTCAAAAGGAATAATTGAATACGAAGGGCCAAGAACTATAATAGGAACGAGGGTCAATAACATTGCATCAAATGTTGCGAGGCTAGATTCGATAAGTGAATGAAGAAGTAGAATGACAAAAGAGAAAAACATTAGAGAGGGAGTTTAAGTGTTTACAAAGGAGCGATCTATATTTTCCTCGGGTAAGAAACTAATTGTTGCAATTTGTTTCATTGCTATATCTTAGGAATATCATTTCAAGCAAAGGGACATCATTCTAGGCATGAGATATGAAGGTCACTTGATCATTGAAGAACTCACATTTCTTGAATCCTTCTAGGTAGGTCACTTAAAGGAACAAACCATTAGTGGGTAGGTCATCAATGAGAACATGACCGGTAGCATAGGTTGCATATGAGAACATGACCAATGAGAGCAAGTCATTGGTGAGAACATGACCAACGAGGCGAGATCATCCTTGAAAATATGATCGACACATTTGGTCACCTGTTTTTGGAATTCATTTGATATTTATTTGGATTTTTTTATTTTCCACTATCAAATTATTTATTGCAAAGAGGCTATTTTGAAAATTAAATTATTTAGGTTTATTTTCAATTTAATTTTGGCTTGGAATTTTTAAGACTCGTAAAACTTTCATCAAATTTGGACTCTATTTGGTACTTTTTTCAATATTTTTCTTCCATGCCATGTTATGAGTATTTTAACAATTGAATTGAACTTTACCGAGTTTGATGTGGGATTATTGAGTCTCTTAGATTTTAGGGACTCATGATGATTCCATATCGAGTTTAATTTGCAATGATAAAAAAATATCTCATTTTAGGCTAATTAGGAAAATTTAGTTGAGCTAACGAGTCACCTATTTTAAATAGAAACCGATGTTGATCTTGCCACCTTAATTACTAAAAAATTTTGAAAAAAGAAACAAAAGAAAGAGAGTTAGCCGGAATAGATATAATTCAGTCTAATGCCCTTAGCTACTACTTGTTCCTCGATATTTTAATCATGTCAAAACATAATTGGATCCGATGCTAAATTGATAAGACTTTTAATTTTTTGGTTCAACTTTAATTTAATACAATTCCACAATAAAAAAATCATTTTTTGACATTTTATTATTTGCATCTAAGTTAAAATTTTAGTTAATTAGGTCGTTTCTCGATATGCCAATCGTGCCGGGACGTAAATGGATCCGATGCTAAATTAACGAGACCTCTAATTTTAAGACCCGATGTCAATTTAATATGGATTCACGATAAAAATAAAACTTTTTTTTTTACTCAAACAAATAAGCTTGAAAATAGACTAAGGAAATAATTGGGAAAATATAGTTTTTAGGAGATATTTTCTAGGATTAAACCAAATATGGTATCTTTCTTCGAAAAAGGTGTCTTTAGGTATCTTTTCAAAATCATAACTAACTCCTTACTCAATAATTTCTAAATCCAATGTCTTTTTAGGTTTTTTAATTTTTAATACTAAGTGGTGACTCTAAAACCTTCTTAATTCTTTTTCTTAGTAAAAAATTCTGGAGTCCATATGTTGGGTAGCAACAATATCTTTGTTTTCTTGTAAATGACTTATTTATAATCTATACAAATAAACTAGTCTACTTTTGATATACAAAATCTTACATGAGATATATTCCTTAAACATAAATCGAAAAACAAGAAAAAAATTAAGATAATTTCTATCAAATTTGGAAGGTTTTATTATATAATACCAAATAATGGAATAAATGTTGATTGACTTAGCCTATAGTTAAATTAATGTACATGCCATTTTTACTAATTTACATAAATCAATCCTGCAAAAAAAAGGTAAATTATAAATTATTCTTTCTAGATTCGAAAAACGAATTAATAATTTCTTATTCTTTCAAATATTAATTATTTAATCTCTATATTTTTAAGTTTTCTTTTAACTTAATCTTGTTATTTTTTTTAATTTCTTTTATTTTGTATTTTAAAAAATAGAAAAAATTAAGTAAAAAATATGGAATGATCGATAAAAAATACAACATTTTTAAAATAAAATAATATTAAACTAAGTGTGACAAAGACTGATTAAAAAACTAAATAACTAGTTTTAAAATAAAAGAGACTAATTAATTAGTTTTTCAAAATATAAAAACTAATTTATTATTTACTCCCTAAAAAAATTAATTTGGAAAACAAAAGAAAGGAAAATAGAAAGTGAATAAAAATTTGAAGTGCGGGCCGGACTTACTCGTCGCAGACTCCTTGCGCAAGAAGTAGTCGTTCTCCTTGCACAAGAAGTTAGTACCGCTAGTTTTAAATATTATTATTTCATTCCTATATTTTCAGAATTCTTCATAAATTAGTCCTTTTTTCACAATTTCCTGTTAGTTTTCAATCAATAAGTAGGTGAGATGAGAACATTTATCATAAAATAAAATTTTAAAAAATACTAATAAATCAAGGATTATCAACTTTGGTCAAATTACTATTTAATAATGTTGATAATACAGGGACTGATTATTTATTTATAGTAAAATACAGGGTGTAAATTCAAAATTAACTCTCTATAAGACTACTAAGTCACCAGACAGTCAGTCTCAGTCTTATTATCCTTTTTTCCTTTACGCATTTCTCTCTTACTTGCACTAAACACACTTTTTCTCTACATTCGGTCTAGGAAGCGCGTGTTCCTCAATCTCCGACGGATTCCGGTGAGAACTCCGTTGTTTTCAGGTATATTTCCCTGCATTTTCCACCGATTACGGCTTCCGCTGAAGAGGTTTGTGAAACTGTTGTATATTCTATGTTTTTAATAAAGCGGCACTTCATTTTCTTCGATTTCGCTAAAAATATAGCAGTTTTAGAGATTAAAAGGATACTTCATGACAGAAAATTCAAGAGAGAGAGAGAGAAACCATGTTTTGGTGCTTTATTTATGTTACGATCTGACAAATGATTTTTTTTTTTCTGGTGTTGTGTGTTAAAGAAGAGAATAAATTATGAATATATGTTTTTTTTTTTTTTAAGTTTCATATATTTTTGTTTTGTTTGTTTGGTTGTTTTTTTTTTTTTTTTAATTTCTGGTTAAAAAAATGCTGCGATGTGTGTGTATTTATGACATCATTTAGGGTTTAGGGTTTTTCTGTAGTGTGAGAACTTAAAAAATGTTTGAATTTATTGCTGGATTGGCTGATAATTTGGGGTTTAGGGATTTATGCTATTGTTTAAGAAATGAAATTTTGATGAGGTGACTGCTATGAGTAGTGGTAGTGTCATTACTTAGGCCTTGGACTAAATTATTGACAAAGTTTGGGTAGATAGCATGAAGAGTGACTTTTGCAAATTTTACTTATAAGTTGTCCGCCTATATTTTGTTTCGGAATGGAAATCAGTAATAAATACTTGTTGGTTTGCTTCTGATGAGTTTGTTTTTATTTCGCAGAGAAATGATATTTAATAAGAAAAGAACAACAAGAATAAATTTCAAGAAGATTGCGAGCTATTATTGGATCGTAATCTTAAATGGGTCCCACTAATCTAATAACTCGCGTGCATTCTTGAAGCTTATTTTTGTAAAATTTTCACGAGAAATAGCATGACTCTATTTCGTAATTCTAGATTTTGTATCTGGTACTCATTCTTGTTTGGACTTGTAAATTTTCCCATCCCTTCAAATCTCAGATTGCCATTTTTAATTAATGAAAAGTTTGATTGTGATTTGAGTTCGCTATTCTTTGTTTTTCTTGTTTTTTTCTCTTGGTTTAGAGTCGGGCCCTTTTCTGTCTATTGAAGTTGCGTTGGAATGTTAGAGAATGAGTGATGAGTTTTCTCACTATTGGGAAGGTGTATGACTTGCATGTTTGGTTCAGGTTTTGTCATGTACTAGTCGTTTATCTTTGGGAGGCTGCTGGAAGGCAGTACAGTAGTAGTAATAAAAGGATATTGAAAGTTTGATCTTCTGAGTAGGACAACATGGTGCTTAAAAATCTGTTTTGGTGACTTCTCTTTTCCTCTTTTCTCAGCAAACATTTTTTGTGAAGATGGGTTCAAGGGGAGGTGGAAAGCCTTTTGCTTCTGGTGCAAATACCAGCTTATCATCCAAGGGGAAAAATGTACCAGAATCCTCTGGTCCTGCTGCTGAACAGTTGAGTCAGGGTGTGGCAGATATTGGTCTGGATTCTGCAGAAGGTGATGGAGAGTGGGAGGTTATTTCGAAGAAGTCCAAGAACAGAGCTGGAAGCAGTGCTGCAAAACCCTGGGGGTCTCAGAACATCAATACTAAAGCATGGGGAAATCCTGATGTGAAGCAAGGCATGCGGAATAGTGGTGGATCAGGAAGAGTTCCAGGCAATGCCTGGTTGTCACAGCCTGTTGATCCCAGGGGAACAACTGGCAGAGGAAATGTGAGGACCCAAACATTCAATAGGAGCATGCAGAGCAATTATGGCAGCCCACAACCTGTAATCCGTCCACCTTTGGAGCATGGATGGAACTGGCAAGCTAGGGCTGGTGCTACTCAACTGAGGGGTTCAGAAGATCAGAAAAAAGACGAGAATTATGAGGTCAACCAGGAAAATGATTCCTATGATGATGAAGATGATGGTGATGAAGATGATGCCTTAGAGGAGGATACTGATGATGAACTTTTAAGTGAGGATTTTGACTCTGATACAAGTCAACAAAGCCATGAGACTCGCAAGAAGAGCAGATGGTTCAAGAAATTCTTTGACAGTTTGGACAGTTTGTCCATTGAGGAGATTAATGAACCAGCAAGGCAGTGGCACTGCCCAGCATGCCAAGGTGGTCCTGGTGCTATTGACTGGTACAGAGGCCTTCAGCCCCTGATAACACATGCCAAAACAAAGGGAGCTAAAAGGGTAAAGCTACATCGGGAGCTCGCAGAAGTTTTGGATGAGGAGTTGAGCCGGAGGGGAAGTTCAGTTATTCCCGCTGGTGAAGCATTTGGCAAATGGAAAGGATTAATGGATGAGGAGAAAGATCATGAGATTGTTTGGCCTCCAATGGTTATCATTATGAATACTAGGCTTGAGCAGGATGACAATGATAAGGTACAATCAAGCTTTCTTCTTTCTCTGCTGTGATTAAATTTGTGGGACTCAATCTTTATTTTAGATGTAAGTTAAATTTTGCTAATCCATAACAAATTTGCTTTTAATTCAGAAGCACTACCTAACTCTTCTGTGTGTTGAATTTGATATCAGTGGCTTGGAATGGGCAATCAAGAGCTTCTTGACTACTTCAGTGGATATGCTGCTGTGAAGGCTAGACACTCTTATGGTCCGCAGGGTCATCGTGGGATGAGCATTCTGATCTTTGAGAGCTCTGCACGGGGATATTTAGAAGCTGAGCGCCTGCATAAGCATTTTTCTGATCAGGGAACTGATAGAAATGCTTGGGATCGTCGTCGGATCTTATTCTATCAGGGTGGCAAGCGCCAACTCTATGGTTACATGGCACTGAAGGAAGACTTGGACCTCTTCAATCAGCATTCTCAGGGTTCTCTCTCTCTCTCTCTCTCTCTCTCTCTCTCTCTCTCTCTCTCTCTCCCCCCACAGACACACATGCCCATACACCTGGACACATATAGTGCCAAGCATTCTACAGGGAACCTTTTATTGTAACTATTTTGTTTGCCATACTTAATTTGGTAATTCTCTGCAGCCCTGTCTGATTTCTTTATATATTTTGTAATTGGGTTGACATTCTATGTCGGCTGAGTAGGGAAGTCGAAGCTGAAATATGAAATAAGATCATACCGTGAGATGGTTGTGACCCAAATCAGGCAAATGGCTGAGGACAACCAGCAACTCATGTACTTCAAGAACAAGGTGTTTACAGAACAAAGGCATTCAAAACAACTTGAAGAATCTTTTGGAATAGTGTCTGAGAAGCTGCGGAAGACAATGGAAGAAAACCGTATTGTGAGGCAGAGAACCCAAATGCATCATTTACAGAACAAGGAAGAGGTATATGGCTATTAACTTGATATAATTTTCTATCATAGGAAAAGATAGTTATTCATGCAAACCGATGTTGGTTATTTGATGCAGCTGTGTGCATGCTATGGCTTCTTAGAAAACCAGTAATTCAACTGTTCATGAGAAGGACATGTAGAGTAGAGGTTGGGAACCCTTAAAACTATGACCATTTGTTTGATTTTATCAATTCTGGTGATGGACATCATGCTGACAGGCTTGGTTTTCCTGCTTTACTTCACTGAAATATCAATGGAGGGGGAAAAATACGCTTAAAGAGCATTACATATTTCTCAACATGTTCTGTGGTTAGAAGCCAAATTGATAAAAATAAAATAAAATAAAATAAATTTGACAGCTTACTTCTTCTCTGTGACATTTATCTCACTGTGGCTGACATTGAATCCTCCAATGATCTTTCTCATATGGTTGTTGAATAATTGTTGGTATCTGACCATTTTATCTGGTTTGACAAAACTACAATTATCTTGTCCAGTTGGATTTTCAAGAGCAATTTTTTAAGGAACAACTCCAAACAATCCATGAACAAAGAGAAGCAAAAGAAGAGGATTTTGAGAAACTGCAGCAGGATAAGCGTCAGCAGGTGAAGAAGTCAAATGCGAATCCTTCCAGTGCCGAGGACTATAGAAACAGGTATACGAATGCATTAACTCATTTCGGTATCAGTGCAGATATTAGTTATCATATGTGGGTTCTTCATTAACCTGATGGCCAATGTTATGGTTAACTTTTTTAGGATGTAAGTGTTAATGTTCCTTTTTTCCTTGCTTGTCATTTTCTGGATATAGGGTGGAACAAGTTGAAAAATTTATAGAGCTTCAAGACAAAGAGATGGGGGAGTATGTGGATGAGAGGGATGCCTTGATTGAAGAACGTGACGAAAAGCTGACTGCAATGAAGCGTCGGCATCAGGAGGAAGAACTTGAAATAGAGAATGAGTTTAGTGCTAGGCTAAACAGCCTTATGCAGAAGTATACTCCAAACCAACCACAAGGCACTGCCAATGCCTGAAGTTCCAAGGTGAGACTATGGAAGGACCGGCCGTAGAAATCGAACGGTGGCATGAACTCTTAAATGACAAAAGTACTGAGAAACTTTTGAGGCATTTTCATATCTCTCTTATGAATACACAACTTGGAAAGGATGTAGACCCCGAGGGATAGGAAATCTGTGCTAGAAAAAAGGCCACTTTTTATCAGTTACTGTTAAAGACTGTTTTGACTGAAATTTGCGGCAGTGTTTGGTGTGGATGGTTGCTTATATCCCTCTTCTAATGTGGTGAAAAGTTTTACATGGTTTGCGAGGCTTTTTCTTCGTTTGCATTATTTTCCTTAGCTAGAGTTTGCTGTTATTTACGTTAGACCGATACCTCGTATTTAACACGTAGTAATTTCAATGCCTTAACCTTATTGGCAATAAATTAGAAAAGCTTTTATATTACAAGGGTAATGGCTCAATTGATTTTTTATATAAAAGAATATATATTTTTTAATTTGATTAAATCAATTTTAATTTTGAATATGCATTAAGCATGCTTATTTTTCTCGCAAAACTCTGGTAGTTTGGCTTTTACATGTATTTATTTATTTATTTAATTAGCTTGCAAAAATGTTTTAAGAATGGGAAATAATAATGAACAAATTACGTAAATAATTTTTATAGATAAAATTAATTTAATTAAAAATATAAATACATATTGAAGAATTAGCTTGAGCCATTAAAATGGTTTCGACAGACATAAAATGACGGCTTAGGCAGATTCACAATTAGCATATCCCCTTCCAAATCAACGAGTGCAGAGCAATATGTGGAAGTGGCAGGACCAAGGATAGGGATTAGAAAATCACTTTCGCAATAAAAAATAAAATTCTTAAACAGAAATACCAATGGCCTATAACCAATATTTCTGGAACAACATTCTATGATAATTATCAAAACAAAGGAGTAAAAAATTTAAAACATCCTATCTGAAGAACTTAGTTATGTGTTATATAGCTTCAAAGGATTTGACAAAAATTAGCTTCAGTTGGTCTTCTTCTCTTCCTCTTTTTCAGCGGTTACTTCACCAGACGCCTTATCCTCCTCGCCACCGAAGCCAAATTCATTTACACGTGATTTGTCCACCGGATAAGCCCACCTCTGGTATAGGTATATCAGAAATATAAGATCTGCAACGTCGAAAAAGAAAAAAGTGAGCAGTGCATTGTTAGACCATCTTAAGTATGATTGCATCATAATCAATGTGGGAAAGAGATAATAGTAATACATTCTATTGCCAACCAATAATGGTATCATGACACTATGAAATGGGAAAAAAAAAATGGAACGTTGATTATATCTCACCATCACGGAAGACAGAAAGCCGATGCAATGTTGGCATTTTGATGACAAATGCAAAAAGATCGTCGATGATGGTGTTAAGGAACTTGTATGTCATCTGCCTCCACGGAAGATGTGCCACCGACTTCAGCTTATAATTTATAAACAACTGAGGGCACATCATGATAAAACCTGCAATAACAAAGTAATTATAAAAACATTTTTCAATTTGTTGAGAAGGATTTAAGCAAAAATTCAGAACAAGAGCAGGGATGGAAGGAAAGAATGGCTTACCAAACATGTAAACGCAGCTGGTGAGTGACGAAAGAATCCAGGAATACCAGCTCTTGTGGCGCTCATACATTAGTGAGTAAACAGAAGAGCATGCAACCAGGAAGAAGAGCACATAGGACAGATACTTCATTGCAAGGTCGTCGTATTCCTTCGTCTTATTCCCTGCATACGACTCGCGATCTCGGAACCTCAACTTAGGTATTGTTCCGCTTCTATCAATCTGGAGACAAAAGAGAGCGATTACAAAATTTGTTCGCTTGACAATTTGAGAAACTAATATTAGCAACATTTATACAAGAAACTGCAGGATGGATGTAATATCAGCAAATGTTAAACAGGCAGAATTCAAAAACAACTAAAGGGAATTCACTCGTAGTGTCCTACAAGGACATGCAAGCAGATAACGACAGAAGCAAGAATGTATGCACTGATGTTAATATCGTGAATGAAGGATATAGATGTCATAACGAGAGAGGTAACAAATGCAACATAAATAAGCCACTATATGAAAAACTATTTGCTTGTTTAGTTGCATACTATTTTTTCTGTAACCATAGCAATTGCTTTAATCTTTGCCGGCTTTATGTAGTTACATACTAACAAATCACAGTAAATATAATCAGGATTGATACCTCTATGTGCATGGCTTTCCCTATTTTCCAAAACTCAATGCAGCAACCAATTCCAGAACTTGCGAGTATCATCCATGAAGTGTCATTGTCAAGCAGATAAAGAAAGACAATGAGCTGAGATACAAAGCTCACAACAACAGACTTAGCAGACAGTCCTTCCATGGACTTATTTTTGTTCCAAAATTGGATATCTGCAGAGAAAAATAAATAAAAATTAAGAAGAAACTCCATATACATCCTACAAAAAGCATCAGCAGCGACAACAAATCATAGAGTTAAATAGAAATCTTATAGTAGTAGGACACATAATTCACCATTCTTGAACGCCAAGAAGTCAAAAACTGAATGAAGCATTGAAACAACCATAGTGATCACCAGGAGGTAAGGATTTCCTTCCAAGAAGACCCTCTGAAAAAATTATCAATTAATCATTACATGGAAAAACAAGGAAACAAAGATAATTCCTAACTTCCATAGTGGCTTTAAAGAGTAGCAAGGAAACAATCAGCAACAGAAGTTAGCTTCTGAACCCATTAATTATGCTATTACAATTTCAAAGCAAGGATGATAAAGTGTTTCATGCAGCATAGCATGTAATTTATGTATGATCATGGCTCAGGCATCCAAGTCAACTAGTTCATAACAAACTTGAACAAAACAATGGAGGTATTTCAAATTTTAGCAACTCCATGTGAATGTCTCGAATCTAAGACAATTTGAAGTGAAAATGAATATGAGAATACCTTAACTAAGTGGACTTTGAATTAAAAGCAGAAGTTGTGTATCATATTCACAACTAAATCTAGACTCTCCAGTCACCCAACTTCATATGTGATTTGAATATAGATAAGTGATACCTTCAGTTCGTCAGCCTCGCCTTCAAGCATGCTTCCATAACTACGATGAACCTGGAATGACTGATCGATCTGCATGAATAGTTGCCATTTTGTCATGCTTATTGGACCCACTTCCAAATTAAGTGGCAATTCTGTCACAGTATCATTAAGAGCGATCAATTTATCTCGAAGCAGCCAGAATTCATTGAAGAATACAGTGGGGAAGTAATTCCCTGAAGTAGGCTCAACATTCAAGTCTGCAAATCTGAAGTCAAGAACTCAAAGCCAAAATGACGAGCTGATAATTTCTATTTTGACACATGCTGCAGCAAGCTTAGCAGCATATCAAAAGCATGTCATTAAACTCTTTTCTACTCTTATACATTTATGTCATGTACGGTACAATACAAGTGCACTAGATAGAGTGTGTAATTCTGCAATGAGTCATTTATGTTTGGACTTATAATAGAGATATAATTAGTTGTATCATAGTCAAATTAAGCACCTACCACAATGACAACAATGTTGTTGCCCGTTGACATTTAAGAACTGTCACTTTTTTTTTTCCTGCTGTTTGTAAATTTCTCTACAGCTCCTAGTGAGAAACAAGGAAATTTTGTAAGTACAGTATTGACAAAGGAATGGGCTCAACTTTTCAGCTTAGTTGTTTGAACCATTTCAGAATGATACCCGACAAACTTCTTTCAAAATCTCTAGGGAATGGCAAAGAAACACCTTATGAATAGATTTATACTCGAAGAAATACAAGAATGCAAGGATACAAGGAGCAATATTTGGTGGCACAGCATTATGAGGGTATCTGCAGAGAAAAACAAAAGACCAAAAATTAGCATAATTATCAACAAAGCAGTGCAAAATCATCATTAGAAAAAGAAAAGAGAGTGATTATTTGACTACTTATAAAACCATCAAGTCGATGATCAGATGATCGGTAAGTTCCTATTTTCGACTCAAATGGTTTTGCTGATAAAAACAAAATCTTATAGAACCTGGACAATGAGAGGAAACATACTTTGTGAAATCATCAACCAGATTAATTGTAACATTAGGTTTCCAATATGAAATCCATTCTACAGGGCCATCATCTTTAGAATCAGCTTCACTATCATCAACCACCTGAAGCAATGAATACAAGTTTGTATTAGGACTGTAAATGCAGGACAATGCAATGAAAAAAACAGTCGCAAAGAAGAAAGGCAAATGATAGAAAACAGTTAGTTTCTGAATGTTAGAGGACTATTCAGAATTGAAATGGGAACAGAAACCAATGGGAACCCCCTAATTAAGGACAAGGCTTGGTTTTTCAGAGGATTCAGCAGGCATGATTACTAAAGCAATTATCATATTCATACACATCAAATACCCAGAACAATAAGAAATATTGGTTTTTTTTTTTTTTAAATAGAACTTATCAATGAAAATTCATCTTAAAGTAATTTTAAAAATGACAAACAGTCAAGAAGAGACCGCTTCACCCTCCTCGGAGTCTTTGGACTTCCCCAACAGGCTCTTCCTTTTATCTGTTTTTGACTTGGGCAAGTATGCGATGACAGCTGGAATCAATTAAAAGGTATAAGTAATTTAACATCAGGATTTGTATTGACCAATAAGTTATGAAATGATGAAAGGAAAAATAAATCTGATATGCACGGACAAAATCTTACGGTGTGTTCTTCCAAAGGAAGCAAGAGGCTGGTACTCAGGATCACTAGGGTCTGCTGGATATCCAGAACGTGCAAAGAAAACATGTGCATAAAGAGTACCATTGTGCTTCAGTGCCTGAAAGAAAACGTCATCATATTTATGGGGTAAAATATATATATATATATATATATAACCAACACAATACTGTCTTTCAGAAAATAATCCTAATGAATTGTGCTTGCAAATAGGACATAGCAAGCTAGATTAAGTGCCTGCAGCATGTAGTACCTCAGATGGATGGTATTTCAAAGAAAGCGACCTCGTACTCTCTGGTCCCCAAACAGCATAAGGTATATTGGTTTCATGCCAAATAAGAGCACCTTCATTATTGAAGTCATTGAACCTTTCCTGCTCAGAGAGATAGATCCACATATCCTGAAAGCAGATGAAGTTCAATTAGAATAAAACTGCTATATAGAAAAATAAATCACAAGCAAAAGGAAAGTGTCAGCATCATGAACATGTATCTAACAGGGAAAGGCAGCTGAAAAGAGTTATTAAATCCAATATTCTTCCACGTCTAAATTTCTGTCACATTTCATCTTTATTTGGTGGTAATTCATTCTCAATCCTTAGTTACATAAATCCATGTCGTTTCTGATGTCTGTAGGAAGATGAAAAATCAGAAGCCTACTTGGGGTTAATTTTACAAAAATTAAAACACTCAAGATAACGTTCTTACATATTTTAAATGTGCATAGTTTGCTGCTGCTTTCCAGGTTCCAGCAACATAGCATATGCAACTACACATTGTTTTCCTTGTATAAAAAGTACTAGACTGCTGACTGCACAATTTTTATTATCTTTGTAGTCAGTATCATGCTTAAATCATTGGAAGGTAAGTCTACTAGCAAATACTCCTATCTCCCACTTCAAAGCTTATAGCAGGGACTGATAACTAGGTTAGAACAGATTCCAAAGTTTTCGAATAGTACAAGGAGAACAAGGATTAAGGTTCCCAAGTTGCATAACAGAATAAGTTTTTCACGCTTAAGAACCCGAATTAGCATGTTCAAAACAACTTCCTCTGGTGGTGATCTCTAAAGTTTGATCAGTCTTAACAATTTTAACACCAACCCAATAACAAGAACAGTAAAAAACAACAATCCAGTATCAACCCAGCAACAAAGATAAAAACTTTTTCAAAAAGAAAGCAAAAATCAGAGAAAAAAAAAGAGAACCCAGATCGCATAAAAAAAAAACTTGAACATACCAAAGAATCTCCTTTTTGGAAGAGATTGGAGATAAGGATGGAGGGATCAGTAGGGGCTTTTTTGGGAGAGATGAATTTAGATATGAAATACCAAAAAACAGCCATCCTTATTATCCCCGTTATTGTTTGCCCCATCCCTCCTTGTTGCCGTTGTTGCTGTCCTTGTCCCTGTTGCCCTCCTCCAGCAGCAACAGTACCTCCTCCTCCTGGTCCTGCAGGTGGCACCATCTTATCTTCCTCTCTTACAGCGGTGGATGCAGATAGGTTACTCTCTCTTCGGAGAATGAGAGAGAGATGTGCCGCGTTGATGGATTCGAAGTTGTGAACAGTAAAGGAAGATGCTTTTATTTTTTTATGGTAAAGTAGGAGTAGGAGAAAGAGTAGTGTTCTGTTGCGTTGGAGAGCAGAGAGAGAGAGTTCGGTTCGATTTTGAGAATCTTTTAAAATCAAGTGGATCTCTTCTTGCCTTCTTACGCCACAACTCTACTCCACTTGGGATTTCAATTTTCATTCAAACTAAAGTACTACCAAATTTTAGTAAGTTGTTACTTAAATCATGATACTTTTAAGAAAGTAATAAATTAGTCCCTCTATTTCAATAACCTCTACATTAAATCCTTGTGTTTTCACATTAAATTATATTCTTCTATTAAAATAAGATAGTGAAGAGTATAGTTATTTATAAAACCCAATATGTGATGGCATGATGAAAGATCTCATCTCTTGATGATTGTTAGAAGGCAAAAGGATCTACCTATTTCTGAATTTTAAGTCATTTGAAGTTAAGTTTTTAAACTTTTTTGATTAGTTTTGGATAGCTTTGAATTTTTAATTTTTTCAAAATTATTTCATCCTTCAGTGTTCTGTTTTTTATATCAAAAAATAACAATTAAGTAAATAGTTTTATGATAGAAATCTTTCAACGAAATTTATACAGGGTTTCTAAAAAAATTGAGATCATTTCGAGATTATTTTTCATTTTTCTCAATTTTTATATTTTTAGTGTTCAAAAAATAAACATATATAATTCTCGATTTTGAAAAATTCTGATTTTTTTTTTCACAAAATAGATTGAATTAATTTTTTTTTCAATTTTAATTCAAATTACCAATAATTTATTATTTTAAAAGGAATATGAAAGATAAAAATCATTGAATGAACTAAATCTCAAAAAAATAACTAAAAGTTCAAAAAATTTCTAAAACTAATAAAAAAAATTAAAGGATTCAACCTCAAATAATTTAAAATTCAGGAATGATTAGACTTTCTAACTAATAAAAAGAAAAAATGGGGAGCCAGGAGCAGAGGCTAAGAGCCTAAGACATCCATTAATAACCAAATGCACACCCTTTAACTATTAATATTCTCCTAAACAATCAGCACAATTTATTTCTTCTAATACAGAAATTACTTCTTTTAGCTAAAAAGTCAGCTTACTCAGTCCTAAACAAGAAATAACGCCTGCTCAACATGTCTAATACTTTTTCATGACAAAATAAAATCATGAATGAAATTGCAAATTTCTTCTTTCTTTATCCATTATGTTGCAATGAACATATAAATAGAGGCAACCAAAATCCTGGCAGCCAAACCACCACAATGCAATCAGAACATACAGTTCTTGACACAACCCCTACATATATATATATATATATATATATAGTTAACAGACCACAAACATCATCTTCTCAAAGATGCTTAGGAACAGTAAGATACTAAGTCCAGAAAGCCAAAATGACTTGGGTGTCATTTTCTAACTGTTTGCAACAAAGGACAAAAGCTATATAGATTAATAGTAATCATCCTCATCACTAGAAATGTCACTTGCTCCTCCACAATCCATTCCTGCAAGTAATAAAGCCATGTCGAAGGGAGATATACGCTCTTCGTCAAAATAATCCTCATAATCAAAGATGTCCTGTTGATAATCTTCATGAAAGGGATCGCAGTAATTATCATAATCAACATAATCATCATCAAACATGTCCAGTAAATCTTCCATAGTTGGCCCAAAATAATCTAATGATGCATCCACATCCCCTGTGTTGGATCGGCGACAAGGTGGTGGCCTCCTCGGAGGGGCCTTGTGATGTTTCCATGTATATGAGCCTGGCATGACAGTGTGCTAGAACACAACACAACATACTATTCGTTAGGAGTATAAAGCTAATGATAAATTAACATAAAAGGAGCACCTTCCAAGGGTAAAGAAAGATTCATCTCTGGGTTCTTAAATCCGTTTTTTTTTTTTTTTTCAATTGTGGAAGAAGTGCCACAACATTCATCTATACCATCAAGTATGGAGAAATCATTCCTAGAAACACATACATGTGAGAAATTTACAGAGACAGATGAAGGGACATTCAGACACAGAGAGGAAATCAATACAACCAAATTAAAAAAGTTCCCGCTTCAAAAGAGGGAAAGCTAGCAATGGGGGTGTGAAGAGTAGAGAACTTATTGTTTAACAGCACATGCTTAGATGGTCAAACAAAAAAAAGAAAAAAAAGGTCCAGGAAAGTGCAGTTAAGAATGATACATAGCTTTATAACTTTGTTAGCCTTCAATCATCACTAAACGTTTGTGGGTTAGTTGTGCGTCTCTGAAAATGTTGAGATGAAAAATAGAATCTTCACAAGATACTCTTAACAGTGTGACAGACAAAGAAGCAATATATGATTGAAATTGCATATTCAAATAAACTAATCTTACCTTGTAAAAACAATTGATCCCAAATGGGCAGTTCCCATTCCCAAAGTTAAAGTGCTTGCAATCTATTAGCCTGCAAAACAGAAAATAAAAAATTGGATATAATTGCAGTTATTTCACAAGAGAAATCTACAACACACATTAAAGAATCTCAAGTTCTCTTAGGTTCATATTCAGTATCTAGCTTGCCTGTGGACACTTAAACTGACAATTAGTTCAGAATATGAACAAGGCAATTTCTCCTTCTACTACATCAAGATGTAGAGGAGGCGGCACATATGAAATTATTTTTGAAACTATCCAAGATTAGATTGATGATCGATCAAATCAGGTCACAAGTAAAGCAGAGATATACAAAATTTCAAAAAGATTACCTGAGTCTGGCCTTGTAAGTATCAATAATTTCCTGCTTTTCTTCTTTAGAGGAATACCAAATAAGACTTGGGATGACAAAGTGCGATGTTTTACGACATATTGGACAAGCTCTCAATGCCATTCCAGAGGCTGGGGAACCATTACGCCAATTCCTGATACAGGATATGCAGAATGGATGATCACATTCAGGTAGGACAGCAAACTTTCGTTCAGCTGCCGTGGGCTTTGAAAGTACACGATCCAAGCATACACTGCACTCAATTTCTTCACTACTTTTTAATGCCTCAACAAACTTTTGGTTCTTCTCACACGATTTCAAATGCTCCTCTCTTTCATCTGCCCTGAAGGGATGCAAACAATGTTTTCCACAAGTAGGACATAAATCACCATGAATAGAAGAACATTTATCTCCACAGGGGCAATTACCAGCACCATCAAACAAACAGAGTGAACGGTTTTCTTGTTTGCCTTCCCTTATTGACCCAATACTTGCAGGAACAGAACTCAAGACTACCAATTGATGAGGGCTCATTGATGAAGATGATGCCCCAGCAGCACCACCAGAAGCTACCCAAGAAGTTTTGACATGTTCATATTTGCATCGACTACCATACGTACAATTTCCTTTTTGATAAAAAGTACAAATCTGCATCGATAAATAAGCAACTCAAAACCGACAAACAATAATCAAATTCTGACTAAAAAAAAATCATCAAAAAGGGAAAAAAATAGAAAATAAAAAAACTAATAAACACAAAATATCATTACATTTCTTGATGGAGGTTGAGGCTCCTTCGTTTCGTGCACAAACTTACAATGATCCCCTCGCCAGCATGCTCCTTGAGAAAAATACTTGCAAGGTTTCCTAAATACATCAAAAAGAAACCCACAAAAGAATCAAAGGGAGTTGAAGAATCACCATAAACACTTTGATTCCCTATTCACGCCACTTCAACTAATGCAAACATCAAAATTGAACGACAAAAACAACATATTCCACAACCAAAAACAATAAATTCTCCTTCAACTCTTACGTAGTTACGTTATTAATCATCAAATCAACGACCCTTTGGTTACTCCATTAGCAAAATAAGCAAAATTTCCCATTCACGTCAATTCAACTAATCCAAACTTAAAAAACGATAAGCAGATTCTCCTCAATCATCAAATCAAAGACCATTTGATTGCCCCATTTAAAGATTAAAGATCGAACCTTTGAGACATAGAAATGTTCAGAATTTTGTCTTTTGGCTTCTTGAAGAAGAGAGGGAGATAGACAGAGCGAAACCCTATTTAAAAACTTTTCTCTGATTGATTTGATTTTAATCGACTTACTAATTAATTAGTAATAACAATCCACTGAGAGGGGGTTGCTCTTTGCTCGAGGTAATTTCGGGCCTATCAGTTTCTACACCGAATTCCCAAATTGTCCCTCTTTGGATACGTCTGCTGGAGGACAGGAAAGTCATTTCATTGGTGTAACGAATACAAAATTGGATTGGGCAGTATCTAAGAAAATGAGGTGAGCTATAAAGGTGGAGTCTTTTACCACTGAAAGTTCCAAAATTCTTCAAAGGATCAGACCCAATTTAAGTTGAGAAATGAAGTAGGTATTTCTTTGAAAATTGAAACATGGTTCTTCAATGAATTGGTGGGTTTGAGCTCAATTGGCTATTTGTCCTTTGTTCTTATTGGGTTTATCTTTTGCATGCAACCTGTTTGTTGAAATTCACATGTCAAGGAAATGGTCTTCTTTTTTCATGTTACAGCTGAAAATACTAACAAGAAGTTGTTTTTTTAACTTCGCTTGTCTAGAAAAACAGGAGTGGTGCTGTTTTGTCAGATGGTTGAGCCATATTTACGAGCATGGAATACCATGATAAGTGACTGTCATGGAGATTTTAGACAATATTACCTGGTTTTTGCATCCATTCTCAAGTCATGTGCTGGACTATCAGCTATAAAATGGGGGAGAGCTCTTCACGGAAGTATTGTTAGAAAAGGTCATGTTTCTTGCCATGCCGTGTCCAAGGCTTTGCTTAATATGTATGCTAAATGTGGAGCTCTTAATGAAAGCAAGAAACTTTTTGGTGAAATCGGTAGTTGTAATGATCATGATCCCGTTTTTTGGAACATTCTCTTATCTGGGTTTGCTGGGTCCAGAGTTTATGACGCTGAGACTTTGAGGTTGTTCAGGGAAATGCATGGTGCTAATAGTCCGAAGCCTAGTTCTGTTACTGTTGCTACTCTGCTTCCTGTTTGTGCTCGCTTAGGGGATTTATATATGGGTAGGAGTGTGCATTGTTATGCTATTAAGTCTGGATTGGATACACATACACTTGCTGGGAATGCATTGGTGTCAATGTATGCAAAATGTGGACTAGTGTGCCATGATGCTTATGCTGCTTTTGATACTATTGATGAAAAAGATGTTGTTTCATGGAATGCGATTATTGGAGGGTTTGCCGAGAATAATTTGATGGGTGATGCATTTAGGTTGTTTAGTTCGATGCTGAAAGGTCAAATAAAGCCAAATTATACAACCTTAGCTAATATTCTGCCTGTGTGTTCATCTTTTGACGAGAATATTGCTTACTGGTTTGGGAAAGAGATTCACGCTTATGTGCTGCGGGATACTGAGTTGTTAGCAGATGTTTTTGTCTGGAATGCTTTGGTAAGTTTCTATTTAAGAGTTGGACAGGTAGAAGAAGCAGAATTGCTGTTTCAAAGGATGGAATTGAGAGATTTGGTTTCATGGAATGCTATTATTGCAGGATATGCATCAAATGGCAAATGGTCAAAAGCTTTGGAATCGTTTCACGAATTACTTGCTCAAGATACGATTGAGCCAGATTCTGTCACCCTTCTCAGCATTATTCCTGCCTGTGCACAGTCTTCAAACTTGCAGGTTGGTAAAACGATTCATGGCTATGTCCTTCGGCATCCTTTCTTATGTGAGAATACATCTGTTGGGAATGCTCTAGTTAGTTTTTATGCAAAGTGTGATGACATAGAAGGAGCATACCAGACGTTTTTGATGATTTCTTGGAGGGACCTGATATCATGGAATTCTATGCTTGATGCCCTTGCTGAAGGTGGGTTTAATACCTGGTTTCTGGAATTATTATGGTGGATGCTTAGTGCAGGAACTAGACCTGACTCTGTTACCATCTTAAGTGTAGTTCACTTTTGTGCTAATGTTTTGAAAGCAGACAAGGTTAAGGAGGCCCATAGCTACTCAATTAGGCATGGTCTTTTAACATCAGAATTTGATGTTGAACCTTCCATTGGAAATGCAATACTTGATGCATATGCTAAATGTGGTATTATTGAGTACGCATCTAAAGTTTTCCAGAGTTTGTCAGAGAACAGGAATTTGGTCACTTTCAAAGCAATGATCTCAGGTTATATAAATTGCGGGTTACATGATGAAGCACATATGATTTTTAACAGGATACCTTCCGCAGATCTCTCTGCTTGGAATCTAATGGTTAGATTATATGCTGAAAATGATTGTTCTAGTCATGCTCTTGGTCTTTTCCATGAGCTACAAGCTCGAGGAATGAAACCCAATGCAGTGACTATCATGAGCCTCCTTCCAACATGTGCTGAAATGGCTTCTGTGCACTTGATGAAGCAGTGCCACGGATATGCCATCAGGTCTTGTTTTGGTGATCTCTACTTGGAGGGAGCTTTGCTAGATGTATATGCAAAATGTGGCCGCATAGACTATGCTTTTAAGCTTTTTCAATTAATTCCAAATAAGGATCTGGTTATATTCACTGCCATGATTAGAGGGTATGCCATGCATGGCATCGGCAAGGAAGCTCTTGGGACTTTCTTTGATATGCTTGAATTGGGTGTAAAGCCAGATCATGTTATCATCACCACTGTTTTATCTGCTTGCAGTCATGCTGGCCTTGTAGATGAAGGATTAAATATCTTTTATTCTATAGAGAAGGTCCATGGAATGAAACCAACCATGGAACAATACTCTTGTGTGGTGGATCTCCTTGCTCGGAGAGGTCGAATTTACGATGCATTTTCTCTGGTGACTGGAATGCCCATTGAAGCTAATGCAAATATATGGGGGACGCTGTTAGGTGCCTGTAGGATCCATCATGAAGTGGAATTGGGCCGTTTTGTAGCAGACTGTTTATTTCAAATTGAAGCAGAGAATATTGGGAACTATGTAGTTTTGTCAAACCTGTATGCAGCAGATGCTAGATGGGATGGAGTCATGGAAATAAGGAAACTGATGAGGATGAGAGATCTTAAAAAGCCAGCGGGATGCAGTTGGATTGAAGTCGAGAGGAGAAAAAATGTCTTTGTGGCTGGAGATACTTCTCACCCTCATAGAAATAATATTTACAGTATACTAACGACCTTGAATCACCAAATCAAACAGCCATTTCAATTAAATCAACTGTTAGAATTACAGCTTTCTGAGTGTTACAAGTAAAAGCAAGTGGAAGGATTCTGCTGTGTTGGGGTGTAGACACCATCTAGACTTTGTGGTGATTTAGTTGTTAAACATGACCCACTTCAAGCTAATCGATTGGATGCAATGTTTCCCTTCTTCTGGGTCAGGATCATGGAATGAGTTGCTGCTACAGTTTTGGTATGTTTCCAACTTCAAATCAATGTTTGTATCTTATTGCTTATGTAGAAACTTCAAAATATTGGATAAAATCTATTGTGTCTAAATGACAAATTGTACAAGTGTGGATTTCTTTAGACTACTTGTTTGGCCTTCGTGTGTGCAAACTCATCAAAATGTGTCACTCCATGGCCCTTCGGAAGGCCTCGATATGTCAACCAATTCATTCTGCTTGCTTCATGCTTGTTGGTGGCATACCTTAGTAAGTTTTGGGCATTGAGATTGAACGTTTTCATACATATTAGAGACTGGATTTCATAGCTGTGTTTACACTTGTTCATTATCTTTAATACTATCCTTCCATGGGTTCTTGACACTCAAATTTGTAGTTAAAAGCTAAACTGTAGTACCTTGTATTTCTACTTTGTTTATGTTAATATTTTACCATTTTGTTTAATAGTTGTTTGTCATATTTTCTTTTATTTTTTATTTTATTATCAACATAATATGTTTGCCATTTTTTATTTTTTGCGGATTGATGTTCAACACGGTTTCTATCTTTGAAGTAAATTTCATTATTCTATCTTTTGAAGTAAATTTCGATGTGGTTGAGCATCAAGGTTCAATGCCTTTCTAACTCCAACTCACATCCATCTGCACTCAAGCATCCATATTCCTGGAAAGGCAAGTCCAACCATAGAACTTTTGACATCATAAAATTCTACATGACCTCCAGTAGATGACATCTGAGAGTTATTCTTTAACAACTTAATTGGACAATTTAACATGATTTCTTTCAGTGACCTGGTATTGTTTCATATGTGTTATTATTTTGAAAGACTGGTATGACTCTCTCCCAACTGCTAGGAAACTCCAACATATAAAACGGATGCACCTTAAACTTTCTAACTTGTTCTTATTTAAGATCATGAATTGAAGTGATTATTGCTGTGCTTAATGGAACTTTATCTTACTTGATAATGATTGAATGGTAAGATAAGCAGACATGTCAAATATGACTTGAGAAAGTACTATGCCAACATATATCATTTATAAACTTTTTTATCTTTCTAGACAATAGTTTCGTGTTCTTATGCAAAGAATTCGTTATAATACAACTCTTAAGTATGATTATCTTATCAGTTTCATTTAATAGGTATGGTACGTTCAACTATAACACCACTATTCTTTTAGTTATAGTCTAAATTTCAGTGTTTCAATCTTTTCCTTCAGATATATCAACCAGTAATTGCAATTCTCAAAGAGTTCAGCTTTCTCTTGTCATTTCTGCGAAGTGGTTGCAATGTCTCAGCGATTTGACTGCAGATGCCATTCATCAAACAGGTAATGAAAATGAGTGTAAAATGGACACTGATTGCTTTAGAGGGAAATGACATTTGGGCACACCACAGCGATATCATAGAAAGTTAATCATGGATGCCTCAAAAAGATATGATGAAGCCTTCCAGGGGCACATAATCCCCTACGTTTTTACTCATTCACTGCTATCTTTAACAATTTGTACCTTATTTTTCATTTTTGCACTTGCATGAGTCATACAGCATGCTTATTTGTGATGAATAATGATCTCCTGAGAATTATAAGAACAACAGAGAACAGAAAATAAAATAATATGACCATTACAGTACTTGCTGCTTTTTCAAAAACAATAACATCTGTTTGTGGTAAAAGTTAACATGGCGCACTTTACTTCGCTTGGCAAAAATTTTCTTCTAATGGGAGGATATGCATTATCAAAATTAGTGTTTGGCACTTGCTTTGGGGGATGTCAAAGGAAACAAGGTAAGCAGCTCTGGTTCAGTGTAACCTGGTTTAGACCGTGGTGATGGATGCAGGTAAAATCGCCTCTCTTTGATGGCTTTCTCTTCTTCCTCGTTATTTAAGTCAGATATTGTTGAGTCTGCCCTGCTCTCCTCTTCTAGGATTGACAGTTTTGAGAAAATTGTGGAAGGTGAGAAAATGATCGAAGGGGTTCCAACTGGACTTGAAAGAAGACTGTGATTACCCGATGTGGTTGGAGGTGTACTAGTTTTGAAGTTAAGAGGGGGCTTCACTATCTCTAGCTTGGGCCTTAGGTTCTGCCTTCTTTCATGGAGTTTAGATGTTGATCTCTTCATGCCTGCAACCTTTGTTGTTGCTCCTGCTGTTCCTTCTGCTGCATCACCCTCGGATGGGCCTGTTAACCGCTGAACGACATCACGAAAAGCCTTTGTGTCCGTTTGCACAAACGTAGTAATAGGTTTACCACCAACTGTGCTCCGGCTGGGCAGCTTCTCCATCGATGCTTATCTAAATGGACAAGATTGCTTGCAAGTCATTTAGGCCTCAACCTGAACAAAGTTCAAATTTCTGAGCTGGTAAGTGTCTCATATATGAAACATGCATCTGGTTAGGCAGAATTCGTGCATCTAAAGAGTGACCTCTATTACATCAAAGCATGCACATACATTATTAGTGAAAGTGCGCACGAAATTTTGGCAGCATCTGGACTTACCTAACTCCTTTCATTTTAGAACGGTCAGAAGTCTATAGTTCAACTAAAAGACAAAGGTGGGCTTTCATTGCAGTGAGATAGGAATTATATATACTATGTCTGAATTACTATCCTTAGACATGGAGCCATATTTTGAACGTGGCTATCACATTTGCCAATAACAAGTGGCAATTCCTTTTGCATGGTGTGGTTGAGAGTCTTGAGACTCGTTCAATTGATTCTGGTTTGGGGTTAGGCTTACCTGTTTTCTTTTGACTCTTGAATCTCACCCATGGTTGCAGGGAAGTGTTAAACCTCTCTTTCTCCTCCATTTCTATTGCTTCCTATCAGTCTCAAAACCATGACTTTGACTAAAATTATTCGAATTTAGTTCCTCTTTGGCTCAGGACCTAATGTTGAAATGGGTCAGATTCCAAAGTAGTTTGTTTTTTTATCTACAAAATTCTATTGAATTTAACGTAATTTGTGATCCATTATATAATTTCCAAAAAAAAAAACTATTGCTACACTTTTAACTGGGGAATGAATTGATGTTTTCTTCAACAGATCATGTAAAATTGCAAAGGGTTTTGTATTCTGACGAGGAATAGGAGCATACAGGAAGAACAAAACTCATCTTCTATAATCTGGCTAACCCTGTTTTTCCTGCATGGTGCCTAATATAGTTTTAATATCTATTTTTCTTAAGAAGTTTTAGTCTCCTTCTCAAAGCTATCAAATATACCCCAGAAAAAAAGAGCTTATTTTTTCTGGCAAAACATGAACAGTTCATTTTTATGGTATTTAGGTTGTCATCCAACCATGAAAAACTATATCAAGAAATATTCAAATTCCAGTAACATGAATTTGGCATTTGAGAAGGTAAAAAGGAACCATACTTCACAGAACATGCCTCTGATTCTTCCGGCGATGCAAGAAGGTGAAACTCCAGCTACATTCAGCAAGCAACTTGAAGGAATGGAAGAAGAGACTGATATGTTAAAAGAGATGAAAGTGAGGGAGAGGAGCTGAAGGAGCTTAAATACAGAAGTTACAACAAGAAAGAAGCTAAGGTGTTTTGACTCACACTCAACAATCCAGTTAGGACAAACAAAGGGTAACCTCAAAATGCTTGCTAGAAATGGGATTTTTGGCTTCTCAACATCCTAAAAAAACCACTTTTTTTTAGAGAGATGATAATGGGATTGACTGAAAACTTAGAAATATTGACTTTTTGTTTCCTTTTTTTGGCTACGAGTTATGTTGATGGTTGACTCCTTTTGTTGAATTAGTTGTGATAATGTTTTCTATTCTTGCAAGAGTATAACTCCTTTTGTTGGATTAGTTGTGATAATTTTTTTTATTCTTGCAAGAGTATAAAAATTAAGGTAAATACATTCATACTTTCTTATATAATATGTAATGTCCTTAGGTTTCTAATGAGTTTGAAATTCAATCTAACCTTATGATGAATTTTTCCGACCAAATAGAAGGTTTTGAATATTATATAAGGACATATAGGGATATTTATCCTAAAACTTGTATAATAAATTATGAAAACTTGAGTTCTTGAGGAAGGTGGAGGCAACAAAAAATGAAAAAAAATAATAATAATAAAGTATTTGATGGATTAATTTGTTGAAACATCACTAATTAACATTGCAATTAGAGACATAAATCATTTATCATAAGACCTTAACTTCTATTGTTAGAAATATATGTATCAATAAACATGAAAAGCTACGACCACCAATTTTTATAGAACTGGTCAACAAAAAAGGCTCCTCCATTAATTCCACGCTAGCAGTTGTAAATCATAAATACATGCATTTATTTGGGGGCTTTTTTTTTTTAAAAAAAAAAAATCATGTATTTCAAGTTATCAGATTTCTTGAGACACAAATTTATGTATCTATCTTTCTTTTTAGAATAATTATTAATAATTATTCAATGAGTAATATAAAATTTTTCATGTTAGACAACAAAAATATAAAAATACATTTATTAGGATTAATTTTTTTTTTATACAAATCTCAAGATAAAGATACGAGAAGTAAAGTTCTAATGAATCTTGTAGTCTCGATATGAATAACCTTTTATTTTTTTGTTGGACTGGAAATATAATTTAGTTTCGGTATATAAAAATTGACCCAAAAATACATCTAGCCATACTTATTTTATTATTTTATTTTATTTTATTGGTGCATTAATGGCATTGGTCTTGTTTCAAGAGAGGCATTGGATACTTCATGATGAAGTAATTATATTTAATGAGAATGAATTTTTCTCTTAATTTTTGGTTGATTAACATAATTATATATCATGATATGCAACATCATAATTATATTTCTTAATTTAGGAAAATGTTTTATGCGTACACAACATAGTATTTCCCTCTCAAGTCCAAGATTTTTGGAATTTTTATAGTAGCTAGGTCTTAACATATTTATATATTTTCTGCAATCTTTATTTCCTTATTCTCTTTTTCTTCTTATCCAAGATCGTTGAACGTGGATAAAATCAGCTGAATCCGGCAATGTTTTAATAAGAATACATTCACTTGTCCAGATTAAATCTTTCTGTCTAAAGCAAAATAATGGTCACTTACACCGTGTAAATCATATATACTTATACCGTTAGAATTGATAAAAACCTAATAAAAAAATTAATTTTAAATAAAAAATAATTATAGAAAGATTCAATCCAAAATTACAAATTAAGAGATTAATTATCAAATGATTTAAAATAATGTTTTGTTTTTCTTTTCAAACTTGTTTCTTTTTTCATAAACTCTTCTAAGAAATTGATAAAAAATTAACCACGTGTAAATCATATATACTTACGGCATTAGAATTGACAAAAACCTAATAGCAAAAATTTAATTTTAAATAAAAAATAATTAGAGAAAATATTTGAAATTTCGAAAATATTTGAAGCATGTATCGGATCCATAAAATAATAATGCACGACTAGATTGACTTACCATCTAGGCTAAGCCATTAATAATAGGTTTTTGACTGCATTAATTGTCAGGCTCGTAGATACCATATCCTCCACCCTCCATATATAGAGAACAAATTAACATAAAATTCATACTATATAAATGACTGCAACTCTCTATGGCCGACTACTTCATTCTCTTCTCTCTCCCTCTTCTTCGCTTGATGAGTCTGACAGTAGGAGTTACCTGTTTCTTTCAACCATTAAATCAAGCAAAATCACTTCCCTCTTCTTCTTGAAAAATCTTTTTACTGTCTTCACTTTTCTCAACCTAATAATCACTCCAAGCAAGAACGACTATGGTGTCTTCAGAAGACTTCAGCTTCCCAGAGATGACCAGCCCTCTTCCTCACTTGGCAATCTCACCGTCATTATGGCGTGTATCTTCCCTAGTTTATCCGGATTGTCGCGAAAAAGATGGTGGAAGAGAGTTAGATATTATTTCCAGCAAAAGCTTCTCCTTTGCAGCAAGTGAAGTGAAGATGGAGAGCAGCGAAGAGAAGATGGATATGCTATGGGAGAACTTCAATGAAGAGGAGCTTCTAAGGGTTTCTTCTACTTCCTTGGGCAGTAAGAAACAACATTCAGATGATAGTTTGGATTCTGAACCTGGAAGAGGAGTGAATCAGCTTTGTTGTGCCAAGAAAGAGTTGAAGATGCCCAAATCAGAGAAAAATATTAGCCTCATAAGTGCTCCTGCTCAGCATAAGAGACATAGTGTTGTTGTGATGTTCAAGCATCTGAAGAAGATTTTCTTGCTTCGTAGCTCATCTTCAGATCCAACAAAGAATCATAAAAAAAATTGTAAGGTAGATAGAATTATATGATATGCATATATATACTGTTTTATAAATATACTAGCTAGTGTATACACAAAGTAATAAAAGTATTTCTCTTGATTTTGAGTTTTGATGAGAGATATGAATATTAATCTTGTTGATTTCCACATTCAAATTAAATAAAAAACAAGTTGATTGAAATTCACTGTCACCATACAAATTCAATTGCAATCGAATCACTAATAAAAGAAATATAATAAAGGTCTTATCATTAAGAAGAGTTTTTAGTGGGTTTAAGTTGAAAAACGCATTTTTCATGTCCAATTTCCTTGTGGATGCAGTGTAAATTTCTTTAATATATTTAAGGATAATATAGAAATTTTTAAAAGTAAATAATAACTCAAATACTTTTAAAAATAGAATGATCGGTTGAAAAAAAGAAAAAAAAAGAAAAAGAAAAAGTGAGGGTGTGGTTAGCCATATTAAAGTGTCAATATAAGCTCCGGTCAAAGGGCAGGGACAAAACAGCGGTTGGACTACTTTGTGTCTTTGCCCAACGCTCATACCATTGGCCTTCCTAACAAACAAACCTTTGTCTGGACCAAGTCTGGGAGAGTCAGTAGCAGAAGAGAGAGAGATGGATTTGGAATCAGTGAAGAGATACTTAGAGACGGGAGGATTTAAAGATGACAAGAACGCGTCGACCATTGAAGAAATGCCTTTCAGATTTTTTGAAAAATTCATAATGCAAGGCCTTCATGTTGATCTCATTGAACCAGGCCGTGTTGTTTGCTCCATGAAAGTCCCTCCTCGTCTTCTGGTAGTCACTACAAACCTCAAACTCTCTGTGTTGATGTTTTTTTTTATCTGATTCAAATACACAATCAAGGATTTAAAGATGACCCATTTGGGCTCTTGGGATAACTGCCATGGCTGAATACTGTATGCCCATGTTTGGTTTTGACAAGAAATCTTGGGGGAACTTGGAACATTTTTTTTCTTTTTTTCTGTATCAACAATTGGAATTGTTGAATTGCTCTCTTTTTAGTTTGGTTGTTGAGATAACTCATGAAAACTACAGAAAGTTTCAATCTTTCGAAGGTTTTCTCCAATTAGGATTCCTTTGGGAAGTAATGATCAATATTAGAAAAGTAAGGGAATTTCTTCCAAAATTTAAGCCTAAGAATGCTTTGATGCTTTAGGTCTTAAATGGTGTTACTGATTATTGGGGTTTTGTTTGATTGCTTATTGCTAAGAATGGTGGCAATTTCTTGCACGGTGGGGCTACAGCCACTTTGGTCGACTTGGTAGGGTCTGCTGCAATGTTCACAGTTGGAGCTCCCGTAACTGGAGTTTCTGTAGAAATCAACGTTTCATACTTGGATGCTGCTTTTGCTGATGTGGGTATCAGTCCTCTTCTCTCTTATATTTAGTTCCTTGTGTTAATACATACATGCATACATATATATTCATATTGTAAATTCAACTGATAGAATGATTCTTAACCTATTTGTCTTAATGTCTGATAGAGTGAAAAGGGAGATATTTTTCGAACTTATTGTTTTGTGTTTTCTTGTTGATGATTACACATTTTGACATATCCATATCTGTTTGTTTCTTTTGGTAATGGCATCAATGCTAGTCCTAGTTGATGGGGGGCTTTGATCTACTACTGTGAATTATATGGAAAACCCTATCGAACTAAGATCCAGGGAGCCATACCGTATATTTCTAAGAGTTTGTGGCTGTTTACTTTTTGTTATAGTGCTAACCATATGATCTTGTGCTTTAGTCGGGTGTTAGGCTAAACTTTGTTAGCTTTGGTGGCTTAGAAAAACACAATACGCAGCTGATGGGATGTTTGTTTTTGTAATATCCCTCCCTCTCCTGCAGAAATAGTTGTCCAAGTATGGTCTTGAAAAGAAATATTAAATTCCAACTTCCCATTTTATGCTAAACTTCATGAACTTCGGCACTACAAATTAAGTCCCATTTGTGTTTTAATTGGGTGTTGTTTCTGTCTTAACATAAAGTTCCTTTGTTGTTGTATTAATTAACAGAATAAGAGTGTTGGGGTCTTAAATGTGAATGATTTATGCATTAGGTTTCATCTGTATACAATATAAATTCTTGTAATATGCTTTAATGAAGGCATGGAGTGTTCAGCTGTTTCCTCAAATGTCACCACTAGCTTTGATGAAGGCTGTACTAGCTACCACACCTAGATAAGTTTCATTTGTTCGGTGTACCTTTAGTGGGAGTTTCTTTGATTAACTAGCTTAAATGTGCAGAATCCTAGAAATAGAGGGAGCTTGGATTTTAATCTTTAGGTGGTTGTTTGGCAGTTTAATAAAGCCTGGTTGGCCATTTTGTTTACGCTCTCAACTGTCCCCATCAGTTGCTGGAGATTCTGGCTTCTAAATTTAGAACATTTGTATATCTTAGCCACACTTCAAGACTAACAAGTCCTGGAAAGATGTCCCAACAATGAAAATATATATATATTAATGTGAAAGTCTCTGTAGCTCATGCACGAAATGAGTGGTGAGACCTTGTTTGGTGCGTTTCCAGCAGAAGCTCCTAAAAATTCCTTGCCAGGGATCTTAAGATTTCCTTATCCTAATAGGTTTGATATAGTTTTAGGGTCTGTAAAATACCTATTTAATAAGTCCTTTGCAGGTTGGTTGTCTCAGTAGTAGACTCAGCTTAACTTTCTTATTTTACCTCTTACATGTTTATGTTCTTGTGCTGTCAACTCACTCTGGAGCATGACAAGTTGGAATGGGGCTACCCTCTTTGGTGCAATGCTTTATTTTTTAGATGGGATAGAATACTAGGTCCATTTCTGTTTGTTGATGAACAAGAAGGTTTGTTACTAAGAGAACAAAATGAGGAAAGGAGGGGAAATCCTAGATTTTTAGCAAAATAAGAGGGAGCAAAATAAATCTCAGTATCAATGTTGATTCTCAGTGTCAATTTCATTCATCATAGCAGCTGTCTATTCGATGACTTGGTGTATACATGCGATGATGTGCCTGCCTCCCTACTTGCAAAATAACCTGAGCGCAAACGATTTGCAACTTATTATTCATATTAGTTTTTTTTTTCATCCAGGAAGAAATCGAGATTGAATCCAGGGTTCTACGTGTGGGAAAAGCTGTAGGAGTAGTCACTGTGGAGTTGAAGAAGAAAAAGACTGGGAAAATTGTTGCTCAAGGGCGTCATACTAAGTACCTAGCTATCCCTAGTAAAATGTAAAAGACCTGCAAATTCTTAGCTTCTCCACGATGGAATTGTCTTCACATAGCAGTCAGTAGTTCCTTCATTGGAACCAATAATTGTAAGACAATTTAAACATACACCGATTAAATAATTAGCTTTTAAAAAATAAAAAATTTATTTATTTATTTATCTAAACTAGAGGAACTAATTTATAAATCACTTCAACTTTTCCAGATTACTTCACCTTCTAAGAAGTCACTCCGTTTTTGTATTGTAATGATGTACCAATTGCTCTACATGTGGCTGCTAATTTGATGGTAGATATGAATGCTGGCATTTTGCCACTTGATATCAATAAGAGCTTGCCTAAACAATCTAATTTCAACTTGGTCTGCTTAAGCACACCAAGAGCGATACCCCAACTCAAAAATGTAAATTGCAAATTACAAGACCCAAGTGTTTTCTCCATCTTATGAAACTCTACTCTATACCTTTTAACAAAACTGTGGACCTTCCAACTATTTCTGCCTCTTGCTATCCAGAGCTTCCTTAAGTTTCCTTCCCAACGCATATGCTAAAGGAGGAGGAACAGCATTTCCGATTTGCCGATGCTTGTGATGAATGTTACCAAAAAACTGATAGCTGTCTGGGAATCCCTGGGACAAAGAAACAAGAAAAAAAAATGAAAAACCAGTATCCACCTTCAATATCTTCTTTGAGGTGTCCACTCTGCAAGTAGATAGCTAGATGGCAGAAGGGGCATGGTAAAAGAAACAAACAAAATAAACAAAGCTATGCATTTGCCTGCAAGAGTTGGGGTGTATGGGGTATAAATAAGATCAAGAAATAAAGCAAGGTAGATGACAGTTGCAATCACTGGCTACTTGCTGTCTCTTTCTCATACTGCTTTCAGAATCACTTTTAAGTTATCAAGTCATAGAAACTCGGAACAATGGTTAAACAGTCTGGGGAAATTGAACTTACTTGAGATCGTGCACATTCACGAACAGTAAGAATCCTGTCCTGCTCAGGGTGAAAGCACATCCCCACCTTACCCATTGGCTGAGGATCCGTTATTGATGTTGGGAAGTTCCCTTCCCAATCCAACCTTCCAAAGAGCCCCTTCCACTGATTGTGTCGTTTAGCTGTGTTTGGCAGGCACCATGGTATCAAATCAACCATTTGCCCAGAAGACAATTTGACCTGCAAGTCACGACATTATAGTGAATCATTCATCTCAGCATTCACCATGCATTAGGTCTATATCAGCCTCGCATTGAAAGTAACAATAAGCTGTTCTTGTACCTTTTCATCCGGAAGATCACGCCAATCAGCACCTGGACGCTTTGGGATCTTCTTGCATCTAATAAGATTCAGCTCATTCATTTCTTTTGATATATGGTCAGTCAAAACAACCGTGTCGCCTCGAATCTTCTTTTGAAACCAAGAGATAGGATCATTTCCAAACTGCAAAACAAAAGGGTTAGCGATCATGCCTGTGACCATATTACTAAGAAGTTTCAGAAGAAAATTTAGCATCTTATATACCTCCAAATTTGTCTCAGAAGCACCATTCCCTACATCAGGGAGATCACCAATTGTATCTCTGACTGTTATTGCACGGAAAGGGGCTCCATAAGCAGTACTTCTAACAGCAGCATATTGTGATTTCTCAGACAGTGTGATTTTTAACTCCGAGGCAGCAAAAACATGCATTGGCTCTGGCCATTCTGGGAGTATCTCTTCAGGGGAGGCTGCCCACATAAAGGCCCGTTTGCGCGACTGAGAAACCCCATATGCTCCAGCCTCCAAAATACCAAATCTCACCTAATCACAATCATACACATGTAGACAGTCACATAAAACTAGCATTCTGCATACAAAAATGAAAGTACACAACCATGGTTAATTTCAATGGCATCATAATATTTACCTGATAACCCATCTGAAGAAGAGAAGCAATAGTTAAACGGAAAGTCTGTCCTTTATTGAAAGATACAAAGTTCCTCACATTCTCTAAGAGGAAATACTTTGGGCGGAAGTAATCAGCAAAGGATAGGAATGCTAAGATCATCTCACATTGAACTTTACTCCAAGTGCTCTGATTAAACCTATTCATTCCAGAGAAGCCCTGCAAAGAAACATTACTTTTTTTGAGTGTTGTCCATGAATTCCAGCAATATTGGTTGCCTCAGTTTAGTGCAAAGAAAGACCATAAATACCTGACATGGAGGCCCTCCATTGATGAAATCCACCTGCCCTGGCAATGGCAAACCATCAATCAACTTTGCATCAAGTGATGATGCCAATTCAGCAGCTTCAGAAGTACAAATACAGTCATCTGCATCTCCACACTTCTCCATCACAGCCCTTCATTACAATCCATAATAAGTCACTGGAAAATGAGAAGGAAAAAAAAATTCAAATAGCATACATTACAACCACTTACCTGAGGATCACATTGCAATTATTAATAAACATCAATGACTCTGCATGATTGAGTTTAAATGCTTCGCCAGCAGGCTCTTCATATTCAATAGCCCACTTGGTTGATGAGACACCTGCAATGGTGAAAATAGCCAATTGTCAATTTATCTAACAATAGGCCTAAATCTCAATTATTACTCCAAGTGAAGCATAAAAAAGGAGATGAGCTCTACCAGCTTGCTGCAACCCCTCAGACAAGCCACCACAACCAGCAAAAATATCCAATGTGGCCAAATGGTTCTCTGGAGATGCTTCCCTTTGTTTGTCGGCTTCTATATCATTTTCTCCTTCTTTAGACTTTCCCTTCCTCTTTCTATATGCAACATCGCTATCTCTACTCACAGCTGAAAACTTCGATTTGATTTGAGCTGGCAGCTGTCCACAATGAAACTGGAAGATTACTTATAGCTAACAGGTGCCAAGTCTAATCGTGAACCTCATATCAGTCCAGAGAAACAACATAAGAGCTCAGGTGCATGGTGCATTTGATGGCTTTAGAAATTAACTAGCTTGACAATTTTCCATAAACTGATAGACTCAAATCAGCATGTAACATTATGGGAATGAAAAAAAAGACAAATCACCTGCTTGAGGGACCCTTTGGAAGGATCATACATGTGCTCACAGAAGAAGATGTGATCAAAGATTGTAGAAGCACTGCATGTTGGAATATCATTTTTCTTTCTGACTTCACATTTCCCCTCAATTGCCTCGACTGATAAAATATGTGTTTCTTCACTGTAGTATATCTGTGATCAAGGAATTAAAACTCATTAGGAGTTAGAAAGAAGCAGCAAAGTCTACTCAAAAAAGCTTTGTATGGATTGAAGCAAGAACTAGAAACTCAAAATTTCAAGATTTCTTCCAATAATTAGGGAAAAACCAAAACATATCAGGTGTCAGAGCAGTTTCTAGAGTCCCTTTGGCACAAATACTCCTGACAAATTTGCATGACTATAAATGCCAAAATAATATGCTCAAAGTGTGATTATGGAATCCACAAAGCTGATAAACATAATTATACAGCAAAGGTTTTCAAAAGAAGCTTTCACCTCACGAATATCAGAACAATATGCCTTCTCGGGTGAAATATCATCTGGTCTGAAAAATCTCTGGACTTTGACCTGGGTGGATCTTGTTTCAGGTTGTTTTGGTTCCTTTGGAACAACCTCCAACACCTGGCACACAACATAAGGCTTCAATCCAACATTCCTTCCACCCTTAAAAGTTTCATTCTCCCCCTTTCCGCATCAAATTGATGAGGGCTCACATAGACAAAATCATGGACAGAGTACTCAGTTCCCTTGTATGAAAATCCTGTCTGAGAAGAATTTACTTTGAACATATCCTTGTCTTCTTCAGCTATTTTTAAGTTACAAGAGTGGCAGACACCAGAGCCAAGACCCATAGTATCAAATGGGAGAGTGAAGAAAGCACCCCTTTCTGGCCAGTACAAGCTTTTACAGTAATATTCTAGGGGCAATCCTTTCTTTTTCCTCTCTTCTGCCTTTTCCCCATCAATTCTATCGGCATTGGTGTTATCTTTCCTGTGATTATGTCCCCATGGCCTTTTTCGAACTTCCAGAATAATTGCTTGCTTAACATCCTGTAGTTTATAATTCATGCACTCAGTTGTTAAAAAAACCTCTCTATCATTGGCAGTGTTACCGAGAACTGTCTCAGATCCCTGCTTCATCATTCTCCCATGAAACATTTTGCTTCCATTTCGTGTTTCAAACATGTACTCCACAAAATAGATGGCAGGAAGTTCATCCAATTCATCAACCTCCACTAAAACAGCACCCCCCACCTTAATGACCTCTCCACAAACAATGGCTTGCTTGTAAATGGCTTCTCCAGAAGCTGTTTTGCTTACAGGATTCCCATCCCATCTTACTTCTTTTTGTGAAGTATGGGATTTAGTACGTTCAGACACTGAATGAGGTTTTAGTGTTTTCTCTACCACCTCTTTATCATCATCTTCATTTTCATCCTGCTCCTCAACTTCATCCTCTTCTTTCCCTTCAAAATCAGTTCCCTCTTTCAAATCCTCTGGAGAATATTGTGAATAATACTCCCCCCATATTCTGTTGATCAGCCTTGTTGTTGTTGCCTGCATAAGCTTCCTCTTGGATGCTCCAGGAGCCACAGCACCCATTGCTGCTAGAGGATTCAAATTGGATTTAAACTTTTGCACAATTGCCTTTTTGTTCACTACCCATTTAGTATGGTGCCTCTCCTCCATTTTATGAGTCAAACCAACCACAAAAGCACATTTCTTGATGTTCTGATCTGGAAACTCAGCAAAAAGCTGTAGTATTATCTGTCCATGCACAACCACATACCTCTCAACAGCTGTTGGATCAGAAGAAATATAAGCATGATGATCCTTCTTGAACTCAGACACTTTCCGGATTACATCTGCAAAAGAAAGTCGTGATACTCGACTTTGCTCCTTCAACAATGTGAAGATGCTTCTAGCAAGCTTTACTGTTTTTAGGACTGGCTTATACCAGGAACCATATTGTTTTGATGGCTTCCCAAGTCTA